CATGCGACCGACATTGCGACGCCACACATGAATGTCGGAAGCGTGCCAAAACGGTCCCATCTCATCCCATTTCTCGCATCGCCGCCTTGAAAATGAAGACAACGACAAAGAAATGCATGCAAGCAGCAGCATTGCAATTAAATTCTTGAAAAGCAGCATCACAAATCGATTTTCCACCACTCTCCTTTGCCCCATACAGCAGCCCCCCTGAGCGACACTACCCTACTCACACTGTCCTTTTTGGGGAATCATTTCGTTTCCTCCCCACAGATCGACTCTTCCCCGTCGAGTATCTCTCATGATCCTCGCTGCCGCGTAACTTCGAACTGCCAGCTGGTTTCCTTGTCACTGCACCGTTCCTATGATCCTCCTGGCTTTACGCGTCTCACTTGAAGAGTTGTGACTCCACATTATCACGAACATCAGGGAGTTACAGTACAACTCAATGTTGGGCTCTCATCCCCGTAGTATCACCACGCATGAGCCTCCCTCTCACGAGCAAGTCTTCCCTAGCGTCCCTAGTTACGCTCTCTTCTCGGCCTCCGAGGTTCAGTCCCTTAGGCCGCGCGCAGAGCAGACGTCACGTTATCATCGCACCGTATCCTCGGATAGCAATATGCTTAGTCTCGAAGCGCCGCGCCGAGGCACTGCGCTTGACGAGCAAAGCCCCTTTGATCGCTGCTATGGGTATCCCGCACCCACGGTATTGTCTGAAAGTCACCGCAGTCAGCACCGCCGGCAACGATCCGCAACCGAGCTTCACGTTTCTCCTCCCTCTCAGCCAACAAATCATGTCGCTCCCGTCTCGCGCATGAGACACGGAACTCCCCGCAGCGCCATGAGTTGCGGCCAGATTCCCCTCGAACGGAACGAGGAGAGCGGGGCGTCCTCCTACGCGGGGCCGTCGCTGTCCCCCGCCCGGTCGCCGCTGCGACAGTGGCGGGAAGGAAATCACAGAGTCGCGCTGCGACGGCGTGGCAGCGAGGCGGATTTGCTTTTCCCCCATTCGCTATCCATCCCAGCGCCCGCACCGTTGCCGCCCCGCGGCGTGCCCCACTCCCGCTCTGGGGAGTTCCGCATCCAGCCAGGCGATGACGGCGGACTGTCGCCCGTCCACCACCGACAATCCACGCGGCTGCCCCGGCCTCCGTCCTCCCAGCCCCTCGGCGCTTTGGGTGCCGCCAGGGGCACCCGCCGTGGCTCTCACGCCCCGCGTCTGTCGCTCGACGAGCATGCGTTCGTCTCAGCGGCTCTCACACCTGGTCGACGCGCATGCAGCGGCGTCGACCCTGCGGACTATTCTTTGTCACCGACGGCGCTCGCCGCCGAGCAGACGTCGCCGTACGGCGCGGCGATGGATGTGGTGGCGTCGGCGCGCCAGCTGATGGAGGAGTGCAGCGCGCGCGGTATTCAATGGGAACTCGAGGACTGGCAAAAGCGGGAGGCGCCGCGGAAGAGTAACGAGCGCATGCCGCAGTCGGCCAGCGCGGGGCTTGGCGTGGCGGAAAGGACGCACGCGGAGGTGCCTGTTTCCGCGGCAGGTCGGGGAAGGAAAGCTGTGCGGCAGCGCGCGGCTCGTGGACAAGTCGTGGCCGGGCGCAGCGGCGCTGGCGGCAAGGCTCACCACCGGATGGTCAGCGTGGACGAGCTGCTGGGCGACACGCGGCAGGCGGGGCAGTCGAACAGAGCTGCTGGCGGCGGCGGCGGTGGTGGTGTGAGGGCCACGGGCGGATTGGGCACGAAGGTGAACGGCGGCGTGGGCGGGATCGACCTGAGGTTCTTCCAGGAATTCGACGACCTGCCGCGGGAGCTGCTGCAGGAGATGCTGGCCGCTAACGCCGACGAGCTTGGCGTTTTCCAGCAGCGAAACGATCGGATTGGCGCGAAGAATCGCGCGCGGGCGGACGAGCGGGCCGCGCCGGGGACGAGTCGACGAGGGGCGAAGGGGAGCGGCGCGAGCGGTGTATCGCTTCGCAGCAGCTGGGAGGCTCTGGAGGCGGACGGTGGTAGTGACAAGCGCGGGTGGGGGGGAGGCGGAAACGTGTTGATGCCGAAGATGCGAAACGACAAGGCCGAGGATAGCGACTTATACGGCGCGCAGTTCGACGAGGATGCGGGCGACGCGGAAGGCGCGCAGACGTTGAGAGAGCAGCTGATGCCATCACAGCAGCCAATCGCGGGAAACCCCATGTTGGGGTCGCGAATGGCGTCTGATTCGCACTCCGCTTTCACTCCGCCCAGTCAAGGATTCTGTTCTGGCACTCCCCCACGCAACGCGCCTCTGCCGCGCAAACGCCGCGAGTCCCCGCAGTTCCCAAGCTGCGCGTCCGTGCCGTCCTTCCAATCGTCGTCCCCTCCCTCTTCGTCCGCCAAGGACAGACTTCCGCCCGCCGTGCCCCGCGCTACCTCAAAGCAAAGCGTGTATCGCACTGGCTCGTTAATAAATGAACGCTACGCCGGCTCGAGCCCGACAGCACCCAGCCTTGATCACGGAAGCGCATCGAGCCTCGGGTACCCTCAACCGCAAGGTGCTGCCGAATTAGGGACCCCGGTTGGGCCTAAGGCACGGGGGGCTCGGCCAGAGCAGCAGCCGCCGAGGCACGCGCGCAAGTACAACAGCGGGAGCCAGTTGGACGTGTTCGCGGGGTTCCGCTCGCACTCGCGAACCAGCAGCAGCGGCAGTGTGACAGCAGGAGGCAGCGGAAACTGCGCGCAGTGGGAAGCATTCGAGGCGGCGCTTTTGGCGTGTGCGGAAGCGAGTGCAGCAGGTTTCAGCTGGGGTAATCAAGCAGGCTCGGATGTAGGCACGGGCTTACACGGGCCTAAGTGGGGAAACCTGAGCCTTGGTCTGGGAGGCCTCGAGCTACAAGGCGCCCTTGAGTCAGCTGTGCCAAATCTGAAGCCGACCGATTTCGTGCTTCGGATGCCCTACGATGATATCAAGGGGCGATACTCTCTTGGGAAGAAAGAGATTGGCGAAGGCAGGTTTGGTACCATCCGAACCTGCTTGGAGCGCGCCACAGGGCAGGTGTACGCGTGTAAAACAATATTGAAGAAGACCATTGAGGTGAGTTCAGTTCAGACGTGCTACAGTATACTGTGAAACTCTCTACATGGCTGCTACCCTATTGTTCATTTTCCTTCTTGAAGGCGTTAAATTTCATCACCTTACCAGGAATCCTGTTTTCTTCTTTCCTTGCAGACAATCGAGGATGCTGATGACGTACGAAGGGAGGTAACCTTCCTCGCCATGCTTCGTGGCCATCCCTCGGTGATCACTCTTCAAGAGGTCTTTGAAGATGACAAGGCCATCCACTTGGTGATGGAGCTCTGCGCTGGTGGTGATCTCTTCGACCGAATCAAATCACAAGGTCAAATCCCGGAGCCAGATGCAGCTCATGTGCTGAAGCAGCTCCTGGAAGCCCTGCTCCACTGCCGCTCCCTTGGCATTCTCCATCGCGACATCAAGCCTGAAAACATCCTCCTTTGCAGCCCCAGTGACAACGTCCCGATTAAGCTCATTGACTTTGGGGTGGCTACAGTGCTCGAGGAAGGTGCAATGTGCCGGGAAATGGCGGGAACACCAGAGTACATGGCACCGGAGGTGCTGGACGAGTGTTATAACTACGAGGCGGATGTGTGGAGCGCCGGGGTGTCGCTCTATGTGATGCTCTCAGGTGTGCCGCCCTTCTGGGAGTCATCCAATCGGACGCTAGAGGAGGCGATCAAGAAGAAGAAGGTGGTGTTCAAGTACTGGAAGTGGGCGACTGTGTCGGAGGAGGCCAAGGACCTTATAACGAGGATGCTGGAGAAAGACCCTCTAGATCGCATCACAGCTCGAGAAGTACTTGGTAAGTCAAGAACTCCTACACCTAGCAGCCAGCTCACCTTAAGTTAGGTCTTATTTTCTGCTTACAACTTTGAAGTTTTTCTTCATACGGTCATCATTCTAACCTTCTCCATTTTTTCCTTGTGTTTTTTTTTTTCTGCACGCAGCACACCCGTGGATTCAGAAGCACACCAAAGCAGCTATGTGATTGCTCTCGTCCCAACACTGCAGCACTTATAGCAACTGTAAAGGAGCACGCATTTTAATAAAACGACCTGCAAAATGTGTGCATGTGGTGGTGGTTCTCGCCTGGTGTAGCTGCGTGCTGCAGGCTGGTACTGATTTCACCAGCGAGATGTAGCAGCACTTTTGTGACCACCCTGCTTAGTGTAGTGGTAGGAAGGGTGGTACATTGTAGTGTACAGTTTTGAAATGTCAGGTCAATGGCAATTACAATCAGGAATGAGGTGCAGTGCTAACCATCTTGATGTAAACTACCCTCTGCTAGACACGTCAAAGCCTCCTCGTGACAGTAACCTATCAAGTGCCTATTGTACATCAGAGGCACATTCCCCCCTCCACATCCTTGCCTGGATTGCCTCATTTCCAAAACATGCTGCTGAGATTCGGTGGCTTGACTAAAAGCCTCACTTTATTGAATGCCAGTGGTCACTAAGCCATCTACACCCATGTCAGCCGCCCCTGCCCAACTTTCAGTAAAAGCATGCAGCGTTTTTAACTGCAGGGCAGAGTGAGGCGATACAGGTCAATGTGGGGCGGCCCTAGGCTGTTAGATCGATGCCTACTCTGCACAGATTGTGAAGTTGCAAACATGCCTGTCAGTGCTGCCATGGCTGCTCCTGTAATAGCCATGGCATGCAGTCACGGCTCCTCCCTATCAGTCATGTATTTCACCCACGGGTGCTCTGCATGTAGCGAGTGGAGGGCCGGAGGCACATTGAGGGGGTGGAAGTTGGGCGTAATAGGGGGAAGGGGTAAGGGCGTAAGGTGCAAGTGGTCGTTGAACATTCACGAGCGAGACAATATCAGCTCCTTTAAACCAGCACTCACGAACCGAGCCCACCCACCCACCTCACTCCCCACCGGACCCAACACTCTCCCCACCACACCCACCACTCTCCCCAGCGCACCCAACCACCCAACACCCACCCTATCCCACCCAGCACTCACCGAGCACTTGAGCACCCAGGATGCGCATCTTGGGATCCTTTGTAAGCATCCTCTTTACAAGGTTCTTGGCGCTCTCCGATATGGTCTGCCAGCGCGGCGAGGAGAAGGACACCTCGCTCTCCTTGATGGCCTGAAAGATGGCCTCATTGGTGGACGCCCAGAAGGGCGGCATGCCGCACAGCAGGATGTATAAGACGACGCCCGCCGACCAAATGTCGGCCTCGGGGCCGTGCGCGCCGGTGATGACCTCCGGGGCGATGTACATGGGCGTGCCCACGAACTCCATGCAGGAGGCGTCTGAAAGAATGCAGGGGATGGGCAGTGGGCGGAGCAGGCAGGATGGATGGGGGGGACTGGCAGCACAGGGGCTGTGTGCGCCGGTGATGACCTCCGGGGCGATGTACAGGAGGCGTCTGGCAGGGATGCATGCAGGGGGGCAGAGCAGGCAGGATGGGGTTCACGGGAAGCACAGAGGCTGTATGCTCCGGTGATGACCTCTGGGGCGACGAACATGGGCGTGCCCACGAACTCCATGCAGGGGGCGTGCATGCAGGGGGGTGGGAGAACCATGCAGGGATGGATGGATGGATGGATGAATGGAGACACCTGGCAACACAGAGACCCATGTGCTGTCTCAGCAGCCACAGACTAGTAAATCCGAGGATGACCCGAGAGAGATGTCCCGGGGGGCGATGTACATGGGAGCATGCACAGACTACTACATCCATGACATGTCTGGTGGGGCAGGGGCGATGCACATGGCATGGCAGTGCCCGCACACTATATACACGGCACAGGAACAGCTGCTTATGAAGCATCGAACCTCACCACACTGCACCACAAACAGCCCCTCTCCACCCTCCCCCACACCTGGCTCGATGAACGTGGCGACCCCAAAGTCGATCAGCTTGACCCGTGTGTCGTCCTGCGTGTCGCAGATGAGCACGTTCTCGGGCTTGACGTCGCGGTGCATGACGCCCGTCCCATGGCAGCACAGCAGCGCCTCCACCAGTCCCCGCAGCACCGCAGCCGCCCCCTCCTCGCTGTAGGGGCCGTGCGTCTTCACTCGGTCGTGCAGGTCGCCCCCCGTGCACATCTCCATCACTATGTGCACGTCCTGAGGAAAGGGAAGGGCAGGGTGGGCGGGAGGGGAGTGAGAAGGGGCAGTGGGAAATTATATAATTCCACTCATAGTACGCTTTGCAGGTCGCCCCCCATGAACATCTCCATCACTATGTGCACGTCCTGTATTGTGGGAGGGGGAGGGGGGAAAGCGAGAGGGGGGGATTGGCGGAGGGCATAAGTGAGGTTGAGCCAGAATACGCGTTGCAGGTCGGCCCCCCAGGTCGCCCCCCGCGCACATCTCCATCACCATGTGCACGTCCTGGGGGGGAGGGGAAGGGGAGGGGGGCGTGGGAGGAGGTGGGGGTGGATGCTATGAGCTGACTCGGAATACACGTTGTTGGTCGCCCCCTGTGCACTCCAAGTCGCCCCAAGTCGACTTGAAATTATATAATTCCACTCATAGTACGCTTTGCAGGTCGCCCCCCATGAACATCCTGGGGGTCCATGAACATCCTGGGGGTCGCCCCCCATGAACATCCTGGAGACTATTCCGAGAAAGAAAAGTGGTGGTGGAGGATGGTGGTGCAGAGCAACTGAACACCTCAAACGCCCCATTCGCTGCAAGGCTAACTCACCCGGGAGTCCTCAAAGGCGTCGCGCATGCGGATGATGTGGGGGTGGCCGTTGAGCATCTCCATCACCGCCACCTCCATGCCCACCGCCTCCGCATCGTCCGCGTACTGCATGGTGAGGTGCGGTGCAGAGTGGTGGGGTGTGGTGGAGCGTGGTGGGACATGGTGGGGAGTGGCTTAGTGTCGCATGGTAATGTTTGGGATGAGATAGCACAGCATGCAGCGAAGGGTTTAGGCCCGAGATGGTGTGTGTGATGGGTTACATGTGTAGAAGATGGTGTGTGTGATGGGTTACATGTGTAAACGGAGCGGAATTCAGGGAGGCAGGCACCACAATTGATGCTGTAATGAAATGCATGCCATAGCCCAGTACAGCAGCGCTGACTCAAAAAACGTATGTGCTGACCTGGAAAGCGGGTGTACTGACCTGGAAGGTGCTCTTGCTGATGCTCTTACACGCCAGCACCTCGCCCGTCTTGAGCTTCACACAGCTGCGGATGATGCCAAACTGCCCCGTGCCCAGGGGCGCCCTCTCCTGCAGCATGTACTCTCGCTCTATGCTGCGATACGGGCGGCGCAGGATGAACCGCGGGCACTGTAGCCCCGGGAGCATCTCGGGCGGCATCATGCCGCCCAGCTGCCCCGGCAGCATGCCGCCCGGAAACCCGCCCGGGAAGCCGGGGATCTGCGGCGGCTGCCCGGGAAACTGCCCGGGAGGAAGCTGCCCCTGCATGCCTTCCGGCATGGGTTGCCCGGGGAGAGGGAATGGGTATCCGGGCAGAGGGAAGGGCTGCCCGGGAAAGGGAAATTGCTCGTCTCCTTGGGGGAAGGACTGAGAGGGGTCTGGAAACATCTGCCCGGGGATGAGCTGATGCTGCCCGTTCATGTCTGGGATCATCCCGGGGGGGAAGACCTGCCCGGAAAATTGTGGGGCACCATTAGGCAGAGGCATGGGCATGCCATTCATCATCATGTGTGGAGAGCCATCCAAGGGCATGGCACCATGCATGTGACCATCCATGCCCATGCTGCTGCTCCCCATGTCCCCACCCATCCCCCCTGGCAGGGCCCCATTGGCCGCGGGCCGGCCGTCCCGTGCCACGTCAGCGCCAGCCGGGCCATCCTGGGCTGCTGCCACGTCAGCATCGTCCATGTCAAACTCAAATGCATCGGCTTCCTGACTGCCTCTTCCATGCGCCTCTCCTTCCCCCTCCTCACCCTCCTCCCCCTCCCCTTTCCTCTCCCCCACTTTCGCCCTTGCCCGCTTCCCCTCCGCCCCTCCTTCCCCTCCCCCACCCACCCCCCCCTCTCCGCCCTCCAAAATCGCCCCCACCCCCCACGCGCCCCGCTTTCCCCCTCTTCCCCCGCCCGCCCCGGCCTCAGGCGACCCTATAGACGCCCGGCTGGAATGCCGTGACAACCGCCGCCCGCCGCCGCCCAGGACAACGCTGCCCTCGTCGGCACTGTACACGGGCGAGCACACGTCCACCAGCGAGCACACCCCCACCGACCCCTCCGGGCTCCCACACACCTCCCCTCCTCCTGTGCTTGCTCCCCCTCCTGCTCTCCTCTCTGCTTCGCTCACTGCTGCTCCCAGCCATGGGCCTTCACCCACCTCCAATCTCCCCCCCTGCCGCTGCTGCTGCTGATGCTGCTGCTCCTGCTGCTGCTCCTGCTGCTGCTCCTGCTGCGGCTGCTGCTGGTGCTGTCGACTTTGTTGTTGCCATTGTTGCTGTTGCTGATGCTCATCCTGCTGATTTTGCTGCTGATAGTGGTTGTGGTTGTGGTTGTGGTTGTGGTTGTGGTAACTGCTGTTCCGGTCATTCCCTTGCCCCCAGAACGACAGCCCCTCACCTCCAGCCCCCACAGCACCCCCACCGGACCCCACTCTCTCCATGCCCACACCTCCCCCTTCCCCCGGCGCCCACACTGCAACCTCGGCCAGGGGCGGGCTAGAGAGGGCGGATTCGGGGGAGCTGAGGCCAGCAGGAGAGAGACTGCTGGAGAAGGGAGGACTCAGAGAGTCAGAGGGCAGATGCGAGGGGTGCGTGCCGGTACCACCTGCTGCTCCTGCTCCTCCTGCTGCTGCTATTGACCCGCTAGCCAATGGTGACCCTGGCCGGCCGGCAGGAAGATCTAGGGTTGTCGGCCGCATCGCCATTGGGCGAGAGGACGGCCGGGCGGCAGGGGCCACTGTAGGTGGAGCCACAGTAACTGGTCCGTTCCCTCCACTAGATCCTGGCCTGGCCGGCAACCGGCCGGCAGAGACCTGGGCGGCAAGGGACTGTAGCGAGTCGGCAGCATTCTCAGCCAGCCCTCCTCCCGCCCAGCTGCCATACACAGCCGCCTCCCCCTCCCGTCTCGGCGACACAACAGCACCTGGAAAAGCACCTGAGGAGGCACCTGAGGGGGCGGCGTGGGAGTGGTGCTGCAGGCGGGCGAGAGCAGCCCTCATGAGGTCCTCTGCGCCCTCCACGCCCATGAGGCGCCGTGACAGGCGCAGGCCCCCCCGGGGAGTCATGATGAACACCGGTGATGAGGGCGTGGCAGGGCGGGAGGATGGCGTGTCTGGCCGTGAGGCAGGCGTGTCGGGTCGGGAGTCTGGCCGTGAGGCGGGCGTGTCGGGTCGGGAGCTCCCTCGGGAACTCACCTGCCCGTCCTTGTCTGCTGCTGCTGCTGCTGCTGCCGCGCCTGCTGCTCCCATGTGCTTGTGCATGGGGTGGTGGAGGTGAGGGTGCGAGGGCACTTCAACAGAGAAGCCCGGGCGTGTGGAGGAGGTCTCTCGCACTGATGTCGACCGCACCACTGCAGCGCTGCTGCTGCTGCTGCTGCTGCCTGCCTTGCCGCCCTTGCCCCTGCCCGCACCGCTGGCAGCACCGGCACCAGCAGCAGAGGAGGAGGAGGAGGGGCGGGCGGGAGAGAGGTCGCGGGAGGGCATTAGAATGTCCTCCATCTCGCGGGTCTGCTGCCACGGGTTCACATGCTGCTGCCGCCGTGCTGCTGCTGCTGCTGCAAGTCCCATCGCCCCCAACCCTGCCCCCCCTGGCGCTGCTGGTAGTGGCGGCGATATCACCCGTGGCGAGTCTACCAACTCTGCTCCCCCTGACTGCTGCTGCACCTGCCCCTGCTGCACCCGCCCCTCCTGCTCCTCCCCCTCGCCACTCCTCCCCGCGCTCACCCCCGGGCTGCCCTTCTCACTCACCGACTCACCTCCCTCCTCTTCCTCATCCACAACAGCAGTGGCCCTGTCTAGAGGCGCCAGCGGCACCGCATTCACAACGTCATCGTCCAGATCCATTGAATCTTCCCTCGCATGCCTCCCCCCACGCCCCCCTTGCTGCTGCACCCCCTGCTGCGCCCCCTGCTGCCTCAGCTCCCACCCCCCCTCACCCTGCTGCTGCCCTGGCTGCGTCCCTTGACTGCCTTGACTGGCTTGACTGGGCAGGGACGGGCGGGGGGAGGGCGGCAGCAGCGGGGCGGGGACGTGCACGAGGGGCCTGGCGTCCACCACATCGTCCCCCATGTCCTCGCTTGCCTCTCTCACATGCCGCCTTGGTTGGCTGTCTTGACTGCCTTGACTGTATTGACTCCCTTGACTCGCTTGACTCGCTTGACCTTGACTGTGATGGTCGCGCGGTGGATCCGACAGTCGCCTCCTCACTCCCTCACTAGCCTGCTCCTTCCACGAATCTTCCACCGTATCAGCAAACATGACCCCTCGGGAACCCCCCTCCTTCTGAGACCGGGATCGCGTCAGCTCCCCCCGCGCCCTCCCCCCACCCACCGCCCCCGTCCCTGCCCCACCTGCTGCTGCTGCTGCTGCTGCTGCCCCGCCTGTGCGCTCCTCCCCTGCACCCCCTTCCAGATCACCCAGTAGCAGCCCGCGCGCTCCACCTTCCCGGGACGACCTTGCTCGCAACAGTGTCTCCCTCCCCCCCACGCCTCTCTCCCCCATGCCTCTCTCCCCCATGCCTCTCGCCTCCCCCCCGCCTCTCGCATCCCCCCTTCCCCCTTGCACCTCGGCATCAAGGTCTGCCCACCCCACCTCCCTCCGCCGCCCCACCGACACACTCCTGTCCTCCTCTCCCCCCCTCCCGCGCCTCTCATGCTCCGTTCTCTCGTTCCTCTCACTCCTCTCACTCCTCTCGCTCCTCTCCCCATCCCCATGAGCCTCCAGCAGCCCAGCAGCGCCCGACCGGCTCCGCAGCAGCCGCCCATTCCGCTCCTCACCTTCCCCCTTGCCACCCCCGCCCCTCCCCACCCCACCCAACCCGCCTGCTGCTTGCGCCCTCCCCGCCCCCTCCCGCCCTGCGCCCTCTCTTGCGCCGCTGTGCTCTCTACCTGCCCCTCTGGCCAGCCCAGGACCATCCATGCTAGCGCGCCCTGTAGTGCTCATTCCCGCCCCTGCCCCCGCCCCCAACCCCAACCCCAACCCCAACCCCACACCCACGTCGAGACTCATATCCACCCCGCCAATCACAAAGTCTGATCTCGTGCGCTGGTGCCGCCCCCTCCCTGCCCTCCCTTCCCCTCCCGCCCCTCCTCTTCCCCCCGCCCGTACTGCTCCTAGCCTCCCGCCTGCTGCCCCCCGTCCTCCCCCTCCTCGTCCCCCTGCTGCTCCTGCTGCTGCTGCTCCAGCCGTCCCTTGTGGTCCCACGACTTGCAATCCCCTCACATCACCTGCCCCTCTCCGCCCCACCCCCCCATCCCAGTCATCCACTGACCCTCGCCCCCCCCTTCCCCCTCTCCCTCCTCTCCCTGCCGCCCCCACCCCCTCTCCCTCCCCCACCCTCCCTCACATCCACCCCCCTCTCCGCCCACTCTTTCCCCCCCTCTACCCCCGTCTCCCCCAACCCCAGATCCCCACCGAAACCGCCCAGAACCAGCCCACCCTCTGTCCTCTGCCGCCTGTGCCCCCTTCCGCCTCCCCTTCCCCCTGCCCTTCCCCCTGCGCCCGCTCCCCTCCCCCCCATGCCCCCCACCTGCCCGCCCCTCTGCTGCAGCAGCTGCTGCTTCACCTGCTGCAGCCGCATCTGCTGCTGCTGCTGCTGCTGCTGCTGCTGCTGCTGCTGCTGCTGCTGCTGCTGCTGCTGCTGCTGCTGCTGCTGCTGCTGCTGCTGCTGCTGCTCCTGCTGCGCGCTCAGCTGCTTATGCACCCCCTCCCCTCCCTCCCCCGCTAGCAACAACCCTGCGCCCATGCCCACTGCGCCACCTCCCCCTCCCCCACCTCCTCCTTCCCCTGCTGCTGCGCCGCTGTCTAGAAGGCTCCAAGACTGCTTCAGCTTCTGCTGCTCCTCCGGGCTTAGCAGCGACAGCAGGTTGTTCAGAGCCTGAGATATGTCCACTGGCTTGCACCCCGAACCTGCCGGCTTGCCATGGGCCGAGCCAAGGCCTCCCGGGCCTGATCCAGATGCAGTAACGGACCTGACAAGTGGCGGCGACGTGGAGGAGCCTGCTGAACCTGTAGACGTGGCAGGTTCGGCGTGAGGCCTGGGGAATCTGTTGCGACTGGAGGGTGCTATTGTAGGGTCGGAGTAAACCGGGCCTACAGCGGTGTTAGGGGCAGCAGTGGAAGCACTTCGGGGAAACTTGGAGAGCAACGGGGGGGCAGCGGAGGAGGCAAGGGAGGAAGAGGCGAAGCTAGAGGCTGATGTGATGGAGGAGGGCGAGGACATGGGGGGGGAGGACGGGCGCATGGAGGGGGATGGGGGGCGGATGGACGGGGAAGGGGAGCAAGGGGAGGGTGATGGAGGGCGGAGGGAGGGGACGGAGGAGCGGACGGACGGGGAGGAGGAGCGTAGGGAAGGGGAGGAGGGGCGTAGGGAGGGGGAGGAAGGGCGGAGAGAGGAGTGGTGCGGGGCAGAGGGCGCAGGGGGGGCGAGGCGAGGAGGGGTGGAGTTGCGTGCGGCATGGGGGGGAAGGGGGGCGCGGGATTTGTCTGAGAAGCGCCTCTGAAGGCGCGCTTCACTGCCACTCAGCTGCTCGAGGGGGGGAGTGGGGGGGGGGGGGACGGGGAGTTGGCTGCAAATAAGGGAACGGGGCTGAGTGAGAGAGAGTGGATGGCGGGCAGGAACAAACCGCATTGGATAACAAGCACAGCAAGAGCGAGAGGAAGTGGCGAGTAAAGTCCACCCACAGGGAACATATGACACAGCAACGGAAAGGTATTGCTGCAAATGGTATTGCTGCAAATGGTGCAGCAGAAAGTGCAATAGTCAGGCGTCATGTGGCGAACTCACCTCCCCACTGCTCGACCCAGTGAAGTCCAACTGCTGCACCACGTCCCTCCCCCTCTCCCCCTCATCCCCTCTCCCTCTCTCCTCCCCCTCCCCCTCCCTCTCCCTCTCCCTCTCCCTCTCCCTCTCCCTCTCCCGCTCCCTCTCCCTCCGCTGCACGCCATCTCCTCCCTCCCCCGCCCCTCCCCCTCCCCCTCCCCCTCCTCCCCCTCCCCCTCCTCCCCCTCCTCCCCCTCCTCCTCCTCCTCCTCCTCCTCCTCCTCCTCCTCCTCCTCCTCCTCCTCCTCCTCCTCCTCCTCCTCCTCCCCCTCCTCCTCCGCCCTTATCCGGCGTCCGAGACTTAACGAATTTGCGCCATTTAGACACAATGTTCTTTGCAGCGTTCTCCACGGGGGACGAGTCCCCCCCGCCACCCTTCTGCCCCCCATACCTCTCCCGCCCCTGCCGTTCCTCCCCATACCCCTCATCCACACTGCCTGCCACCCCCCCCACCTCGCCTCCCCCCACTCCCCTTCCCCCTCCCATCCCCTCCCCGCCCACCCCTCCACCTCCCCGCCCTCTCCCCCCCATTCTCCCCCCTGGCCCCGCCCTTCCGCCCATAACCCCCTCCCCTCTCCCCCCTCCTGGCATCCTCTGCTGCCCTGCGCTCTTCTGCCCGCCATCCATCTCCCCTTGGTTTTGCCACACCTGCGACTGCTGCTCCCGCGCCTCCAGGGGTTGCTGCCATGACATGCGCCGCTGGTGCCCCCGCCCAGCCCCTGGGGCAGCGCCAGTGCGCGGACCAGCGCCATGGGGGCCCGCTGCTGCCCCCCTCTCCTCTCTCCCATGCGCACCACTACCACCAACAACAACACTTCCAGCAACAGAAGCACCGTCCTCCCCTTCGCTCTCCTCCCCCCCCCACACCTGCATCACATCCGCGCCTCCTTCCCCCCCCCCCCTCCCCCCTCCCCCCCCCCTCCTCCCCCTCCCCCCTTTCCATGCATCCGCACGTTCTGCAAGCGCCTCCCCGCGCCCCCCTCCCCTCCGCGCAGCATGCCTTCTATGTTGGACGACGTGCGGGAAGCAGCCAACAAAGGCCGTCCGCTGCCGCCCCACAGCTCCCCCGAAGCAGCACCTGCCCCACTCCCTCCCTCGCTCGCCCCACCCCCTGCCATCAACCTACTGTTACTGCCATGCTGCTGCGAGTGCTGCTGCTGATGGTGATGATCCCCAGGGGCATGGGGGCGCGGGGGAAAGTCTTTCTTGGGCACGGTGGGGGGGGTGCCAGGGCGCCGCGAGTCTATCTTGTGCCGCCACTTGCTCAGCACCTGCCGCGCCAGTGATGCCTCCCCACCCCCCCGCCCCCCTCCGCCATCCCCCCTGCCTGCAGCCCCCCCAAGCGCGCCACTGCTGGTGTTGGGGCGCGGGTCCCCCGGCGCTCTGGGCTCAGGGTCGCTGTTAGCTCGGTTGAATAGCCGCTGCCGGGGGGTGCTAGCCCCATCCATGCCTCCACCTCCAGACGCAGCAGCAGCCGCTGCAGCCGCAGCAGCAGCAGCGGCACGGTCAGCAGCGTCAGCAGCGCGTTCAGCAGCGTAGGCAGAGGCGGAAGGAGCAGGCGCGGCAGTGGCAGGTCGCTCTGGTGCCCCTCTCCCCGCCCCCACGCTGATCCTCTGAGCGCCTTCAGACGCCTCGTCGCTCCTGCTGGCTGGTACCCCTATCGTTCTCCACCTTCCCGAACCCCTTCCCACCTCTCCCCCCCTCCCTTGCAGTCCCCCCAACCCTCCCCCCGCCCCTTCCCCCCCAGCTCCCCCTATCCCCCCATTCCCCCACTTCTCAGGGGACACGCGGCTGCTAGTCCGCGGATCAACCCCCGAAACGGTGCGCCTGGGGGGAGTCCGCGGAGCAGCCCCGCCCAACCCCGCCTCCCCCTCCCCCATCCCTGCTCCTCCCTCACTCGAGTGCTCGGAAGGTTCCTGGTAGGAGGAGGAGGAGGGGAACCAGCCGGCGAGGCTCATGGGGGAGGCATCAGGCGGCTGGTTCCAGGGGGGGTGCGATCTGGGGTCGAGGTCTACTGAGGCTGAGGGGAGGTGGGACCTGGGCGGGTGGTGGGACGCGCGGGAGGGGAATGAAGGGGTTTGGTCGGGGGGTTGGTGGTGGGCGTGGGAGGAGGAGGAGGAGGAGGGGAAGGGAAAGGACACGTCTCCTGTGCTGCTGCTGTCGCTGTGGGAGTTGGGCACAGCAAACGCAATCGCCATATCCTGAACGGGGCGCCCGTCAGCAGACTCTGACGCTGATTCCGCCCCTCTAGAGACGTCTTTAATCGCCTGCTTTGACGCGCTGCCTGTCTGATTGGTCCCACTGGCTATTGGGGTACCAAAAGGGACTGGACTGGGCGGCTCAGACTTTATACTCGTGAAGAACATATTCGTTATGCTGTCGGGTAGCATGCTCAGCACATCCCCCACCACTATCTCAGGCCCACCCGCCCCACTCCCCCCTCCCTGCGCCGTTCCCCCAGCACTCTCCCCCCTGCGCACCCCCGCTTCCCCCTTTGCTTCCCCCCTGCCCCCCGCCTTTCCCGTTCCGCCTTCCCCCTCCTCTTCCGCGTCGGAAGCCTCGGAGCTGGAGCGGGAGGGCGCCTGCTTCACAGGGAACGGCCGCCCCAGCATGTCTGTAGCGGCGGGGGATCGGTTCTCCGGGCTTACCGCCAGGAAACCCGTACTCGCCATGCGATCTAGCCTCAATCGCGGAGGGGTATTTCCAACTCCAGCCCGCGGGCCCGCACTGGCTGCCTGCTGCGATTGGGGGAGCTGCATGGGGGAAAGTTGGCTCCGCTTAGGCTCGAAATCCGCTTGCGCGGAAGCCCCGTCTCTTCCCCCGCGTCCGCTTATGGGCTTCGCGGGGCTGCCATCCCGCAAGCCCCCCATCCTCCCCTCACCCGCGTTTTGCGCCGATGGCAGCGCAAGCGCTGCGCCGCTGCTGGCCCTCCGCGCATGGTGCACCCTCGGCGCGCTGGTCGACCGCTCCGCCCCCTCCGCCAGGCCCTCAGCCAAGCCTTGCGCGTTCCGCGCGCGCGGAGCGACCTGAGGGGAGACGTGGGGAGCTTGCCCGTGCGTCTGGCGCTTCAGCACCTGCTGCTGCAGCGGCGGATGCTGCGGCGGTTGCTGCGGAGGGCGCTGCTGCTGCTCGTTCGAACCCGCCTTTCGCGGCGGGCCTAGCAGCTGCTGCCCTTGCCGCAATCCCGACCGTTCCTGCTGTTGCGACTGCGCGCTGATGCGACCTCCAGCCGTCGACTGCTGCCCGTGCGGGCTTTCCTCCGCCTCCGTTCTCTCGCTTCGCCATTCCTCACGAAAACGAGAAGTAACCTCTTCGCCCCCGCTACTGCACTCCTCCTCCCGCGTCTCTCCCCGCGTTTCCCGGCTCGGCGGCCTATCCTCTTCCCGCAATTCCCGGTCTGACGACCGATTGTCACGTTCTGACGTGGAGCTAGCAGCTGCTGAGGTGGCTGCGGTGGCTGCGCCGCGTTGCGCCCTCTGAAGGGCGTCCCATACAGTGCTGCGCTCGGGCGCGGAAATATTCGACTTTAACGAGCGGCCCCCACTACTAGAACTTCGGCTGCTGTCAGAGGCTGTAACGGCGGCGCCAGTGGCGGCCTGTGGAGCTCGGTTGGACCGTAGCGCGCTCGAGATACCGCGAAACACGGAGCGATGCTTCGTGGCGACGGGTGGGGTGTCCCGCGCGACCGACTGTACCTGCTCGAGGCCTCGTTCTCCTCCCATCTCATTCCCGCTGCCCTCGCCGCTCGTCCCTGTAACGGGAACTCTTTATCGGGGATGCTCATGTACCAATGCCTAAAAGCATTGCGCCATAGTCGTCAACACAAAAAAAAAAAACTTAACTAGGGTTCGAGACATTACGGAAACAGCTGTTTCAGGCGCACGTGGTGGTTATAAAAATTTCTACCTAAAAACACCTGCAGCGGTTTCACCACCTGGTTCGCCCTTCTCTGCCTCGTATCAGTCACACTCATGTCCCTCCATCCATCCGTACTCTGAATTGGTTGCCAAGGGTGTCCCCTCCCACCACTGCTTTCTGTGTGTTGTGTTGCGCTGGGCTGAGTTGGGATGGTCTGGGTTGGGTCGAGTTCGGTTGGGCTGGGTTGGGCTGCGTGGCGTTCCCAAGGCCTCACAAAAGTGGCTGAAGTGGTGCGGCGTGCTACTGCTGTTGGTTGCTGGTTCCGTTTCGTTGGTCCCTTGTGTTGCTGCTGCTGCTGGCGCTCGTTTCGTGCATCCCCCTCGAGCTTGTCGAACAAGAGTCAAAGTTCGATGAAATCCTCTTTATTGAATCGCTCATTTGCGACAAGGAAATGTAACGGGGGCAGAGTTGACCACTGAACCAACCGATATTATACCACATCATAACCCACAAACGCATGGTAGTACGGTACATGGAGGATTAAATACAAGGGCAGCTACAATGCCGCAGCGTGTAGGCACAGTGCTTGTGAGCAACTACCTAAACCGCTCCCCATAAATTAATCACAGGTGGTAATCTGGCATATATCAGCTTGTCTCATAAATTAAATGTATCGAATGCTCATGTCACCACCATTAGCTAAATCGGTGCTTCGAATATAATCCCATTATTGGTACCTGCGAATCCATGGATGACCTGTTGAGTGAGGGTGCAAGGCATAGGAGGTGGAGAACGGTGGTCAGGACAAGAGGAACAAACACAGAAGGACGAAATGTCACGCCAACTTCAACAAGGACTCAAGAGGTGAAAGTGAGACACAAGGCACAAGGCAACTTGGTTACTGCTACCATCATGTATCATGCCCTGCTCACCACAATCTACCTGCTCACCACAATCTACCTGCTCTGTTTCCGCATTTTGCTGATAAAATCTCCTCGGCCCTCCCACGCTGGCGTGGGAGAGGAAATCATCAGAGACACATGCCGCCTGGTGCCTGCCATTCCCCCCCCCCCCCCCCCCTTCCACTCTCACGCCCCACCCTCGCACTCACCCAGGATTTCCAGTGCCGTGATTCTCTCCCATGGATCCTTTGTAAGCATCCTCCTTACAAGGTCCTTGCACTCCTCGCTCGCATTCGCCCACTTGGCCGACTTGAAGCTCACGGAGCCCTTGAGAATCGCCTCCGCCACGCACTTGCGCGACGACGCCCAGAAGGGTGGCACGCCGCACAGCAGGATGTATAAGACGACGCCCGCCGACCAGATGTCGGCCTCGGGGCCGTATGACTGCAGCAGCACCTCTGGCGCCATGTACTCGGGCGTGCCCAGCACCTCCGTGAGCCGCTTGCCTGCAGCAATTGGTGCAGATTGTAGGGAACGGGGAAAGGAAAACCATGAGAAGAGGCATTCGGGAGCCATGCAATTTCGGGTGGCAATGGTAGCGGCAGGAGCAGGAGAAGGGGCAGTGGCAGCAACAGCAGCAGTGGCAGCTGCAGCAGACCTCAACAGCCACTCGCCTGGATCAAAGAGCATCGCGACCCTAGAGTCAACGAGCTTGATGCGGGAGTTGTCGGAGCGGGAGCGGGAGAAGAGGCAGTGGCAACAGCACAAACAGCAGCAGCAGTCGCCTGAACAAGCACTAACCAGGGTCAAAGAAGGTGGCAACCCCAAAGTCCACGAGCTTGATCCTTGAGTTCTCCGATCGGTCGCAGAGGAGGATGTTTTCGGGCTTGATGTCGCGGTGCAGGATGCCGTGGCAGTGGCAGTGCAGCAGCGCCTCCACCAGCGCTCGGCACAGCCGGGCGGCACACTGCTCCGACAGCCGCCCGCTGCTGCTCACCCGGTCGAAGAGATCGCCGCCCTGACACAGCTCCATCACTATGTGGATGTTCTGATGGGGGGGAGAAAGAAGGGGGGAGCGAGGCAAGAGGAGTGTGAGGGGAGTAGCGTGAGGGTAGAGCGGTCAAGGAGTTTCGATGACAAAGCACCATCACTGTGCGGATCTTCTGAGGGGGGGAGCGGGGGAGAAGAGGGGGAAACAAGGGAAAGAGGAGGAATGGGGGAAGGGTAAGAGATAGGGTGTGAGGAGAATGGGGAAAGAAGAGGACGAGAAGGGGTGGGTTGTGGGTAGGGGGAGAGGGTGTGAAGTCTCATTTTGAGACGTCTCAAAAGAGCGTGAAGGAGATTGCTACTCTGACACAGCTCATCACTGCATGAATGTTCTGGGGAGAGGAGAGGAGGGTGGGAGAGAAGGGAGGGGGGTGCGACGAACGGGGTCTGAAAGGCGAGCAGAGCGAAGGGGAAAGGGTGCATAGAAAGAGGGATGTGAGGAAAGAGGGGTGCGAGGGGAATGGGGATGTGGGGGGAAGGGGGTGCTGGGATAAAAAAGAGGTTGAGAGGGCGATGTTTGCATTGAGATAGTGTGACATGGGTGTACATTGACTCACGTCATCCACCTGCTGCACATAGTTAATCCTCAATTATCTCACTTCATTAAGTCTTAATATCTCCAACCACCTCTACTACACCCCAACCTCCTCGTATTACACCATGGCTTTAAGAATCAGTATGGTGGGATGCCTGCACAATCATAAATCTGATGCCACAGCTGCATTGACACTTCAACAAACCATCCTGTAACCCCATCCTGTAACCCCATCCTGTAACCCCATCCTGTAACCCCATCCTGTAACCCCATCCTGTAACCCCATCCTGTAACCCCATCCTGTAACCCCATCCTGTAGCCCCATCCTGTAACCCCATCCTGTAACCCCATCCTGTAACCCCATCCTGTAACCCCATCCTGTAACCCCATCCTGTAACCCCATCCTGTAACCCCATCCTGTAACCCCATCCTGTAACCCCATCCTGTAACCCCATCCTGTAACCCCATCCTGTAACCCCATCCTGTAACCCCATCCTGTAACCCCATCCTGTAACCCCATCCTGTAACCCCATCCTGTAACCCCATCCTGTAACCCCATCCTGTAACCCCATCCTGTAACCCCATCCTGTAACCCCATCCTGTAGCCCCATCCTGTAACCCCATCCTGAAACCTCATCCTGTTGTCTCGCACTGCCTCTCTGCGAGTGATTATGGTGGGTGGTTCTGCAAGAACCCACCTACACCTGCAGCTACAGCTGCACTTAGTGCCTTGAATGTGGTACGGTTATAGGGTGGTCTGTAAGCTACAGTTGCAGCAGCACTTCCTGCCTTACCACCCTGTCGCCCTACCTCGTCTTCTTAACCCCGTAACCCTACCATGTCTTTAGGCGTTACTATGCTGAGGTGGCATGACCTTCCCACCCTACCCTCGTACCTCCTCGTCCTCCACGGTGTCTTTAAGAGTCACGATGGTGGGGTGGTTGCGCGATGATGCGCCCAACCCCATGAAATTACCACGGTACCCCCTCAACACCGCACCTCTTCATCCTCCACGGTGTCTTTAAGAGTCACGATGGTGGGGTGGTTGCTCATTAACCCAATTAACCCTATGACCTTACGGCCCTACCTACCATCACATCACCCTACCCTCGTACCTCCTCGTCCTCCACGGTGTCTTTGAGAGTCACGATGGTGGGGTGGTTGCGCAGCAGCGTGAGGCACGCCACCTCCTTGCGAATGTCCTCCGCGTCCTCCTTCGTCTGGCGGGTGTGACCGGGGAGCGGGGCAGCAAACAGGGAGCAGGGGAAGGGGGAAGGAGGGAACGAGGGTGAGAAAGAGAGCAGCAGCATGAGGCACGCCACCTCCCTGCGAATGTCCTCTGCATCCTGCTTCGTCTGGCGGGTGGGCACCAGGCAGGAGGAAGAAGGGGTTGTAGGCGGGAAAAGAGGGAACGAGGTTGGGGAAGAGAGGAGCAGCAGTGTGAGGCACGCCACCTCCTTGCGAATGTACGCCGCGTCCTCCGCTGTCTGGGGGGCGTGGCAGGACAGCATGGCAGTGATCATGGAGCAGGGAACAGGGAGCAGGGGGAGAGTCTGAGGAAGAGAGAGGAGCAGCAGTGTGAGGCACGCCACCTCCTTGCGAATGTCCTCCGCATCCTCCTTTGTCTGGGGACCACCGGGCAGAGGAACAGGGGCGCATTGGGATAGGGGTTGAGCAGGGGAGCAGGGGAGCAGGGAAGCAGGGGAGCAGGGAAGCAGGGAAGCAGGGGAGCAGGGAAGCAGGGAAGCAGGGAAGCAGGGGAGCAGGGAAGCAGGGAAGCAGGGAAGCAGGGGAGCAGGGAAGCAGGGAAGCAGGGGAGCAGGGAAGCAGGGGAGCAGGGAAGCAGGGAAGCAGGGAAGCAGGGGAGCAGGCAGGGAAGAGGGGAAGGGCGTGAGAAAGAGGGGAGCAGCAGCGTGAGGCATGCTTTCTTGATGCCCCCAGCATCTTAAATTGTCTGGGGATCACCAGGCAGAGGGGTGATGGGGCCACCGGGAAGGGGGTGATGAAGAAGAGGAGTTGGGGAGCAGGGACAGAGCATCGCACAGCACCACACAAACAGCAGAGCACAGCACCACCACTGTGCATGATTCCCTCCTTGTTCACTATGTTTTGTTTCACATGAAGCCTGCCTATCCTTCTGTTGTTTTCACATGAAGCCTGCCTATCCTTCTGTTGTTTTCACATGAAGCCTGCCTATCCTTCTGTTGTTTTCACTTGAAGCCTCTCCGTTTGTTCTGTTGCTTAGGGTACGTTCTTGGCCTGTGTCAAGTTTCCTGACACGAGGCTATCGACAGCTCTGATCGTTCCACGTCAGCATCAATTAAATCCAAACGCTTCACAGCTTCATGTCAGCCTGCCTGACACAGGCCAAGAACGTACCCTTAGAAACGAAACTCGCCTCTTCCTCTGTTGCATTCTCCCCTGGGCTATGAGTCTCACCTGAATACATTTCTTGTCAATGGTCTTGCACGCAAACACCTGCCCGGTCGCCACCTCCATGCACGGCCGAATGATTCCAAACTGCCCGCTGCCCAACTCCTTACTATGCAGCACAAACAGGCCTTTAATCGCCCCATACTCCTTCCTAAGAACGTGGTCCCGTGGCGGAAGCCCCTCATACTGCCCGAAAACATCTGCCACATTGCCCGAAAAACTCGCTGGCTTGCGCACACCCGCGCCCAGTGTAGCGTTCAGCTGCCGCCCCTGCTGCTGGCGGTGTGGCGCCACCACCTGAGAAAACACCTGAGGAACCACCTGGGGCTGCAGGCGAGCCTGCTGTTGGTTCTGCCCGGATTGCCCCATGTGACTCTGCGCCCTGGATCCATCCAAATCCAATATCTCTGTATCCCCTTGCTCTTGCTGCCGCTGCTGCTGCTGCTGCATTAGCCGCTGTTGTTGTAGCTGCATTAGCTGCTGCTGTTGCTGCTGTTGGAACAGCGCCTTAGAAGCAGCAGCAGCAGCAGCAGCAGCAGCGTTGGGAGCAGCGGCAGTGCGAGGGGCAGCCGCGGCAGCAGCGAGAGCAAGGTGTTTGGACGCCTCGGCAAGCGCCGCAGCCGTGACCAGCCTGTCTCCTGCAAACCCCGAGATGGACGACGACGGCCGATGCCTCCCCACCACTCCCACTCCGCCCCCAATGCCCCCGCCTCCCCCACCTCCCCCCGCGCCTGCCGCCCCTCCTCGCCTTCCCCCTGCCCCTGCGCCCCAAGCTACTGCGCCCACCCCTCCTGTCACAGGCCCCAAGGCGGGTTGGTTGAGCAGCCTGGCGAGGCTGGGCGGGGAGACATGATCCAGGTGGTACCCAGACAGGCGCAGCTGCGCCTGCAGCGCCACGTGCTGCTCCCCACCCCCGCCCCCCGCACCCCCCCCGCCCCCGCCCCCGCTCCCGCCCCCGCTGCCGCTGGCGCGCTTGAGGGTCTGGCGCAGGGGGCCTGCGGGCTTCAGCGCCTCGCCCGGGTTGTTCAGTACGAAATCCGCGCTGCCTGTGCGCCGGTGACGTGCCGCTCTCCTATTGGCTGCTGCTCGCTCTGCTGCCGCGGAGACGGGAGAAGCGCCGCCTAACGAGGCGCCTCCTGCGACTCCTGCTGCTGCCGCCGCCGCCGCTTCCGCTGCTGCTTTCTGTGCGCGAGCTGCCGCCGCCACATCAGCAGGAGCGACAGACGCAGAAGCGCGTGCGGCCGCAGCGGCAGCGGCGGCGGCAGCAGCGGCGGAAGGCGAGGGTGAACTGTGCACGTACCCGCCCAGGCCCCCCCCCGCCTGCAGCTCCATCCATTTCTGGGCAATCTGAGTAATTTCCCCTGGGGAAATCCCCACTGGAGCCCCTGCTGCAGCTAGCGCAGCAGCTGCTGCAGCGGAAAGCGCGGATGGATAATCAACACTCCCCCCGCTGCTGCTCCCGCCACTGCCAACGCCACTGGAGGCGGATCGATGGCCTGTGGACACCCGCTGCTTCACAGGACGATTGCACGCCCCCGCATCCCCGTTACTAGCTCCCCCGTTACCAGCACCCGAGTAACCTGCAAAGTCACCTGCGCTTGCGCGCCTACCTGAAATTCCACCTGAACGCGCAACGCCCCCTGAGGGATCCCCCAGGGACATGTGCGAGAGGGCGCGCATCTCCTCTTCCCCCAGCATCGCGCTCCCCCGCCGCTTAAGCTGCTCCGCGCGCTCAGACGTGGGGGAGACTCCCCCCGCGGCTGCTCCGCCTGTGCGCATTTCTGCGCCGGCCGCGTCTCCCCCTGCCCTCTCCGCGTGGCCCGCTAACCCCACCGCTGCTGCGCCGCCAGCTTGCCTCAGCGGGGAGTTTCCCCTCAACGGGAAACTCCCGCCTGACGCGGAGCTTCCTTGCGCGCCCCCCCGCTCCATCTGCAGTTCTGAAATCCCTATTGCGCGGCCCTGCCGCTTCCCCCCTCCCTGCTGCTGCTGCTGCGCCTGGTGCGCCTGCTGCTGCTGTTGCGCCTGCCATTGCTGCTGCTGTTGCTGCTGCTGCTGCTGCTGCTGCTGCTGCTGCTGCTGCTGCTGCTGCTGCTGCTGCTGCTGCTGCTGCTGCTGCTGCTGCTGCTGCTGCTGCTGCTGCTGCTGCTGCTGCTGCTGCTGCTGCTGCTGCTGCTGCTGCTGCTGCTGCTGCTGCTGCTGCTGCTGCTGCTGCTGCTGCTGCTGCTGCTGCTGCTGCTGCTGCTGCTGCTGCTGCTGCTGCTGCTGCTGCTGCTGCTGCTGCTGCTGCTGCTGCTGCTGCTGCTGCTGCTGCTGCTGCTGCTGCTGCTGCTGCTGCTGCTGCTGCTGCTGCTGCTGCTGCTGCTGCTGCTGCTGCTGCTGCTGCTGCTGCTGCTGCTGCTGCTGCTGCTGCTGCTGCTGCTGCTGCTGCTGCTGCTGCTGCTGCTGCTGCTGCTGCTGCTGCTGCTGCTGCTGCTGCTGTATCGCCGCCGCTACAGCCGCTGCCGCCTCCGCCGTAGCAGCTGCGCCCGCCGTGTACCCGTCGGCAATCATCTGGGCGGCAGCTAGCAGCCGCGCGTGCAAGTCCTGTACGGCGCGGCTCGCACTGTTCACCGCGCGCACTCCCGCGGGCGAGGAGCTCCTCCGCGGAGAGGCTCCCCGCGGCGTCGCGGGTCCGCTTCCCGCGGAAGCGGCGGCCACGAGCGCCGCTGCGGCGGATGGCGCAATAGGCTGCGCGGGTGTGTGGCGCGGGGAGGGAGGCGGGCGGGAGAAGAAAGCGGGGCGCGGGGAGGAGCTGCCCTCATGCATGTCGGCGGAGAAGTTGTGCTGGAGGAGCGCGGAGGCGGCGGAAGCGGAGGCTGTGCGCCGATGGGCCGGGCGGACCGGCCGGGGGGTGGCGATGGGCGCGCAGGCGCTCGGCGGCCCCGCACCGCCGCGGGAGGGGGAAATGTGGTCTGGCGCACCGTTACGCGGCGGAGTGGTTTGCGACGCGTGCGGGTTGAGAGGCGCGTGGAGTTGCTTGGGGGAGGGCAGCTGCGCGCGATGCGCGAGGGGCGCGTGCGAAGTGCCGCCGTAATCGCCGCGAGGCGAATGCGACGCGATGACTTGGTCGTAGCTGTCGAGCGACGACGATCGCGGAGACCGATGCGGCGGCACAGCGGACGGCACGGCGGACGGCACGCTCTGCTGGGAATAAAGCTGCCGCGCTTGCTGCTGTGACTGCTGCTGGAACTGCTGCTCCAAGAACGAGTCGCGCTCTTGCGGATGTTCGTCCCTCTGCTGGCCATGTTGCGATCGATCATTACTCGGAATCTGTATCTGTAACGAGTCTGCTTCAAGTGAGTCAGGCTGGGGTTCTAACCGAGTCGAACCTCCCATATTAAGCAGCTCGGAGAGCGGAGATGGCGCAATTGCGCGCTGCGAGCCGCCATACGCGGAAAGCTGCTGGCGGGAGCGCATTGGGGACCGCGGACAGCCCCCGTGCGCCAGAATGAAGGGGTTCACCGGAAGCCCCGCGCCAGTCCCCGCGCCGCCCGCCACACCAGCTGGCGAACCCGCACGCTGAGCGGACGGCATTCCGCCGCCCGCCATTGCGCGCGGGGAGTTCCGCGCAGCGGGTCCCAGGTACAGTCCGGTGCGCGGATGGTCGGGGGAGATTGTCGGGGAGTCGGTGCCTGTGGCGGGCTGGAAAAGGCGGGGGGAGGGGGAACGGGAGCTCCGCCCCCCATCGGCAGGGGCAAAGCCGCCTTGCGCAGCGGATTCTAGATCCAGCGGAGCGGCGGAAGCGGACAAAGCTTGGGCGGAGGTGGAAGGGGATTGAAATGTGGTCAGGGGACTGAGCGCCCCGCGGTTGCGGCGAGAAAACAGGGAATTCGTGTCCCGCCTGGGAGGCGACGCGGTCCTGCTTGGAGTAACTTGGTAACCGCTTCGGGGGTCATAGCTGCCTGCGTTGGATGGAACACGCGGCTCGCACGAGGTCGGAGACGAGCGAGCGTAGTGGTCTGGTGAGGGCGGCAGGGGGGAGCGGCGGGGCATGCGGTCCGGGCTGCCGACTTCATCCATGGTGGCGTCAGCAAGGTTAACGACGTTGGGCGGGTCTTGGCGCGGCGAGTGGTACTGCGGCGCGCGGAACTGCGGCTCTATGTCCATGGCTTGGGCTGTGCCGACGGCCGCCATATGCATTCCTGGAGCTAAGCGTGTGTGGAGGACTTCGAATGAACAATAATACCTGGAAGAATCTTAAGATGCAGCCTATTAGGGAACCACAAAAGGTACGGACAGTGGCGTGCGGTCATAATGGATGAAGGGTTCAGGAATGCAGAGTGGGCGTTCTGTTTCACAGGTTTGAGCTGGCTTGGGGTAGATGGGATGACGGAAACCGTTGATTGCGATCGTGGTTGGCCTCTTGTCCGGTCCGTCCCCGTCCGGTCATTGTGCTTTGGCGGGAAAAAACTGGGGTAGGCATTGAGCCAACTTCAGTGGGAAGCCAGTGGGAAAACGAGGTCACTGAACCAGGGGGTTGGGACTTGGGGTTGAGGTGGTGGGGGTGAAAGGGGCGGGTGGGTGGGGTGGAGTGGAATGGAATGGAGCAGGCAGGAGCAGCAGACAGACCAGAGGTCGTGGTGGAAAATTGGATTCTCTCAATTCAACCAGCTGACCGGATCCAATCTCTCTGGTTGTTTAGCCTCGTCAGGATTCGTGGCAACATGGCACGGCTGACCGCTTGACTGCTGGGAAACTGTGTAACTTGAATTCGCGATTCTCGTGAATGCATGAATGTGTGCTTGCGGCGGGTTGCTATGCTAGCTACCTTCACCTTGAACAGGTGGGGCCACAGTGGCGATGACCATTGCATCGAGGGAATTGACGAACCGCCCTGGTTTCGGGTTTCCGATTCCATTCGGCAGTGGTTTTGACACCGTATTTCTTCGCGCTCGATTCTGATACCTTCGGTCAGTTATTTACGCTATTGCCCCTTGTCGAGTCCAGAGACTAATACTGTCTTAATTTATCGGGATATCAAAAAAATGAATTTTTGCGTCAATTACGAAAAGCTAGGGACAAAAAATATATACCCCTCATGGAGGGCATGCCATTTGGGAGGCATCAACCCTAAACACCATGAGGCAAGGTGTTTAGGGTTGATGCCTCCCAAATGGCCAGCCATCCGAGAGGGGTTTATTTTTTCCACTGGCCACTAAACTAAAACCAGGTAAACTTCAGAATTTTCCTGGTCACAGGAAATTGGAAATGTCGAAATCGGCTGCCCCAAGGAGTCGGACGCGAGCGGAGAAGCAAGGCGGTGTCAAAGCCACCTCCCAAAGGAATCGGAAACTTGAAAACAGGGCAATCTGTCATTTCCTCCATTGCATCCCTCCCAGTTTCCGGGCCGCGTTTATCACCCTGAAATTTGCTTGGAGCGAGGTGTCGTCGTGAACTGTTTTTCAGAAAGTGTCTTCAGAAACACTGTACACTGTACCAACTGGGCTGCGCGCCAAACGGCTGTCACCAGCGCCATGGTGCACGGAGGTGGCGAGAACACGAGGAAGGGTTGTGGTTGGTTGTGAATGGCGCTCTCCCCAAGTGATGTCGTCACGTGAAATTGGAACGGAATATGCACAGCCGTATAGCACATGGAGATTCACACTTGGGTGCAGAAGCAACGACTGGTTCTGTAGCCACACTTCTTGCACCCAACCTTCGATTGGATTGGAACTGTATCCTGCGTGCACTACACAGCAGCACCACCCTCCCTCCCACCTGCGAGGAGTCAATCAGTCAGTCAGGCATGATGGACAGACACCATCGAAGAAATCCAAAGATGCAATAGTCACTCAAATGTACGCGTCAAAACGAGTTGTAAGTCGGGATGTGAATGGCATGCATACCCATACATGATAAATTGTTGAGAAATTCAATCAAGCATGTTTGAATACGGTAGTTGGTCATGGCCAATGCAGAGCTTCATAACATAATTGAGGAACGTACTGGCCTATAATGGATAGACAGAACACGTGTGAGATTCTCCTCTCATCCCCGAACTTCCGGTACTTGCTTGTTTTATTAAACGCGATTAGCACTGATGAATCAGATCAGAGTAGCGTTCAGGGACAATTCTGAATTCCTGAGTTCCCAACATACGGTGAGAACCTTGACATCAGAGTAGTGAAAACTGAAAGGAAACCCCCGCATGGTATCTGCTCTATCCCTATAACATAAGGAGAGGGGGGAATGGGATTTGCTGTGAGTCAGAATTACAATGTTACCGTATTTTGAAATCGTGGATTTAGTTTGGATGTAACCAGTTCCTCCTCACTCACTCAGCTGCACACCCTAACATCAAGTGGTAATATTCCTCCATCCGTGCCGTATCTGCATTTACTACGGTACAGAGCCTAGTTTCTACCTGTTTCAGCAAACCAGCAAAAAAAATGTATTTCAGGCAAATCCCCAACCAGGTATACTGCAAGCACCTTCAGCCGATCACAACAACCCTTGTACTATGGTACCATGCTCAATCCTCAAAACATTGTATTCCAGTCAGTTAAGCACACATTAGCTACCATATTATCACCACACATCAACCAGTAGTTATTTCTGGAGTGCCTCACAGCGTGCTTCGCGTAACCCCCAAGGCACTCACACGGCCATTCAAATTACCCGCACACCCCCTGCTCGAGCCCAATTCCAACCCTTCCACCGCAGGCTGCCAGAAAGACGCACCAAGCATGGACTTACCCTGCCACAGCAGCTGCACACCCCCCAACGGATGACTCACCACCGAAAACCCCTTGGAATACGGCGCAAGCATCTGCCCCAGCGCCGCCATACTCCTCCGCGAAAACGGCTTGGGAGCAAACCCAATGCGCTGCATCCTCTCATGCAACTGATCCAGCGTTTCTGCCCGCACCAGCCTCTGCAGCCCCTCGCACGCCACCAGGTTAATCATCTCGCGTGCCAGCACTCTGTCCTCGAAGCCGCGGCGTCCGAAGGAGGCACGCGAGGCGAGGTGCTCGTGGGAGTGGAAAACGTTGGAGAAGAAGTCGAGGCAGTCGCGGAAGCGGTGCAGGAAGAAGGGCTGCCGGTGGTTGGCGTCCCACTCCACTATCGTCACCACCTTGGGGGCTAGCTGTAGGATGGTCTGTAGGGATGGATGGTGGGTGGCATGGGAGGAGCAGAGACGAGGAAGGGGAGGTTAGAGGCGGTGGGAAGAATCACTGAGAAAAGCGGAGGGAAGGAAAAGCGTACCGAGAGGGCAGTGTCTTTGGGGCTGGAGCGCAGCACAGTCGAATCCGCCAGGTTGGCCAACCTCCCCGCGCAGTTCACCACCACGGCCTCCCCGCGCTCTACCCCTAGCATGAGCGGCCGCAGCGTCTCTGGCCGCGCCTCCACGCGGTGGAAGCTCAGCGCCACTCCGCACTCTGCCGCTGCGCCGCTCACCTCCGCCTGCAGGAACGGGATGGGGATCTTGGGGCCTGCCCCCCAGGGGTGGCCGGGAGGAGGCTCGACTGCAGTGTAGCGGATGTGGAGAGGGAGAGGGCCTGTGCACGTGGGGCATGCTCCGCTGCTGCCGCCGTTGCTGTTGCTGCTGCTCCTGCTGCCGCCGCTGCTGCTGGCGCCAGCGCCGTCGGTGACAGCAGCGCAGCCGTGGGTGCAGCTCTCGCGGCGGCGGCGGGCGGCGGAGGCCGCCAGCTGGCGGATGACGATGGGCCACTGGCCGCCCCACATGGCGAAGTCAACGATGTGCACGAGGGGGTCGTGCTCTAAGGCGTCCACGATACCGCACGCCATGGTGGTGTAGCAGTGCTGCATGAGTGGGTTGCGCGCTGCAAAGGCGAGTATGAGAGCTTCCTCCTGGTGAGGGGGGAGGGGTGAGAGAGGGGAGGGAGACAGAGAGAGGAAGAGAGAGGAAGAGAGAAGGGCAAGGGAAAGGGGGGAAAGAAGCAAGAAAGTGAGGGGAGCGAGAAGAGGAAAGAAGCCGACGATGTGCACAAGGGCGTCGTGCTCTAGGGCGTCCACGATGCTGCACGCCATGGTGGTGTAGCGGTGCTGCATGAGTGGGTTGCGCGCCGCGAAAGCAAGGATCAGTGCTTCCTCCTGATAGAGACGGGGCAAGGGAGCAAGAGGGGATGTGAGCATGGGAGGGCACTGAAGGCGCTCTAAGGCGCCCACGATGCCGCACGCCATGGTGGTGTAGCAGTGCTGCAACAACGGGTTGCGCGCCGCAAATGCAAGGATCAGGGCTTCTTCCTGGTGGGGGAGTGTGGGAGGGGGGTGGGAGATAGTGGAAGATGGGCGGATAGTGGCCGAGAGGGAGGGAGTGGAGAATGGTGTATGGATGAGCGGAAGACGGGTGAGGAGAAAGAATCGGTTTTGAGTGGGTGAGGAGTGGTCAGTGGGCGGGTAAGGAGAGGAGGAAGGAAAGAGAGAAAGGAACGAGAAAGGAAGGAGAGGAGTCACAAACCACCCCATTTGCCATACCATGCCATGCCACCCCATGGCATGTATGCAGAAACCCCACTCACCTCGGTTGTCTGCAGCGGCTCCACCACACACTCCTCCCCAAAACTCCCCGACACAATTATGAGTGAGTCGACCCACTCCAAGTGAACCCACTCACCTCCGCGCCATGCCACCCCACGCCTTTCTAAAAGAACCGACTCACCTCGGCGGTCTGCAGCGGCTCAACCACGTACTCCTCCCCAAGGCTCCCAGACGAAATGACTTGTGAGTCAACTCAAAAGCGAACCCACTCACCTCAGCAGTCATGCCACCCAATGCCATGCAAACCCCACTCACCTCGGCGGTCTGCAGTGGCTCCACCACATACTCCTCCCCAAGACTCCCCGATGCGCGCTTCCCCAGCGCGCCCAGCAGGTAGTGCACCACGCGCTGCATGGGCGTGCCGTGGGGGGTGGCGTCCGCGCGCAGCACGCGCGTGAGCGCCGCCATCTCGCCCTGCTCGCTCGTGGCCACGGCCTCTGCCAGGCGCAGCAGGCGCGCGCGCAGCTCCGCGTCCGACGCGGAGGGCGCGTGCACTGCACGCACGTCCTCTGTGCTCCCGAATATGCTGGGGGACGGCGGAATGCCCGTGATGCGTGGGAGGGGTGGCATGGGTGGCATGGGTATGGCGGGGGTGGGAACGGGAGCGGAGGAGAAACCGGGCGGCACTTGTTGCGCGGATGCCGCCCGGAGGGCCTCCCAGATGGGGAGGTTTATGTCCGGGAATGGAAGCTTCCCGGCAGCAGCGAGGTATTGCTCCAGTTCTGGGGTGAGGGTTACGGACGGCAGACCACCCGCCCTGCCTGCCTGTGCCTGCTGCAACACCTGCAGCTGCCGCCCCTGCTGCATCAACTGTGCCTGCTGCCCGTGCTGCCCCTGCTGCCCCTGCTGCCCCTGCTGCGCCTGTTGCGCCTGCTGCGCCTGCTGCAGCGCGTGGTGCTGCGAGTGCGCGCGCATGGCATCCAAAGACGCCAGCAACGCCGGGTCCATCCGCAACCGCACCTGCGACACCAAGTCCATGTCCGTCGCCAGAGGCGTTCGCGAATTCGCCAACAGCTGCGACAGCATGTCCGCGTCCGTCGCGCGAGCCCACCCCGCCGTCCCCCCCGTCACCCCCACCATCCCGTCCATCCCCCCCGCGTCCGCCGTCATCCCCGCAACCGCCAAAAACGGCGCTGCTGCCCCCGCTGGTTCCGCAGCTGCTTCCGTGGCCCCGCGGGGTGGCACACCGGCGGAAGCTACTGGCACGGCCGCGGCCCTGTCAGCGGCGGTAAGCGCGCGCTCGAGCGCGAGGCTCTCGGCAGCGCGCATGGCGGGCATGCTGTCGAATTGGAACTCGCGGTGGAACGCCGAGTCCACCAACGGTCGCTTGCCCGCCGCCTCCTGCTGCGCCGCCTCGCCTCGCTGCTGCTGCTGCTGCTGCTGTCCGTTCCTGTACTGTGGCTGCAGCTGCTGCTGCTGTTGCGGTTGCAGTTGATGCTGCTGCTGCAGCAGGAGCAGATATTCTATCAACTGTTGCTCGTCGCCCTGCCCTGGACCCTGGCCTATCCGCTGCAGCAGCCGCTCCAGCTCGCTCGCGTTCCCCGTGCTCCCCTGCGCCATCTGTGGCGCCATTGGCCGCCGTAACACCATCTGCTGCTGCTGCTGTTGCTGCTGCGGCTGCTGTTCGTTAGAACGGGGCACCAACGGTTGCACCAGCGACAACGACTGCTCCAGCAATCGCTGGTGCTGCGCCGCCAATGCGGGAACAGCCTGACTTTGGACCTGGGCGGCTAACTTCCGCGCTTGCGCCAAGGCTTGCGCCTGCCCTTGCTCTTGCGCCTGCCGTTGTGCGTTCGCCTGGGCTAGCGCGGCGGCCTTCTTCGCGCGCGATTTCTGCGCCTGCATTCGGCACACGCTCGCCAGACGCTGCGTCAAATCGACCGGCTTCACCACCCTGGCCGGCTGATCCTTTGAAACGTTCTCGCCCTGCTGCTGCCGCTGCTGCTGTTGCTCTTCATCGCCACATTTTGCGCTGCCGCTGCTCCCGGTGCCGTCGCTGCTCCCGGCTGACGTAAGCGCTTGAGACCGGGACACGAGCGAACCGCTTGCGATGGCTTCGCGAACTTGCGCGTGGTTTTTCGTCGCACTGGCGACGCTCTGCGACGCGGCCTCCTGAAGAGATTGCAACCCCGTTTCGTGCTGCGAAGCCTCGCTGCATCGGCAACGCGGGAATTTTTGACACCTCACCGGCTTTCCGCCGCGAGTCCCGCTTTCGCAAACCGACGAAGCGACGGAGCGACAGGGGAAACTGCCACTCTGCGACCCGTGCGAAATTCCTTCGCCGGACCTCTTCGCATCCGCGTCGGCGACATGAACGTCACCACTTCTCTTCGTTACCAAGTTTGTCGAGGCGCGAAGGCTGTCGACGCGACGCGTAACGCTTTCGGGCACTGACGACCCGCCGCCTTGCGACGCCAGAGCGTGTCCGACGCCGCCAGGAGTGTTCACCCCATTATGACGGAGGTCGCTCAAACAGGCGCGAGTCGGCGCTTTGGTGTGCGTATGACCTGAATCAGACGACGCCTTCCGTAGCGTTGAACTCAGAGGAGCACTCAGGAGGTCGAGATTCCATCCAACCGATGCTGCAGGAGCAGCAGCAGGAGCAGGAGCAGGAGCAGCAGCGGCAGTAGCTGCAGAAGGAGCAGGAGCAACACCAGAACCACCAGCAGCATCAGCAGGAACGAAGAGAGCGCCGGCACGAGTCTTTTTATTCCGTCCCTGCTTCTGAATTTCGGTTTCGTGCTCCGGTTCGACCGGTGGTGGGGGTTGCTGCACACCTGAGATGAGAAGCATGGAAACAAAGGGGGAAAAAATGAAGGGACTACAAGGAAAAGGGTCCCATGCCAGAAAATCGATACATGGTTCAGCAGCATAGCACGGAAAACAATGGCATTACCTTGTGTTAGTGGAATCATCGTGGCAGCAGCAGGTTCAGGAGTATGAAAAATATCATGCTGAAACGAGTTTTCTCATACCATTGCATCCCGACGATGGGAGGAATCCCTCTGCGAACCGAAGCGCGGGGTCCGTCCATGCTGCCAGGTCGTGAATCGCCGCGTCACCAGTCAGCAATCCGTCAAACATTCCATCTTCAAGGAACGGAGTTGCACAGTTAAGTCCACGTCCGAATTGAGATATAACGTCGCCGTGATTATCGCTGTTGTGCAACTGAGCCGCCTTAACGAGCTCGTTCGACGATGGAAAACGAGCGTCAGAATGGTGTTTTCTATCGATGCCACTGCCACATTGTCCGCCGGCTTCCACACCTCGTCCGCTCCAGCCGTTCGTGGGATTGTCCACGCCATGACTAAAACCGTCCATGAGAACCATGGAGCCGGGGAAATCGCCCTGGTTGGCAGGCCAAGCTGCGGCTTCCGTGAAAATAATAGGAGCCATACGAAGGATCCTGTGATTTCTTGACGGGAACAGACTAATCAGCTGACAAGGTTACTCGAAAGAAAAATAAAGGCTCGTCCCGCTCACACGAAGAGTTCTGCAGTGACACTGTAGCTGTGACAAGTACTAGCTGAGGGAAATAACAGAAACACTCCCGTGCTGTCAACTGGGTTTGATTTAATACTGTTCGTGTGCGGTTCATATGGTTACATCACGATCTGATAGGGTTCTAGCACACTCCAGTTCTTGAACACAGAAAATATGCTGTAAGGATCGACCTCATTTCTGCATGAAGGAACTTCTTGGAGAGGAATGGCGAGCGAGGGAGGGAGGTACAATTCGGTATTCAGAGGCTCCTCCTGGTCCGTCCGTCAGCACGTTCGACCCTCGTTCGTTCTGTCTGGTTACTTTTGTTTTGTCATGCTTGGAAACGGTGAAGCTTTAGAACCGCTGTGCACCGTTTGGAATCGTTTCAAACCATGACGGGTGTACTGATAAACACACTGATCACGCCCTCATGACTCTTCCCCTCTCCTCCTCTCCTGCCTGCTCCCTCCCATTCGTCGGCTGTAAATTTCTTTTCGTTCCCACACTCGTTTGACTCTTATGTAAATCATGTTTTGTCTAACCGCTGGTTGTCAACTGTACATCACTCTTTCTGTTGGGCAGGAATAACGAAAACTTTGTCGCATCCAAATGCGGTCAGTCCTTTGAGAGGCTGCTCCTGGCTATCGAAACTGATTGGGCTGATTGGCTCCAAATTATCAGGGCGTGTTACATATATATTAATTTTGACCATCCGAACAGCTGCAAATCCGCACTCGTAGGGTTACCAACTTATAAGAATTTCGTCATCGATCTCGATGCTGGACGACATTGGTTACCTTACAAATTTCTGGACGATCAGCCATCCCGACAGTCAAAAGCAACAAATGTAACACGCCCTGGGAGAAGGACGGCGTTGAAGGGCATAGAGCACAGCAAATCGCATGAAAGGACACGCGTGTGGGCTTGAAGACAATAATGATGAGCCGCTTATGAACTGTACACGTGAATGTGCGCATGCACACGATATCACTGTATCAAGGATTGGATCTTAAAAAAACGTGTTTCTCTTGGACCACGTAGGGCGTGTGGAGTAGACAATAAGTTGTCGAGCTGATGGCGACACAGTACAGTTTCTTATCGGAAATGTTAATGACTGTGAAGTTAGGTATCAGTTTCTCCTCAAATTCCCTTGCTAACAGTCGACCCACGGAATTGAAAGCGGAATGCCATGGCTCACGAAGAAACGGCAGTGCTGTGAACACGCACTTGCAGGTCTCTTTGGGTGGAGCTTTGTGTACAACATATATTTTTTATCGGGGTGGTACTACAACTGGCGCATGCTCGAGTAAGCTTCTTGCGAGGTGCGTCGTCCATGAGGAGGTTGGACGTTGACTTGGCAGATAACGAGAAGGCGGATATAGGGGAAGAGAGGGGGGGCTCTTTGGGTAGAGGCCTCGTATTTTTATGATGCACATAAGTGAGGGGGTCAGGAGGGGGGTGGGGAGGGGAGGGGGGGGGGGGGGGGAGGGGGGGAGGGTGAAAGGGAATGTGTGCTGTAAAGGGCATGATATTTTCTCCCAAGGGCAGGGTGCTCTGTTATCGAGTGCCGTTTGTCAATTCAGTTTGTTAAGATACGGTCTATGTTTCAACGGTCTACATGCTGTACATAATCAGTCGTTTGATTAAAAAAACAGACATAATGAGGCTGTCAAAGACTGCTTCTACTGATGGAGTAAGATATTCGATAAAACCTTCTGAGAAAAGGTTACAAAAAAATAACCCAAAAAATGTTATCGTCATATGATTTGTTGAAGCTTTTTCGTGCCCACCTACTTCACTGCACTGAATATGTGCGGGCAAGTTAGAGCTAAAAATCATTGGTTTAACCAACATGGTGGCGTTCTGTTCAGTATATGTGGTTCATTTTATCAGAATAGTAGGTGAAACGAGGCTTAGGAGAAACCGTAGCCAAGGTGAGTGTCGAGAGAAAGGTCGAGAAGGGAATGATGGCATTAGGTCATGAGGGGAGTACAAGTATAATGTCGAGAGTAATCTTGTACCCCCTAAGGCTAAACCCACTACAGCCTAAGTAACCATAAGCATATATGTTTTGACACACCCCCATAGGCGAAGTGGGGGATAGCCATGGCAAGCAATGGTCATAAAACCAGTCAAGAGAATAAGCAAATCAAAGCAAAGCTCAGGGTGGATCTCAAGATCACCACGCACTCTGAGCACTAGCAAGTGGCCACAAGGCCAGTCCAAGAGGTTACATAAGATATATAGGTGCGAGTACAAGCAGAGCAAGGCTACGGCAGACGAGCAAAAAAAGTCAGCAAGCCACCGCCTCACCCTCCCCCCACAATGGCACGCGCGGCCGTGAGAGAGGAGGAAGCGTGGCGACATTTGCTGCAGTTGTGTCACCCACCACCCACATCCCTTGAGCCTCCCCACCACTTCACACTCCCCCCCACAGCAGCAGATGCGGCTGTGAGAGAGAGGAGGCAGGCTGGCACTGTAGGTGCAACCTCCCCCTCACCCCCTCCCCTCCCCTCCCCCCCCCCCTCCCACCCAAACTGCTGCACGTGCAGCAGGGAGAGGAAGGAGAATGGGGGGGGGGGGGGGGGGCGGGGTAGGGGCTGTGCATGGGGCTGCAGATGCGCGTGCAGAGGGCAGCAGGGCGCACGGGGCGCACAGGGAAGCAGGGCAGCAGGGCGCGCGGGGCGCGCAGGACAACAGGGCGTGCGTGGCGCGCAGTGCTGCAGGGCGCGCGGGGCGCGCAGGGCAGGAGGGCAGCAGGACGCGCGGGGCGCGCAGGACACCAGGGCGCATGGGGCGCGCAGGGCTGCAGGGCGCGCGGGGCGCACAGGGCAGCAGGTCAGCAGGGCGCGCGGGGCGCACAGGGCTGCAGGGCGCGCGGGGCGCACATGGCTGCAGGGCGCGCGGGGCGCGCAGGACAGCAGGGCGTGCGTGGCGCGCAGGGCTGCAGGGCGCGCTGGGCGCGCAGGGCAGCAGGAAGGGGGTGCAAGGGGAACTCACGAGGGGGTGCAAGGGGCACTCACGAGGGGGTGCGAGGGGCACCCACGAGGGGGTGCGAGGGGCACTCACGAGGGGGTGCAAGGGGCACTCACGAGGGGGTGCGAGGGGCACCCACGAGGGGGTGCGAGGGGCACTCACGAGGGGGTGCGAGGGGCACCCACGAGGGGGTGCGAGGGGCACTCACGAGGGGGTGCAAGAGGCACTCACGAGGGGGTGCGAGGGGCACCCACGAGGGGGTGCGAGGGGCACCCACGAGGGGGTGCAAGGGGCACTCACGAGGGGGTGCGAGGGGCACCCACGAGGGGGTGCGAGGGGCACTCACGAGGGGGTGCAAGAGGCACTCACGAGGGGGTGCAAAGGGCACTCACGAGGGGGTGCGAGGGGCACACACGAGGGGGTGCAAGGGGCACCCACGAGGGGGTGCAAGGGGCACTCACGAGGGGGTGCGAAGGGCACCCACGAGGGGGTGCGAGGGGCACTCACGAGGGGGTGCAAGAGGCACTCACGAGGGGGTGCAAGGGGCACTCAGATACCCTCCTCCCACTGCTGCACCCGCAGCAGGGGCATGGAGGAGAAGGTGTGGGGGGGGGGGGGGGGGGGCTGGGACGGTGTAGAAGCTGCTCGGGCAACAGCAGGGCGCGCGACGGGCAGGAACCCGTCATTCGCCACCCCCGCCACCCCCATACCCCCCCCCCCCCCCCCCCCCCCCGCTGTACGATCAGCAGGGGGACGGAGGAGAAGGGAGGGGGGGGGGAGCGGGGGGGCGGTGCAGGGGCTGCGTGGGCGACCGCAGGTCGCACGAAAAACATCCGCCACCCCTTCAAACCCTCTCCCCCACTCCCCCACAGCAGCGGGCGCAGCCGTGAGAGGGGAGGAGGCGTGGCAGCTGCTGCTGCTGCTGAGGCACATCCGCCACCCCCTCACACCCTCTCCCCGCAGCAGCGGACGCGGCTGTGAGGCAGGAGGAGGCGTGGTGGCAGCTGCTGCTGCTGAGGCACATCCGCCACCCCCTCACACCCTCTCCCCCCCTCCCCCCCCATGGGGAGGGGGGGGAGGGGGGCGGGGGCGGGGAATGAGCTGCGCGTGCGACTACAGGGCGCGCGACGGGCAGGGACCCGTCGTTTGCCACCCCCGCCACCCCCATACCCTCCCCCCCCCCTGATGTACAATCAGCAGGGGGACGGAGGAGAAAGGGGGGGGGGGGAGGGGGGCGGGGGGGGGCGGTGCAGGGGCTGCGTGGGCGACCGCAAGTCGCACGAAAAACATCCGCCACCCCCTCACACCCTCTCCCCCACTCCCCCCACAGCAGCAGGCGCAGATCCCCTCCCCCCGCACTGCTGCACCCGCGGCAGGGGAATGGAGGAGAAGGGGGGGGGGCGGGGGGGGGGCTGGTGCTGCAGATCCCCTCCCCCCCCCTTGCTGCACCCGCAGCAGGGGGATGGAGGAGAAAGGGGGGGCTGGGGGGGCGGTGTAGGAGCCGCTCGGGCGACAGCAGGGCGCGCGACGGGCAAGAACCCGTCGTGCACCATACCCGCCACCCCCATACCCCCCCCCAACAGCAGGGGGATGGAGAAGAATGGGGGATTGGAGGGGGGGGGGGTGGCTGCTGGCTTGGTGACGAAGCAGAGCAGCGGGGCGCTGGAGGTGCAACCCCCCCCCAACACCGCTCCTGCATCCCCCAAGCACCCTCCCCCCCCTTTTCCCCCGCCCAAACTGCTGCACGCGAGGTAGGACGGGCGCGAGCGTCGGGCCGGGGGCCGGAGCCTAGGGGCGACGGGGCCGACGGGGCGTTGGGCGACGGGCCGGGCCTAGGGGAGCGACGGGCGACGGGGCCGACGGGCCTAGGCCCGGCGGGTGCGAGCGACGGGCCGGGGTGGGGGCCGGAGCCTAGGGGCGACGGGCCTAAAGGCGATGCGCGACGGGCCGGAACCGGGGCCTAGGGGTGTCGGGCGCGAGCGACGGGCGACGGGGCCGAGGCCTAGGGGCTACGGGCCGAGGGGCGACGGGCCTAGGAGCGACGGGGCCGGGGCCGAGAGCTAGGGGGGACGGGCGCGAGCGACGGGCCGGGGCCGAGAGCTAGGGGGGACGGGCGCGAGCGACGGGCCGGGGCCGAGAGCTAGGGGGGACGGGCGCGAGCGACGGGCCGGGGCCGAGAGCTAGGGGGGACGGGCGCGAGCGACGGGCCGGGGCCGAGAGCTAGGGGGGACGGGCGCGAGCGACGGGCCGGGGCCGAGAGCTAGGGGGGACGGGCGCGAGCGACGGGCCGGGGCCGAGAGCTAGGGGGGACGGGCGCGAGCGACGGGCCGGGGCCGAGAGCTAGGGGGGACGGGCGCGAGCGACGGGCCGGGGCCGAGAGCTAGGGGCGACGGGCGCGAGCGACTGGCCGGGGCCGAGAGCTAGGGGCGACGGGCCGGGGCCTAGGGGCTACGGGCGACGGGCCGTGCCGAACGTCGAGAGGAGGGCCACACGAGGGCGGCGCGCAGGGCAGCAGGTGGTGGGCCCAAGGGTCGTAACAGCTCTTAATACCATATCAGAATAGTAGGTGAAACGAGGCTTAGGAGAAACCGTAGGCAAGGTGAGTGTTGAGAGAAAAGTCGAGAAGGGAATGATGGCATTAGGTCATGAGGGGAGTACAAGTATAATGTCGAGAGTAATCTTGTACCCCCTAAGGCTAAACCCACTACAGCCTAAGTAACCATAAGCACATACCGTATCGCCCCGGATATAAGCGCAGGCCTATCAAAAGCGCATGCGCTTATATCTGGAGCGATGCGCTGATGGCTGATCCTCAATTATAAGCGCACCCCCTGTAAAACCCTGCTTTATTATAAGCGCATGCATATTTGTTTATTTAAATTCTTCTAAACACAGTAACGAGTTTCAAAATTGAAGCGAGCATAATTTCTTAATCACTTCGTTTGACTTGCGAAGACCTCAGAAGCTGCGCGTCAGGTCAAGATGTGCTGGCATAGGGGCAAACTGACATGTCTTTGTCCCTGTGTGCTGGAAAAAAATCGGTAGCGCGCGATTCTGAATTCTGGCGCTATACAATTTCGCCTCGATTGGAATGGTACGACTGAGATGTACATTTTGATGCTATAAAATTATATATATGTATCTGTCATTATATAAGCGCATGCGCTTATAAAAATGACTCAATTAGAAGCGCACCCCCCTAAAAAACTCTGCTTTATTGTAAGCGCAGGTGCGCTTCTATCCGGGGTAATACGGTATGTTTTGACACATTTGTTGTTATATCCAATATATGTGGCAAACTGTTAGAATATATTTTTGTATAACTACATGTAGTTCTAGCTGTAGTATAGCTATATCACTGTACTGCTTGTGGTGCACCCCCTCCTTACTTGTCTCTTGTGTAACTTGGGCCTTTGGCCCTTTAGTGAAACATCTATTTTTTCCTCGATTTTCCTCTCACCTCAACCCTCTCGACACCCGTGTCTAGCCTACCCTAGTATGGCTCCTATCCCCTACTAAGTCACTATTCTAACATGGTATTAGAGTTATTACGAACCTTGGGCCCACCACCTGCTGCCCTGCGTGCCGCCCTCGTGCGGCCCTCCTCTCGACGTTCGACACGGCCCGTCGCCCGTAGCCCCTAGGCCCCGGCCCGTCGCCCCGCGCCCGTCGCCCCTAGCTCTCGGCCCCGCCCCGTCGCTCGCGCCCGTCGCCCCTAGGCCCGTCGCCCCTCGGCCCGTCGCCCCTAGGCCCCGGCCCCTAGCCCGTCGCTCGCGCTCGACGCCCCTAGGCCCCGGTCCCGGCCCGTCGCCCGTACCGCGTCGCCCCTACGCCCGTCGCCCCTAGACTCCAGCCCCCGGCCCGTCGCTCGCGCCCGCCGCCCCTAGGCCCATCAGCCCCGTCACCCGTCGCTCCCCTAGGCCCGGCCCCGTCGCTCGACGCCCCTAGGCCCCGGCCCCTAGCCCGTCGCCCCTAGGCCCCGGCCCCGGCCCGTCGCCCGTCACACGTTGCCCCTCGGCCCGTCGCCCCGGCCCGTCGCCCCTAGGCCTGTCGCCACGGCCCGTCGCCCCTAGGCCCGTCGCCCCTAGGCCGGCCCGTCGCCCCTGGCACTGCCCGTAGGCCCGTCGCTCCTAGCCCGGCCCGTCGCCCCTAGCCAACGCGCCCCGGCCCGTCGCCCGACGCCCCTAAGCCCGCGACTGACGCCCCTCCGCCCCCCCCTTCTCCATCCCCCTGCTGCGGGTGCAGCAGTGGGGGGGGGGTGGGGGGGGGGGGTGGGGGTATGGGGGTGGTGGGCTCTTGGAGGGTAAGGGGGTGGCCGGAATGGATCTGCAGCACCAGCCCCCCCGCCCCCCCCCCTTCTCCTCCATTCCTCTGCTGCGGGTGCAACAGTGGGGGGGAGGGGATCTGCAGCACCAGCCCCCCAGCCCCCCTTTCTCCTCCATCCCCCTGCTGCGGGTGCAGCAGTGGGGGGGAGGGGATCTGCAGCACCAGCCCCCCCCCCCCCCCCCCCTTCTCCTCCATCCCCCTGCTGCGGGTGCAGCAGTGGGGGGGAGGGGATCTGCAGCACCAGCCCCCCTCCGCCCCCCTCTTTCTCCTCCATCCCCCTGCTGCGGGTGCAGCAGTGGGGGGAGGGGGGTATGGGGGTGGCGGGATCTTGGAGGTTAAAGGGGTGGCAGGAAGGGATCTGCAGCACCAGCCCCCCCCGTCCCCCCCCCCCCTTCTCCTCCATCCCTCTACTGCGGGTGCAGCAGTGGGGGGAGGGGATCTGCAGCACCAGCCCCCCTGCCCCCCCCCTTTCTCCTCCATCCCCCTGCTACGGGTGCAGCAGTGGGGGGGAGGGTATGGGGGTGGCTGGTGTGAGTGACCTGCTGCCGCCTCTCCTCCTCTCTCTCCCACTGCTGCACATGCCGCTGTGGGGAGGGGGGGGGGAGGGTGTGGGGGAGTTGAGGGAGTGGCAGTAGGGATGTTGAGGGGTGTGACAGGGAGGTTTCGGGGAATGGGGGGAGTTGTAGGGGGGTGGGCGCAGTGAAGCCAGCAGCTCCAGTCGCCCGTGAGGCCGTTGCGCTAGTTGCACGTGAGCTCGTTGCTCCTGTAGCCCGTGAGGCCGTTGCGCTAGTTGCACGTGAGCTCGTTGCTCCTGTAGCCCGTGAGTCAGTTGCTCCTGCCGCTCGCTTAGCCGCGGAGCCAGTTACTCCAGTTGCTCGTGTGCCAGTTGCTCCATTTGCCAGTATGCCAATTGCTCCAGTTGCCCGTGTGCTAGCAGCTTCAGCCGCCACCCGCCACCTCCTCTCCTCTCATGGTCCCTCCTCCTCTTCGCTTGCCCTCTCCTTCCTACACTACGCCTGGTGTACCCCTTCAGGGGGTGTTCTGCACATGGCTATTCCTCCATGCAGTTAGGGGATGTGTCAGTATATATTTCTGTATAACTGCATGTAGTTCTATTTGTAGTGTAGTTAGATCACTGTCCTGCTTGTGTTGCACCCCCTCCTTACTTGTCTCTTGTATAACTTGGGCCTTTGACCCTTTAGTGAAACATTTCCTTCTTCCTCGATTTTCCTCTCACCTCAACCCTCTCGACACTCATGTCTAGCCTACCCTAGTATGGCTCCTATCCCCTACTAAGTCACTTTTCTAACACAAAACGATACAGACAAAAAGTTTCCTGGAAATTCATAATGTTTATGTAAGTATAGTTATATAGAATTTTATCAATTGTTGAGCATTGTATGGAAACTTTGTGCTCTCGTAGATATCTGTCTAATAGTTTCAAATTATTATATTCTACATGTTATTGCATTCAAATATTTATCTCTAACCAGGTTGGCTCTTAATAAGGGATACCTCTTTGAGAGGAACAAGGCTTGGCAACAAATATTTATCATTAAACATGTTTACTGTTTTCTAATTGTCCAAGATTATGCCAATTCATCGTTATGTACATCCGTACGCAATCCCTGATAACATAAGTATTATCGAAGTTGAGCAGAACAAATTATTCAAAATAAGGAAGTTACAGCATGGTACAGATCAAGTCCATCCCAGTCATTCGTATCAAGTATGAACGCATTTATACCCACTCCGTAACGTTAGAAAGACGACAAAAAAAATATTCATTGATTGTACACTCGAGTCGAATATGCGTCTCTTGCCTCGCACATTCATGCTACGGCGATATATTCGATGCACGACGAGTCTTTCATACTGAAGTTCTTAATTTTGATAGTTTCTCCGACGTAAACAATTACGATAAGGGGTTGCTCGATTAAAATGTCAGAAGATTCATACACAAATAGAGTTGTCGGTGTCCATAATACAACGAATGTAACTTTATGCTTCGAAGATTTGAAAGGTGGCAAATTATTTTGAATTGCATAGCTTTTGTAAGAATATCTCTACAGCTTGTTAGTAAGGAGACATGTTACAAGAGTATGACCACTCATTTAAGCTCGTCTAATGATTATCTGTATTATTTGATTTTTTTCGATCACCAATATCGAAATATAAAAATCTTTGAATATATATTGCACAATCGGGCCTGTTAAATGGTAAAATTTAAATCAGTAACTGCGGGGAACGAATAAAATACAAACCAGACAAAACTTCAACATTTTTTTTTAGGTTTCGAAAAAACAGCCATGTCTATTGAGTCGTTTAGTTTTTTTTTTGTGCCAAAATTACATGCATGATAATGTGCGTCTTTACGTGAGAACTCCTGCAAGACAAAAAAATAACACGTCATGAGCCCGAATGAAAGCTCAATCAAGCATGTATAAAATTATGTTTGGCCTTGAATATACCCTTCAAATGTAAGAGTAAGAACTTAAATTGCCCATAAATATAGGGCCAACATGACATTGGGTCAAATTCTGGATTTTGCAAGTATGAAAAACATTTAGTTTTACGAGGACATCATGCTTTCCCTAACAATTAAACTTTGTATGTTTTCCTTATTTTAAGCACTTGAATTTATGGATAGAAAAAAGTGCTATCATTCGTGAATTCCACGTATGAAAGTGTTAAACCTTTTTTATCCACTTGCCCCCGTACATCCACAATATTTCTCTTAGGCGAAAAAGGGGACTTGTGCGGGACCTAAACCCTGGCATGCCTGTAATGAGCATTTGTTGTATTGACAAATCACATGTGTGTACAGTTTCGGCTAGCTGCTTGAAGAGAGTTGTAGGCTGAGCTGCACTACAGTGTCCCACAAAGGTTACCTGTACTACAGTGTCAGGCTAGCTGCTGCCACTCAATGGTAACGATTTTCAAGGTCGAAAGTGAAGAACCACTTTCGAGCAATCTTTCGTCGGCGAATGAGACAGCAAGCTGGCAGAATTCTGTGGCTTGCACCACAAGCCACATGGGCCAGTTGCCCTTCTTGCTGCCAGTTGGACCACCACAATCAATATTGCGCAGACGACTGCCTGTTCCAAGCAATCATCAGTGGCAGTGTGACCCTTGCAGCGAAAGCATCTGCCCGGCGCGCGAACACGGGCAGGCCGTTCTGGGGCTGCTCTCCAAATGTTTTAACTGTACGCGTGGTGTACTATCGCGTAATATATGATGGGATGATTGTTTGGACGTGCACAAATAATATATAACCGTCTTTTAAACCTAGTGCTTCATTATCCTGGCATGGCTTTTGTTTATCTGTACCAAGGTAGCTTCAACTAGGTCTGTGTTTGGGTGCAGTAGCCATGTGAATTACTAAACTAGCTACCTTACATTGCTCCACTTTACAATTGGTGACTAACATAGGCTTGCCTTGTTGATCCCCCAACCCCTTGTTTTTTTCTTGGAACGCCAACAATCACACGCAAATTCATTCCGCAAAACATATACCACAGTTAAAGCCACATAGAAGCAGCCAGTACAGGAATCCCTTCCCACAACAACCTCACTCCATTCCCTTGCTGCAACACCACATACCCCCCATACTTCCTCCCTCCCTTCCTCAACACCCCCCGAAGCTCCTCCATCACCTCGTCTCCCACCTCCAAACCTAAAAATCCGGCTCGGCGCATCCGAGCCTGCCACTGCTCCAGGCTCTCCGCCCGAACCGTCCTCTGAATGCCCTCACAGGCCACAACATTCACAATGTCGCGGGCGAAATAGAGGCGCTCGCATGTGTGGCGGTGCGGGCTATCCCGTGGTAAGGCGGCGTCGAGAGAGGCGAAGATGGAGGAGAAGACTCGGAGGGCGGCTCGGAAGCGCGGGAGGAAGAAGGGCGAGTTGAGTGGCGCGTCCATCTCGACGACCACGGTGGTGAGTGGGGAGAGGGAGCGGATCCACTGGAAAAGAAAGGTGGGGAGGGGGGGTCCAAGGGGGTGGGTATTGAAGGGCGGATTGAAAAGCTCACGATGACGGTGGTGAGTGGGGAGAGCGAACGGATCCACTCCAACGGAGGGCCACTCACAACGGCAGTTGGGGTGTGGCGGAAGGAGAAAGTGGGGGCGGGAGAGGGTGAAGCGTGGGTTAAGAGGCGTGGCCATGTGGATGACCACAGTGGTGGGTGGGGAGCCCACCCAGCCCCCACGTACCTGTTTCAACCACACCTGGCATGCCTGCTCCACCCAGCACTAACCCACAGCAGTGTATCATGCGGGTTGGAGCAAAGCACCGAGTCATCAGTCAGGAATAGCAGACTCATGTCGCACTGCACCACCGTCGCCCCCACCGTGAACCCTATCCCGTGGGCATGTCCGTTACACTCAGCCCCCCGTGCCAGTTGCACCCAGCACTCACCCTGAGCAGTGTGTCGCGTGGGTTGGCCCGAAGCACCGAGTCATCCGCCAGGAAGAGCAGGCTCATGTTGCACTGCACCACCGTCGCCTCCACACCACTCACCTTACCCCCGGCACTTGTTTATTCCACCTAGCACTCACCCTGAGAAGCGTATCTCGTGGGTTGGCCCGAAGCACCGAGTCGTCAGCCAGGAACAGCAGGCTCATGTTGCACTGCACCACCGTCGCCTCTCCCTCCTCCACCTCCACCTCCTCCTCCAACCCCCCCACCACCGACCGCATCCCCATCGCCCCCCCAAACCCTCCCCCAACCCCTCCCCCACTCCCCCCGATTCCTCCCCCGCTCCCCCCGCCCATCCCCCCTCCGCCGCCCCCTGCCTTCCCCCCCAGCGGCGCGGCAGCAGCAGCAGGGCCGACAGGGAGAACAACGGCCTTGAAGCGGAAGGGGATGGCGAGGGCAGCGGCAGCGCGGGAGAGAAGACGGCCAGAGAAAGCAGCAGAGGACTTGGAGTCTGTCAGTTCGTTCCTGCATGTGATGTCGATGCCTGTTACTCTGAGAGAGGGCGGGCCGCCAGGGAAAGCAGCTAGGGCCTGGGTGGGAGGGTGAGAAAGACAGGGGTCAAAGGGGAGGGGCGAAGGGAGAAGGCAGCAGAGGACTTGGAGTGGGCGAGCTCGTTGCGACATGTGATATCGATGCCTGTCACTCGCAGGGAGGGAGGACCTCCGGGAAAGCAGCCAGGGCCTGCATGGGGTGACAAGGGTTCAGAGTGGGACGACAATGGCAGGGGTGAAGGGAGAAGGCAGCAGAGGAGTTGGAGTGGGTAAACTCATTCCTGCATGTGATGTCGATGCCTCTCACCCACAGGGAGGGCGGACCCCTGGGAAAGCAGCCAAGGCCTGAAAGAGGGGTGGGGGCACAGGGAAGGTGATTGGTTGAAGGATTCGAGCAGCAGCAGACTGAGTGCAAGCTTTGTGAGCTGCTTGGGACTGGTAGGGCTGATATTGGCATGGTGAGGTGAAGAGGAGAGACATAGGAAGATCCAGAGATTTGATAGCTTGTTCTTTTCAACTAGTGACGATGGGGTGATGTGGAAGGAAAGGAGGGCTTTAGTGGTGTACCATGCATAACGTCACCACACGAGCAGCAGTGGCAGCATCGTATGGATTCGAGGAACTTGTACCTGGAATCCTAAGCACAAGCAGGTTCCTCACCTCTAGCAGCTCCAGCCAGTACCGCCCCATCCAGAACCCAAACACGATGATGTGGATCCGACGGCTGCCGTTCACCGCCGCCAGCACAGGCCGCATAGCCGCCACGTGGCAGAAGTCGAGATAGGGCAGCGAGGCAAAGCAGCGCTCCATGGATGCCGCGATCTCCTGGGAGGACGCGTTGAGCCCGCGGTTGTACTGCTCTGCCCCGCACCCCGCCTGCCTGGCTGCGAGCGCCTGGGTGAAGTGCGCTGCTACTCTCTGTGCTGCACTGCCCCGCTCGTTCACCAGTGGGCGCAGGTGGGGCAGCAGCCGGCGAGAAAGGGTCTGGGGATATGGGAGGCCGAGAGAGAGGAGGGGAGTGAGAAAGTGGGGGGCGGGAGAGGGGCATGGCATGGCCTGGTTGAAGTGCGCTGCTACCCTCTGCGCTGCTACCCTCTGCGCTGATACCCTCTGCGCTGCTACCCTCTGCGCTGCTACCCTCTGCGCTTCTACCCTCTGCGCTGCTACCCTCTGTGCTGCTACCCTCTGCGCTGCTACCCTCTGCGCTGCACTGCCCCGCTCGTTGACTAGTGGGCGCAGGTGGGGCGGCAGGTGGCGGGAAAGAATTGGAGAATGGGGGACGGAGAGAGTAAGAAGGGGAATGTGAGGGAGGAACAAGGCCTAGGTGAAGGGCTGCTACTCTCTGCATTGCAAGGTGACTTTTGAGTCGACTCAAAACGAGGTGACTTTTGAGTCGACTCAAATGTGAGGGAGGAACAAGGCCTAGGTGAAGGGCTGCTACTCTCTGCACTGCACTGCCGCGCTCGTTCAGCAGTGGACGCAGGTGAGGGCTGGTGGAGGAGGGGGTTTGCGGGGGCGAAGGGGACTGTGGGGTGGAAACAAGGCCACGTGCTGCACGCCTGGAGTTGCACTCCTTGGTCAAAAGTTGCTAATTTGATGAGGGAACATGCCTCATCGCGTGCTGCTGTCGCCTCTGCCAGTTCCTTCAGCTTTTGCCGCACGTAGCTTTTGAGAATCCTAAACAACCACCTGCTACAATTTCGCTTCCGAGAATCCAAAAGCTACGGCTTTGGTGGAAGGCTATGTGTACCTCGTCGCGTGCTGCTGTCGCCTCTGCCAGCTCCTCCAGCCTCTGCAGCACCACTGCCATCGATACCTCCTCCTCCTCCCCTCCCTTTCCCCTTCCACTCCCCACCCTCTCCTCCTCCTCTCCCTCCTCCATCTCTTCCTCCTCGTCCCTCCCGTCCTCCCTACTCCACTCCCCATCGCCACCAGTCCCCCCGGGAGCATCAGCAGAGCAACCAGCACGCACACTAGCAGCATCAGCCCTACCAGCAGCGCCACCAACACCACCACCACCAGTATCAGCAGCGCCACCAGAGCCACCACCACCAGTATCAGCAGCACAGCCACTGGCCTCACCCCCTAAGCCCAACTGTTCCAACGACTCAGCGGTGAACCCCAGGCCGTGCAGCATAGCAGCATCCACGCCCATGCGCTCTAGCATACCCATGTCCACGCCCATGCGCTCTAGCATACCCATGTCCACGCCCATGCCTGCCAGCATGCCGGGACTCACCCCCATGCACTCAAGCGAAGATGCATCAAGCCCCATCTGCCCCATTCCCCCCATCTGCCCCATTCCCCCCATCTGGCCCATCCCCCCCATCTGCCCCATTCCCCCCATCTGGCCCATTCCCCCCATCTGCCCCATTCCCCCCATCTGGTCCATCCCCCCCATCTGCCCCAGCAAAGCACCATCCAGCCCTCCACCCAGTAAGAAACCTGCCCCTGCCCCTGCCCCATCTGATGCATCTGCTGGTCTTCCTGCCCCTGTTCCTGCTCCCGCCCCTGCTAATTGCCCCCCCCCAGCCCCACTGCTCCCTCGCCAGACGCCCTCCCCCGCCGTCCCCTCCTCCCCTTGTTCCCCCCGCACCTTCCCCCCCCCAGAGCTCGCCCTCCGCTTCCTGGGAGCCGCGCCTGCACCTGCCGTTGACCTGCTTGACTGCGTTGGCCGGCCAGTGGCATCCTGCCACGTGGCAGCAGCATCTGCATGCGGTAAACAGTGCTGGACGGATTGGTACCGCTCTAAACCTCCCACGTTTCCGGTTTGGGCTAGGTAAGACAGGCGGTCAGGGAGAGGGGTTGAGAAGGAGGGAGGGTAAGGCAGTGGCGAGAACAGTGGAGAGCGGTTCAGGCTGGTAGGACTCCAAGACGTTTCAACGCCCAGTGGCGGCAGGGCCGCTGGGAGATTCAGGCTTGTGACCCGGGAAAACGACTCCAAGGGGCCTTTCTGGTCTCTGCTGCTGCTGCCCGGACTGCCTAGGCTGCCCGGATTGCCTGGATTGTGCAAGCTGTCCGGATTGGGGTTTGCAGTGCACGTGCCCAGAATGGACGCGAAGGCAACAGCAGGAGGTCGCGAGGTGTAGCAGTGAGAGGGAACGAGAGCGAGGGAGGATGGGGGGGACGGAGGGACACAATCGCTGCCACTCCTGCCGCTGCCACTACCACTGCCATTGCCACTACCACTACCACTGAAGCTGCCATTACCACTGCCACTCTTGCTGTTCTCACTGCCAGAATCACTACTGAGGCGACTGTGAGTGCTGTGATGCTGACTCGCCCTCTTGCGTCCCGCCACCTGGCGAATCACTGGCCGGCGAATCAGATCTCTGCTGCACGAGCCCACCCCGGCTGTATTTCCTGCTGAAACGGCAGCGGCGGCTGCTGCCGTCCGGCCTGGAGATTTGATCTCCTCCAGCAGCCGTGCCAGCCTGAAGGACATGTCCGCTGGGCGGCGAGCGCCCGGAATGACGTTATTGTGGGCGGCAGACGCGAAACTGTTGGTCATCTTAACGGCAGTGCTTGCTCCCTTGACAGCGGTGCTCTTAGCGTTGCTCCCACTGATGCTTGCTTCACCAGCAGTGCACTGTGTGGTGGTAAACTCATTCGTAACGCCACGTGTGCTGCCACGTGTGGCGCTCAGAGTGGCAGCGGCGACAGGCGGGGCGAGCAGCAGCGGTCGCTTGCGAGGAGGACTCGGGGAGGCGAGGCCAGGGAGACGCGCGGAGGGAGGCGGGCACGAGGCGGCGGTCGCAGGCGCGAACGACGGCGCAAAGGATGGTGCAAACGATGGTGAGAAGGATGGCGCAAATGAGGGTGCAAACGAAGAGGCGGAGAAATGAGGTGCGAAAGGAGGCAAGAAATTAGGAGGGAGTGCCCCCCACTGCTCCTCCGCGCCTCCGCCTTCCCCCGTTCCTCCGCCCATCGCTATTGCTCCGCCCGCCTCTGCTCCTGCGCCTGTCGCGTCCCTCCGCAACAGCACTTCTGCGCCATCCGTTCCGCTCCTCTCCGCGTCGTCCCCTTTCCGCGCAACCCATCCGCCGCCCTCCCCCATCCCAGAACAAGGTGCGGGGGAGAACCGGTCGAGCCAATGAAAATGCAACAGCTGGCAGCCTGCGCAATCGCAGCCGTCCGAGCAAGCAGGAAGGAAGATCGGCTCGCCCTCCGCTGCGACAGCGGACAACGGGGAAGGGGAAGCGGAAGCGGGAGGAGGAACGACAGCGGAAGCGACAGGCGGTGCGACAACCAACTCCTTTCCAACGGAAAGAGCAGATCTCAGCTGAGCGACCTTCTCCTCCTTTTCCCCTCCGTCACCCTTTCCCCACCCTATTCGTTCGTCAATCTCAGCGTGTTTATCGATTCTATTCATCCCGTCAAATCCATCCCCTTTCTCCTCCGCCTCCCCTCCGTCCGCCAGCAGATGTCGCACCTGATCCCAGTCAAGCCCCGACGCCGCGCTGCTGACGTGGCCCGAAGACCCGGACGGAACCGCCTGAGCTGGCGGATAAGCCTCCAGGTGGATACCTTCTGAGCATGCCACGGTGTGAGCTAGTCCTTCCGGAACCATCTCGAGATTGGTTTGAAACGAAGAGAAAATCGGTGATGCCGAAGAGACGGCAGAGTCTATTGCCGGAGGGTCGGGATTCAGAGTCCAGTCGGAGGGGGGAATCGCGGAAGGAGTCGCGGCGCATCCTTGCGCTAGCGGGAACATGGAATCCCAAGGTGCGCTGGCGAAGGTTGGCGACGGGAACGTCGAGTTTTGAGTCGCTTCGAAAGGCGGCGACGGGAACGTTGAGGTGCCGGAGGGACCTAAGAGGTTCGACATGTTTGTTTGAAGATTGAACGCGTGGAGGCTACCTAAGCTTGTGTTGAGACGTCTCCGAACCTTTCTTGTGCTTACGAGATCGTGAAAGGGCGTGACGAATTATTTTCGGATATATACAAATCACGAACAATGGCGCATACACAAGAACGAGAAAAAAACTTAGGGCAGGTCGCGGACGAAAAGGGGAGAAGAAACGGGAAAACTGTTGTAGACGGGAAATCGTTGCAGACGGTAAGCAGAATCGCAAGCTGGGTTTTCACGAAACCTAAGGACAGCAATTGAACTCGTTTTCAAACGTCCGTAAAGAACAAGTGACTGAATCAAGTATCAGGGGGAGAAAGTTACTACCACCATGGATGCACATACTTGCGCTGATGGACAACCACAAGGGAAAACAGCTAACATCCCAGCATGTCTTGGTCGGGAATCGGGATTCGGGAATCCCTATGATACCATCTGACACGCTCTTCGACGAAGATCTGGCGACCTGTGTTTCGCTATAACTTTACTGTTGCGAAAACCATGGTCCCAAATCTTCTGTGGTGAGTTTGTCCGTCGCCAGCGCCACCAACAATTGTGAACCGTCGATTTGTGAGTGACTAGTCAGCCTAACAGGACAGTTGGCGGGAATGTACCCGGGAAATTCTGATGCGAGAGCTGGGCAGGAGGGAGGAAGCTGAGTTGATGACGTCATATTCTTCACCTCGAAAGTACCACTTGACCACGGACAAACCTACCACAAATAAATCGCATAAATGGCTACATGACATGAGTACCTCATACCGCTTAAATTTTGCACTCATCCAATAAAAACGTTTCCATTCAACTTTATATCATAATACAATGTATGTTATGCACCAGTAACAGGAGTGGATTCAAGCCTAAGAACAAAGGGAGGCAGGAGCATTCAACAGGGTGTGCTGTTGAGGCGGCTCAAGGGAGCACCAATCACAAGGCACCCTATTGAGAGGCCTCAACCGCTCACACGAGGAGCAAACCATCCACAATCACAGAAGTGATTAGAAGCAATCCACAGTGCTGAAAAACATCCTTAGTTCAGAGGTGCGCATGGGCACTGGAGTGATCCAAGGACCTGCACGTAGGTAGGTGACATACACACAGACAACACACCAACAATGAAACACAGGAACATCGTGAGTGCTGGGACAAAAAACGACAAGGCAACAAGGGCACTGGAGGAGGGGAAGGGGCATGGAGAGGAGAAAGCGTGTTGCAACAAAGGTACTGGTAGGTTAGAGAAAGCGGAAGGGAGGATGCGGTGAGGGAAGGAGGGAGGAAGAAGAGAGTGTGGGGAGTCAGGATGAAGATGCTTACTCCGCCTCGATGACCATGGCTGAGGCTCCACCACCACCGTTGCACACTCCAGCAACACCAATCTGGCCACCCTTCCGCCGCAGCACCTGATTGGTGGAAACACCAAGGGGTGGTTTCGCAGGAAGGGAAGTATTAGCATCAGACCAGAACCCATGGGGAGTGAAAGGGAAAAAATAGCATCTCCTTATCCAACCCACGGTCATCACACTCACCAATGCCCCTCACACCAAGCAGCAGAACAATGACACTCACACCCCCTGCCCCTTCTGAAGGTCCCTTCAACCCCACTGCTTCCACACACTCCTGCTCCAAAGCCACACTCACGTGCACACTAAATCCTCTGAAACCCACGGCATTCACACACACCCGCCCACACACCCACCCACACACCCCACACTCACCCCCAGCAGCAGGACAATGATGCGTGCCCCGCTGCACCCTCACGGGTGCCCGAGCGACCGCCACAGCGCCACACGTGAAAGGCCCCCTCTACCCGCTGCTGCCACTCAACCCTATCCCAAGCCACACTACCCTACCCCACGTCACACTCACCCCCAGCAGCGAGACAATGATGCGCGCCCCGCTGCACCCCAGCGGGTGCCCCAGCGCCACAGCGCCGCCATGCATGTTTAGGCGCTCAGCTGGCACGTTCAGCAGCTTCTGATTGGCCAGCGCCACCACCTGGAAGCGCGGATGAGGTGGTTGTGGGGAGGGGAAGGAGAGTAGAGTAAAGTGGGAGGGGAGGAAGGGGGGAGCAGACGAGGGAGGTGAGCAGTGGGGGGTGGAGGAAGGGCGAAGGCAGGGTGGAGGAAGGGCGAAGGCAGGGTGGAGGAAGGGCGAAGGCAGGGTGGAGAGGATGACGAGTGAAAGTAGGGGGGCAAGGGAGGAAGCGGAAGGGGGTGTAGAGAGAGGAGTGCAGGCGAGAGCAGCCGGAGAAGGGCACAACGAGTGAGAGGAGGCAGATGGAAATGAAGCAGGTGAAAGGACGGAGAACGAGAGCAGGCGCAGGAGGGAGACAATGGGAGGGGCAGCAGGAGGGGCGGGCGGCAGGAGGGGCGGGAGGAGGGGCGGCAGGAGAGGCAGCAGGAGGGGCGGCACGTACGGAGAAGGCTTCGTTGACCTCCCAGCAGTCCACCTCAGCGGGGTCTATGCACGCGTGCTTCAAAGCGCGCGGAATGGCGAGCGCGGGGGCTGTGGTGAAGCGCTCAGGGGCCTGGTTAGGGGGCGGAGGGGGGAGGGGGGGAAGGTGTTGCAAGGAAATTGAGAAGGAAGGGGAGGGGGGAACATAATTGCGCACAGAGGATGCTGCAGAGCGCGCGGAATGCCCACTGCTGCTACAAGGCGCGGGGAATGCAGAGCGCGGGAGGCGTGGTCAAGTGCTTGGGGGGACTTAGGGGGGCGTGGGGGGGAGCAGAGGAGAGGGGAGGGGGAAATGTGCATCCCAGACCTTCCATGCATTCGCGCCACACCTTCTCGAGACGGCGAGACGGCTCTCACCTGCTCGGCGTCTGCGAAGCCGCGAATCACGGCGAGCACTTTGAGCCCCAGGCTGTCCGCCTTGCCGCGGCTCGTCAGCACCACGGCCGCCGCGCCGTCGCTAATCGCCGACGCGTTCCCCGCCGTGACTGTCCCGTGCTCCTTAAAACACGGCCGCAGATTCCGCAGCTTCTTCTCGTCGAACTTCGCGCACGCCTCGTCGCGATCGACGACTAAAGCCGGCTTGCCCTTCCCCACCTTCACCTCCACCGGTACAATCTCCCACTCAAACGCCCCCTCCGCATTCGCCGCTGCGGCGCGCTGGTGCGTCAGCACCGCATGGTCGTCCTGGTCCGCGCGCGAGATGTTATACTCCTCCGCGCAGGTTTCCGCGAAGCATCCCATGGGGTCGTCGGCGTACGCGTCGCACAGCCCGTCGCGTTGCATGCCGTCCATGATCTCCGCGTTGCCGAAGCGGTAGCCGCCGCGCGCCTTGGAGAGGTAGTAGGGCGCGTTGCTCATGCTCTCCATGCCGCCTGCCACCACGACCTCGTTGATCCCCAGCATGATCGACTGCGCCGCCAGCGCGATGGCTGTGTTAGGGGGAACGGGAGGAGGATGGGGGAGGGGAAGAGTGGAGATGAGGGGGGAGACGGGGAGGTGGAGGAATTTGGGGAGAAAGAGGGAAAGGGAGTGGACAGCGGATCGCGGATGAAGCGAGGTGACCAAGGACACGCTTGAGCGAAAATGCAGCATTCTGCGAGATTTGTGAAATTTAACGACATCATTAAGAAGGAAAAGGAGGAAAGAAGGAGCAGATGACGCATCTCCGCACCTTTCATGCCCGAAGCGCAGACTTTGTTGACGGTGGTGGCGACGACGCTCTCGGGGAGGCCCGCGCCCATAGACGCCTGGCGCGCGGGCGCCTGGCCGAGATTCGCGCTGAGCACGTTGCCCATGATCACCTCCTCCACGTCAGCAGGCTCCAGGCCGGAGCGCCGCACGGCCTCTGCGGGGAGGGAGACGAGGCGAGAACAGACAACGTCGGGTAATTGATTAACTCGAGCAAGACAGGTGATTGGAAATGTGGGAAGCCGACTGGAAGTTACTCGGCTTGAATTCGTGGAAAACGGAAAAAGAAATGCACTGTTCACGGGAGAGAAATCACATGGACGACAAACTTGTCCAGAGTTATCGCTTTCTCACAGGAGACAATAAACCGGTGTAACACTGCAAACCAACGGTGTCAGAGCGCGACGCGCAGAGCGCTTAACGCACAGCGCATAGCACACCTTTGATGGCGACAGATCCGAGTTGGGTGGCAGGAAGGGAGGAGAGGGCGCCCATGAAGGCTCCCATGGGCGTGCGCGCCGCGGCCACGATGCACACCTCTGCAATCATCAACAGATCCAGCACACAATCGGACGGTCAATAAGCGTCGCTCAAACGCCGCGTCTTCGGTCTGGTTAACCGGACGGTTCTTAAAAGAAGACAGAGAAAGAACAACTGGAGGGGAACAGCGGAGGGCAGGTAGACCGGAACTCGTACAAGAAATGGAGAGGGTTCGGAAAGCTGACGCGATGTTGGAGGCCGAGCGACAATCACCTTTCGGGTGGGTGCCATGGTGTGTCGCATGTCCGTTCTCGCGTGCGCGGGGGAAAGGCGATCCGGCCATGGTTAGGGTGAGCGACAGAAAGGGTTGCTAGCGATGCGACAGGTATAATTCAGCTAGTTCGGAAACAAAAACCGGTTCTAGATCTTCGCGCTCTTCTAAGTCTTGCTTGTCTTGGCGATACGTGTGGAGCTGCGGTTGACACGTACTGAAGGCACGAAGTGTGAGAAGCGAGGAGCTTCAAGCTGAGATGAGTTGCAATCTAGCAGTATCTCACTCTTTTGACGTGTTGTTGCAATGGCGGGACAACGTATTTCACCTTCTCTGGCAGAAATATTTTGCTGAGAAGGTGGAAAGAAGAAAATCCCAACGTGCGCAAAGAGTGGGTAGCGGGTAAGGGGTGGGGGAAGGCGCGGACGAGGTGCATATGCGCCAGCGAAGCGGGGAGGGAATGTCGGACGAAAGCGGGGCGAGGGAGAAAAGCAAGTTGGCGGAAGAAAGTCATCAGAATTCACCTCCGCTTCTCTTTCCCCCTAGTCTTGCGCCTACCGCGTCGCGCAAGTTTGTGGCGCATGGAAATGCGCGCGGCGGTGAGCCTAGGTTTTGAGTGGTCAGGGCAAAGGGCAACTCGTCGCAGACACTATTCCGCGACTAACCGACGATGTTTCTTATTTGCTGGACAGTCATGACGACAAGGTCGACTGGCAGCAAGCTTTCTCGACCTCATGGAAATGTAACCCTACGAATGAAATAAATGCGGCGAAACTAGTTCGCAGCCAGAGATTGGTGGTGCCGACAGAGAAAGCTAGGCAGCCAAGCCAATGGGAGCTAAGTTAGGGTTTGAATTCTTCAGAGGAAAGCCTTCGGGGAAGGTGGTCTAGCAACAGTGCCCCGCCACGGTGTCCGCTAGTCCTCTTCGGCGAAGCCGTCACGGGGTCTGCGCAAACGGCGCACTTGGTTGGTCGAATTCACATGTTGGGCAGCATCTGAACAAAACGAGGCTATCATTGATTGGTCACCGTTTGTTTGTTGCGAACCAATCCCTCGTTTCGGTGTCGGAATCGGCAGAGCAGGACTTTAGGCTGCCCAGCTGATGGTGAAAAATTTCCCTAGGGAATCCATCGGAGCATGTCGCGCAGGAGAACCATATGGTGGTCAAAATCCGCTGCCAATAACATCCATACAAGTGCAGTACATTTGTGAGTATCAATCAACAGATTTATCAGGCGAGCAAACTATATCCCTACTTACACAACAGCTAGGTCTATGTTAAGTCAGCTATGCATACAAAGCATCAAGGTCCTGCTGAAACTTCCGGCGAACAACATCGCGCTTTAGCTTCAAGGCTGCTGTCAACAGGCCGCTGTCAGGAGTCCATGGCTCTTGGAGCAGCTTGATCCTTGTAGGCACTTCAAACTTTTGAAGATTACCCTCCCTGCTCACCTGTTTTGCAACAAGGGACCGCAATTCCAGGGTCAGCAGAAATCCACACAAATAAAACAGGAAAAAAATACTCATCGTTCCATAAAACCCGAGAATGGAGAAGGAGCAAGATGAGTCTAGTTTGCAAAATCATTGGCCTTCGGCCAGCCATCTCACCACGGCAAGAGACTTGAGCACTTGAGAGACCGCCTCTGGATTCGCACAGAGCGCAGCATAGTCACTGCTATCCACGCCCTGGGCCTTGGCCCATGCAGCCAGGGCCGGCTTGGATGGCACCACGAGAGCTATGGTGAAGGTCTTGAACGGGTCGGCATAGAGCATGACGTTCTCGACAAAGGAGCTCACTTGCAGCACTGCCTCCACCTGGCGTTGGGAGTACAAAAGGAGAAGGGAGAAGGGAGAAGGGAGAAGGGAGAAGGGAGAAGGCAAGGGAGAAGGGAGAAGGGAGAAGGGAGAAGGGAGAAGGGAGAAGGGAGAAGGGAGAAGGGAGAAGGGAGAAGGGAAGGAGAAGGGAGAAGGGAGAAGGGAGAAGGGAGAAGGGAGAAGGGAGAAGGGAGAAGGGAGAAGGGAGAAGGGAGAAGAGAAGGGAGAAGGGAGAAGGAGAAGGGGAGAAGGAGAAGGGAGAAGGGAGAAGGGAGAAGGGAGAAGGGAGAAGGGAGAAGGGAGAGGGAGAAGGGAGAAGGAGAAGGGAGAAGGGAGAGAAAGGGAGAAGGAGAAGGGAGAAGGGAGAAGGGAGAAGGGAGAAGGGAGAAGGGAGAAGGGAGAAGGGAGAAGGAGAAGGGAGAAGGGAGAAGGGAGAAGGGAGAAGGGAGAAGGGAGAAGGGAGAAGGGAGAAGGGAGAAGGGAGAAGGGAGAAGGGAGAAGGGAGAAGGGAGAAGGGAGAAGGGAGAAGGGAGAAGGGAGAAGGGAGAAGGGAGAAGGGAGAAGGGAGAAGGGAGAAGGGAGAAGGGAGAAGGGAGAAGGGAGAAGGGAGAAGGGAGAAGGGAGAAGGGAGAAGGGAGAAGGGAGAAGGGAGAAGGGAGAAGGGAGAAGGGAGAGGGAGAAGGGAGAAGGAGAGGGAGAGGGAGAAGGGAGAAGGGAGAAGGGAGAAGGGAGAAGGGAGAAGGGAGAAGGGAGAAGGGAGAAGGGAGAAGGGAGAAGGGAAGGGAGAAGGGAGAAGGGAGAAGGGAGAAGGGAGAAGGGGAGAAGGGAGAAGGGAGAAGGGAGAAGGGAGAAGGGAGAAGGGAGAAGGGGAGAAGGGAGAAGGGAGAAGGGAGAAGGGAGAGAAGGGAGAAGGGAGAAGGGAGAAGGGAGAAGGGAGAAGGAGGGAAGAAGGGAGAAGGGAGAAGGGAGAAGGAGAAGGGAGAAGGGAGGGAGAGGGAGAAGGGAGAAGGGAGAAGGAGAAGGGAGAAGGGAGAAGGGAGAAGGGAGAGGAGAGGGAGAAGGGAGAAGGGAGAAGGGAGAAGGGAGAAGGGAGAAGGGAGAAGGGAGAAGGGAGAAGGGAGAAGGGAGAAGGGAGAAGGGAGAAGGGAGAAGGGAGAAGGGAGAAGGGAGAAGGGAGAAGGGAGAAGGGAGAAGGGAGAAGGGAGAAGGGAGAAGGGAGAAGGGAGAAGGGAGAAGGGAGAAGGGAGAAGGGAGAAGGGAGAAGGGAGAAGGGAGAAGGGAGAAGGGAGAAGGGAGAAGGGAGAAGGGAGAAGGGAGAAGGGAGAAGGGAGAAGGGAGAAGGGAGAAGGGAGAAGGGAGAAGGGAGAAGGGAGAAGGGAGAAGGGAGAAGGGAGAAGGGAGAAGGGAGAAGGGAGAAGGGAGAAGGGAATTGTCAACATGAAAACACGAGATATTGTTGGGTGCGGTTTGGGTCGACTGTGGGTGCCTATGAATGGGTCGGCATAGAGCATGACGTTCTCAACGAAGGAGCTCACTTGCAGCACTGCCTCCACCTGGCGGTCAGAATACAAGGAGAAAAGGGAGAAGTGAACACACGAAAACGCAAGGGAAGTGCGGTTTGTGTTGACCGTGGGTGCATATGAATGGGTCGGCATAGAGCATCACGTTCTCAACAAAGGAGCTCACTTGAAGGACCGCCTCCACCTGCGGTCGGAATAAAGGAGAAAAGGGAGAAGTGAACACCAAAAGAGTGCTTTTAAAGGGGGTTGCATTCGAAGGAATCTGCTTAGAGCATGAGGTTGTCAAGATAGCGGCTCAATTGCAGCACTGCATCCACCTGGCACGCAATCAGAATGCAAGGGCTGAAGAGAACTCAAACGTGCGGCTGGTGTTGAGAACGCTGGAACAAGCACAAAAGGCCGTGCTGCAACTGGTGAGATGTCTCACTCACCTTGTCAATCCGCACCATTTTGTACGATCCTCCTCAGACATCTCACCTTCCCCAGCGACACGTATTCGCCCGCCTGCAGCTTCACGATGTCCTTCTTCCTGTCGATGATCTGAAACACAACGTGGGGGTGAACCTCCCTTGTGTCCCCACCGTTCCTCCTATGTGCAGTGAAGCCAATCACACCATGCCCTGCCGCCCATCCTACCTTCCCCAGCCACACGTATTCGCCCGCCTGCAGCTTTACAATGCCCTTCTTCCTGTCAATGATGCACCTCCCTTCCCTTCCATGTGCTGAGCTTCCAATCACCTAATGCCCTGCCCTCACCCTCCCGACCCTTGCCCTCTCACCTTCCCAAGAGACACGTATTCCCCCGCCTGCAGCTTCACAATGTCCTTCTTCCTGTCGATGATTTGGAAGACCCCGTCCGGATGCACCTCCCCCACGTCGCCCGTTGCAAACCACCGGATGCCCTTGCTGTCCACCTGTTAAGGGAAGTGGAGAAGGGAAGAGCGAAATGGGACAAGAAGAAGAGTGGAACAGTACACCCTTGCCTGCAACCCATCAGGGTGCACCTCCCCCACATCGCCCGTTGCAAACCACCGTATGCCCTTGCCTGCAGTTTGAACCCATCCAGATGCACCTTCCCAACCTAAGTTGGTCATTTGCGTTTACGTTTAGGTACGTACGTGTACGGGTACGTACGTTTACGCGGCTGTTGGGTTGGAGGCCTACTGTACGGGCAGGTGGAAAAATTTATGGGCTGCCTTTTTTTTTTTTTTTTTTTTTTTTACGGTACTCCCTCGTAATCATGATTTCCATCATATAGTGTAAACATTCCATTACAACCTCGTAATTTCTCAAATAACAAAAGTACCATCATGCACGCGTTGTGCTGAATATCATATCATCCTCATTCCTTCGGCTCTTCCGCGTCCTGGCCATCAAGATATGCCTCATCAGGGATGTCGTCGTCATCGAGATGCCCGTAGCTGTCAGTAGGTTCCTCCTTAACTTGGATCACAGGAAGCCCACTCACCACCAGCTTCTTAGCCAGATCCTCATTCAACTTCTTCACTGTGTGATAGTTGTGGCTCGCGTACACTAGGTCGGCAAGGGGTTTCGCTCAAAGGCGATTACGACGAGCTGTATGGATTGACTCCCAAACAGTCCAGTTCGTCTCGCAAGGGGAGGCCGAGACGCATTGCTTGAGAACTCTCCTTGCAAGCTTGGAGAGGTGGGGCACGTCCGTGCCATTGAATTCCCACCAATGCGCCGAATCCAAAAGCCCAGCTTTGATGAGTTCATGTTCATCACACGCTTTCTGCTCCCCAATGTCTCCCTTCCCCTTGGTGTATGTCAAGATCTTTTTTTCGACGATGGTTGCGAGTGGCGCCATCACCCCTCCCACTTTCACGAACTCACCCTTGTAGTAATTGCGAATGAATTGCTAGAAGATCTTGGTACACTCCACGTCTGTTTCAAATATTGACTCGTATTGGTTTGGCGGGTACAGAATCCGTCCGACCACGTGAAGCGCGCAGTTGTTGTCGTTGTTCCACCGATTCCGCACGATGTCAGTCACATCCTCCTTCTCCTCGGTCAGCTCCTTACACGCCTCCTTTACCGTGTCCTCCAAAACAAACATTTTGTCATAGATCTTGCCCATCACCTCCTGATTGCCGTCAACATTCCGCAACAGCTTATAGACCGGACGAAGCCCATCGAGCACTGTCCCAACGCGCGCCCAAAACTCTTTGTCAATAATAGTATCCCATGCGTCCTTCATTTTCGGCTTTCCCTTGATGTACTCCTCCCAATCCTCACTCAACACCAGCATGTCGAGAGTTTTGCGCACTACTTGTAGGCGTTCGAGGGCGATGTAGTTTGTTCCAAAACGATTGCCCGCAGGTTTCAAGATTTGTAACGCCTTCTCCTTCCGAAGAACCCCCGAAATCCAGTGCGCGTTCTTCAGCGTCGAAATTAGCTTCTGCGTGTGGTCGACGGTATCCTTGGCCCAATCGAGTTGGCCTAAGTCCTTCATCATTAGATTGAGAGAATGCGTAGCGCAACGAATCCACTGAGCTTTAGGGTAGTCGCGGGCGATGATGCTGGCAGCGTTGACATTCGCGGACGCACCGTCCATAAGAAGGCCGACTACGTTCTCCGTTCCCAACATGACCATTGCCGTCTTCAAGTGGCCAGCAATGATTTTTCCGCTCCCTTCTTCTCCGTGCCGCAATCCACCCCAAAAAGAAATACGGATGCAATCATATTGACAGCTAAGAAGTTCAGCTGCGGACGTCCTTCGCTGTCGGTCCAACCGTCACACGCGATGCACACCCCGACATCCTTCCATGAATCCTTCACCACCATCAACACAGTGTCGGTGTTCGCTTTGCACTCCTCCAACAATCTTCCCATTATAAGCCGTCGTCCAGGAGGTGTAAATCATGTATCAGCAGCAGCAACCTTTTTCAGCATCGTCTTGAAAGCATCGTGCTCCGCAACATTCGGTGCAATACGACACACGTGGAAAAACATTGCAATGGCTAGTTGCGCACTCGCCGCGTCGACGGGTTTGGGGCGAGTATCCATAAGCGTACGTTGCGTCGCCTGTCTCTTGCGCGCCATGCTGCTACTTTCCGCTAAGTTGGAGCCACTCGCCCCCATGCCCGCCGACCTGGTGTTCGTAATAGACGATGGCGAGAATGCATCGGACGTTTTCTATTGCGCTTTCTCGCGAGAATCAGAGTCCCTTCTCTTATCATCCATCGCGGAACGGATTTTCTCCTTATCCTCAGGTGTAGCTGAGGCGCATGGCGTGATTCCGCTCCCTGGAATTCCGAGAATGTGTGCCTGAGCTCGTGCCACATTCAGTTTCCACGACTTACCACATCGCTTGCATTTCTTCGCTAGCGTAGAATCAGACGTTCCGCCCTCAGGAACAATGAAGCATCGCCACACCGGATGCTCGGAGGTCTGCATAGGGATCTCCACAGTACTAGTATAATCTGTTGGAGAGTTGATTGAGTAGATAGATTGATAAGCTAGCTGTGATTGTTGGTTAAGCGTGGTGACTTTTGTTTTACTTATTAGCTATAGCTGCAAAATAGTTCTTTGCCGTCGAATCGCATTGTTAGTTTCCGGTTATGACCCGCGGAAGGTGCAGGCAAGCGTTTGCGCGTCTTACGGAAGGTGCAGGAAAGTCGCTCGATGTAAATTTAGATTTGACTCGGCGAATTGGTTTGACTCGAAGTTGGGATTCACCGAAACCAGTGAAGCTCGGCGGTGACGAAACTGCCGAGCGGGTGACATTTGCTTACCTTGCAAGCGAAGCAATCGGGAGCTGAGTCAAACTGTTCGCAATGTTCTATCGCGAACAATTTGTACACATTCAGATCTACTCTGACCACAATTTCCTCCCTCCCTCTCTCAACAGACTTAGCTATCGTAGTTCTACCGCCTTAGTCGACATAGTACGTAGGGTAGTCGCCACACCATAGCAACCTTCCTGTTTCTTACATTACTACCTTGAAAAACGTCGTGCCATTTTACTAACACGCTAACAGAGCACAGGTTATCGAAAGCTTGTTTCCTTTTTAGGTTTTCGGAAACCGTTTTCAAAGAAATTTCTAGGGGAATTTTTTTTTTACCTGCCTGGCGTACGTACACGTACGTACGCGTACGTAAACGTACATGTACGTACACGTACGTACGCGTACGTAAACGTACATGTACGTACACGTAAACGCACATGTACGCGTAGGTTACGTGCACGTGGGCTGAAATGGCGTAAATGACCAACTTAGTTCCCAACCTTCACAACCTTCCCAACCTTCACAACCTTCCCAACCTTCCCAACCTTCACAACCTTCCCAACCTTCACAACCTTCCCAACCTTCCCAACCTTCACAACCTTCCCAACCTTCCCAACCTTCCCAACCTTCCCAACCTTCCCTTCCCAACCTTCCCAACCTTCCCAACCTTCCCAACCTTTCCAACCTTCTCAACCTTCACAACCTTCCCAACCTTCCCGACCTTCCCAACCTTCACAACCTTCCCAACCTTCCCAACCTTCCCAACCTTCCCAGCCTTCACAACCTTCCCAACCTTCCCAACCTTCCCAACCTTCCCAACCTTCCCAGCCTTCCCAGCCTTCCCAACCTTCCCAACCTTCCCAACCTTCCCAACCTTCCCAACCTTCCCAACCTTCCCAACCTTCCCAACCTCCCCCACTCCCCCCACCTCCCCCACCTCGCCCACCTCCCCCACCTCGCCCTGATGCCTTTCCCGTCGAACCACACTACCTCTCTCATCTCATCCCCTCAACCCCCGCCCCCACCACACACCACTCACTGAGAACACCACATCTGTGGCCTCCTGGTTCTTCCAGTATCCAGGCGTTACGCACTGCCCTCCAGTATCCAAACATGGCAAGCACGTACAGTGATACAGACCGGATACACCCACAATCCCCTCCCACACTCACCGAGTACACGGCATCGGTGGCCTCCTGGTTCTTCCAATACCCGGAGGCGACGCACGGCCCTCCGATCATGATCTCTTCCCGCAGCAGCGGCTGGTTCTTCCAGTACCCAGGAGTGATGCACGGCCAGGTCTCTCACTCCCGCCCTCATCCCCTTCACCGCTCCATACCCCTCTTAACCCCACACGCACCGAGTACACGGCATCGGTGGCCTCCTGGTTCTTCCAATACCCGGGAGTGACGCCCTGGTCCCTCCCTCACACCCTCCCTCATCCCCTTCACCGCCCGAAACCCCTGTGCACACCCACTCACCGAGTACACGGCATCGGTGGCCTCCTGGTTCTTCCAGTAACCAGGGGTGACGCACGGCCCTCCGATCATGATCTCCCCCCGAGGCAACGGCTGGTCTGTCACACGGTAGTTGCCCTCTGCCCAGTCCACCAGCTGGGTGGGTTAGAGAGGGAAAGAGGGAAAGTTAGTCGATTAGAGATGGTGTGGTTATGTAACATGGTAACACAGATGGTCTGTCACACGGTAGTTGCCCTCTGCCCAGTCCACCACCTGGGGTGGTTGGAGAAAGAGGGGGAGGGGAGGAAGAATTTCAATGAGTAATGATGTGGTAACGTGGTAACAAACCTAGTCTGTTACGCGGTAGTTGCCCTCCGCCCAGTCCACCAGATGGGAGAGAGAAGGGGGGGAAGAGTAGAGCAGTGAGACAATGAAGCGTGACATGGTAACACGGTAACAGCTGGTCTCCTATCATGTTCCCCCCTCGCAGCAGTGGCTGGTCTGTCACGCGGTAGTTGCCCTCGTGCCAGTCCACCAGCTGGGCCGGATGAGAAAAGAGAAAGTAGGGGAGAGATGATGTAACATCGACGCATAACATGGTAGGTAACATGGTAGGCTGGTTTGACACGCGGTAGCTGCCCTTGTGCCAATCCACCAGCTGGGTCAGATTGAGAAAGAGGGAAAGATGGGAGAGTGGAGATCATGGCACCTTGAAGCATGTCGTGGTAACATGGTAACACAGCTGATCTGTCAGGCGATAGTTGCCCTCCTCCCAGTTCAGAAGGGAGAGGGGGAGCAGCGAAGCAGTGTGGGACCCACCTGGGTGTAGCAGCACTGCGGGAACCACCTGGGTGTAGCAGCAGGTGGGTGTAGCAGCAGTGCAAAGGTAAACGTTCAGGGCATACTGAACTCACCCGGATGTAGCAGCAGGGGATAGGTGGCCCGACTCTCCCCACAGAGGTGTCAGAAAATTCTGCGAAGGTTCCTCCAGAGCATGTCTCTGTGAGGCCATAGCCCTGGCCAATGGGAACGCTGCAAGTTGGAAAACAAGAAACGGCACACAAGAAATGAGAAAAATGGGGAAAATGAGACACAAACACAAGATGAGAAGAACGGCGCAAGAGAGAAACAGAAACGGCGGAGGTGTCAGGTGGGAAAGCGCACAGCTGCACTCAGTTGAAACACACGACATGATGAACCTCTGAGTGTCGGGTGAAAGGGGTGCCGCCCCCCCCGGCAGCATGTAGCGCAGCAGCCTGTCGTGCAGCATGCTCTTTGTGAATGAACACACCTCGCTCTTGTAGTAGCAGCATGCACACACACGCACACACACGCACACACACGCACACACATGCACACACAGACAGAAGCACTCACTTGAAGCACACGTTGATGAGGCGTTGAGTGTCAGGTGAAAGGGGTGGCCCCCCCCGGCAGCATGCACCGCACACACGGGCACACACAAACGCACACATGCGCACACATACAGTCGCGGCAGCAGCACTCACTTGAAGCACACATTGATGAAGCGCTGGGTGTCAGGCGACAGGGGCGCTCCCCCCGACAGCATGTAGCGCAGCCTGCCGTGCTGCATGCTCTTCTGAGTATAACACACCACTCTCCTAGTCGTGACACACACACACACTGGGATACAGAAGCACTCACTTAAAGCACACGTTGATGAACCGCTGTGTGTCAGGCGACAGGGGTGCTCCGCCCGACAGCATGTAGCGCAGCCTGCCGCCCACCGCCGCCCGGATTCGCTTGAAGACAAGCGCGTCCCACACCTGCTTCTCCAGCCCCCAAGCGCCCGCCCAGCTGCCGTTGATCGCCGCCAATCGACGGCTGTAAGCGAGGTCGAAGAGCTGCTGCACCGTGGGGGACTGCGTTGCCATCTGGGGGAAGAAGGAAGTGGGGAGGGAGGGAGGGAGGGAGGGAGGGAGGGAGGGAGGGAGGGAGGGAGCGAGGGAGGGAGGGAGGGAGGGAGGGAGGGAGAGGGGGAGCGGGGGGTGGGGGAATGGGAGGGTGAGGTTGGGGGGGGGGTGGATCACACATCGAAAGAAAAGTGGATTGCTGATTGCCACCAATCGACGGCGGTAAGCGAGCTCGAAGACCTGCTGGAGTGTGTGACGGAGGGGAAAGCGTTGCAAGAAATAGAGGGGAGTAGAGGGGATGGAAGAAATAGGAATGGGGGAAGTGGGGATGGGGGAAGTGCGGATGGGGGAAGTAGGGATATGAGGGTGGGTCTCAGCAAATACACCTCCCACTTCCTCCCACAAGCCATCAACACTCTCTTTCTCCTGCAAAGTCACCTTGCTTCACAGCACACCACCACCCAGCACCGCACATCACCGCACTCACCTTCCGCCTGACGCCGTCACCAACCTTATCCAGAAAAGCCGGCACACGGCAGCCATGAGGGTGGGGCGCAGCGCAGACAGATCGCCCTTGCGCCCACCAGCCATCACTATAACACTCTGCCTGCTACCACAGACTCACCTTTCTTCACCACACACCCAGATTTCTCCACCGCACACCACCGCACTCACCTTCCTCCTGACCCCATCGCGGATCTTATCCAGAATGGCGGGCACGGCAGCCATGAGGGTGGGGCGTAGAGCAGACAGGTCGCCCTGTCCCCCGGGCTTGAGCTTGCCTGCCCCGTCGATCACCGTGAGTGGCGACCCATACCCGATGGTTGCTCCTATCGATACCATGCCCGTCTGGTTGGAGGGGAGGGGGATAGGGAGGAGCAAGAGTGCAAATGCGAGGGTGGGGCGCAGAGCAGACAGGTCGCCCTTGCCATCAGCTTGCCTGCCCCATCGATGACTGTGAGGGGCGAGCCATACCCGATGGTTTTCCCGTTCAATACTATGCCCGATGGTTTTCCCATTCAATACCATGCCCGATGGTTTTCCCTATCAATACCATGCCCGATGGTTTTCCCTATCAATACCATGCCCGATGGTTTTCCCGTTCAATACCATGCCCGATGGTTTTCCCGTTCAATACCATGCCCGATGGTTTTCCCGTTCAATACCATGCCCGATGGTTTTCCCTATCAATACCATGCCCGATGGTTTTCCCGTTCAATACCATGCCCGATGGTTTTCCCTATCAATACCATGCCCGATGGTTTTCCCGTTCAATACCATGCCCGATGGTTTTCCCTATCAATACCATGCCCGATGGTTTTCCCGTTCAATACCATGCCCGATGGTTTTCCCGTTCAATACCATGCCCGATGGTTTTCCCTATCAATACCATGCCCGATGGTTTTCCCTATCAATACCATGCCCGTCTGGTGCAAGTGAAGAACGGTTGGGGATGGGAGAGGGGTGTGTGTGTGGCGGGGGGGTGATGCAGATGAGGAAGGAAGGGAGCGATGAGCAAAAGGAGTCTTCACCTGCAGATTCAAGCTTCGACCTCATCGGTAATAACATACCTCGACACACGAGGAGGCTAACACAGCACTTTCTGCGTATGTTTTCTGAGAATTCTAAAAAAACATACGCGGTAATAAGATACATCGACACGAGGAGGCTAACACAGCACTTGCCTCTGCAAAAGGCTCGAAACCCCTGAAGTACAAGAGAGACAATGGAAGGAGCTCACAGAGGCAGTGAGATCAAGGGGGTATACGAGGGGCAGGAAGGCAACGCAAACATCGCTCTCCACGGCATCATGGTGCTTAAATTAATATGCCCAGAGAGCCTGAGCCCACAAGCAGAAGATAGGCAACGTTCACACCGTTCCCTCCCGTCGACAGTATGGTACCCATCGCTTCATGTACCCATCGCTTCATGTACCCATCGCTTCATGTACCCATCGCTTCATGTACCCATCGCTTCATATACCCATCGCTTCATGTACCCATCGCTTCATGTACCCATCGCTTCATATACCCATCGCTTCATGTACCCATCGCTTCATGTACCCATCGCTTCATGTACCCATCGCTTCATGTACCCATCGCTTCATGCACCCATCGCTTCATGTACCCATCGCTTCATGTACCCCATCGCTTCATGTACCCATCGCTTCATGTACCCATCGCTTCATGCACCCATCGCTTCATGTACCCATCGCTTCATGTACCCATCGCTTCATGTACCCATCGCTTCATACACCCATCGCTTCATGTACCCATCGCTTCATGTACCCATCGCTTCATACACCCATCGCTTCATACACCCATCGCTTCATATACCCATCGCTTCATATACGCATCGCTTCATATACCCATCGCTTCATACACCCATCGCTTCATACACCCATCGCTTCATACACCCATCGCTTCATACACCCATCGCTTCATATACCCATCGCTTCATACACCCATCGCTTCATATACCCATCGCTTCATATACGCATCGCTTCATACACCCATCGCTTCATATACCCATCGCTTCATATACCCATCGCTTCATATACCCATCGCTTCATATACCCATCGCTTCATACACCCATCGCTTCATACACCCATCGCTTCATATAACCATCGCTTCATATACGCATCGCTTCATATACCCATCGCTTCATATACCCATCGCTTCATATACCCATCGCTTCATATACCCATCGCTTCATATACCCATCACTTCATACACCCATCGCTTCATACACCCATCGCTTCATATACCCATTGCTTCATATACCCATCGCTTCAATACCCATCGCTTCAGACGTCTAACACTAACCCCGGCAGTGAGCTGAAGCGAGTGGGCGAGGGGCAGATAGGCGATGTACGAATCGTTCTCGTCGGCATCGGGCACGAGCGAGCAGACCAAAGAGCCTCATATCCACAGAGCTTACAAACGCAGCGCACCTCTGTAGTGAGCTCGAGCGAGTGGGCGAGGGTCAGGTAGGAAATGTACACATCATTCTCGTCTGCAGTACGGTGTTGCTTCATATGCCCCTCGCTTCATACGGATAACACTCACCTCTGCAGTGAGTTCGAGGGAGTGTGCGAGGGGCAGGTAGGGAAGGGAATGTACACATCGCTCTCGTCGGCAGTATGGTGCTGCTTCATATGCCCCTCGCTTCAGAATTCCAACACTCACCTCTGCAGTGAGCTCGAGCGAGTGGGCGAGGGGCAGGTACGCAATGTACGAGTCGTTCTCGTCGGCATCGGGCACGAGGGCCATGACTGCTGCAAAGACTGCCACTAGGTTGCCGTGAGTCATCATCACGCCCTGATGAATAGGTGGATGCATAGGGTGAGAAGGGGAGAGGGAGACGTTAAGGAGAGAGGGAGAGAGAGAGGAACAGCCTCTTAGCCTTTGCCCCTTGCCTCTGCCTACTGCCTCTGCCATGGGTATATAAGGGCCCCTGCTGCCATGGGATGGCATGGCATGGCATGGCATGGCATAGCATGGCATGGCATGGCATGACATAGCATGGCATGGCATGGCATGGCATAGCATGGCATGGCATGGCATGGGATGGCATGGGATGGCATGGCATGGGATGGCATGGCATGGCATGGGATGGCATGGCATGGCATGGCATGGCATGGCATGGCATGGCAGGCATGGGAAGGAGTGTGATCAGCATGCCACGGATGCAACTAGATGGGATTGGATGGGTTGACGTACCTTGGGAACTCCAGTGGATCCTGACGTGTACATGATGAATGCCAGGTCAGACGACTGCGGCAGGTTTGACTCCATCGGGCTCTCCACCCCTTTGGCCTCCACGTCAGCATAGGGAAGTACTGTGATGCTCCCTATGGTGCTGGGCAGCGGATCCTCGTTGCTGACGGTTTCGTTATCAGCCATCTGCTCTGCCATGACTATAACGCGCTTCACTGTAGCGAGGCGGGAGTGTACCTCTGCGAGCTTGTCAAACTGTTTCCTATCACACACCACTGTGGCCACTTCGGTCTGAATATAAGGGACGAAGTGAAGAAGAGAAGAAGAGAAGAAGAGAACAAGTGAAGACGAGAAGGAGAGAACGAGGGAAACGAGAAGAAAAGCGCAGGGTAACAGGAGAAGATTAGAAGAGGAGACGAGGGCAAGAGAAGGAGCAAGCAGGGTGTGACGTCAGCAGGTACGTCTGCAAGCAAGGGAGCATGGAAGAGTTGCACGTGAGTCATGCAAGAGAAGGAGACATGCACTGCATTCAACCGCATTCAACCACATTCAACCACAGTCAAATCTAACCGAAGAACAGCGAATTCACATCCACCCAGTCGTTACCCTTACCCTTCTTTCCATGCCCCCTGTTTGTGCCCCAGCATACACTGCCACATCCCACCAGCTCGTGGTGAAACACTTCCTTGAGAGTTCAGAAATTCATTCTCGTTATAAGCTCACCTCGTTAAGCGAGTGAACCAGCGCGTCCGTCCCTAGAGACGCGTACACCGTCACCACGACAAGCCCGTGCTGAAACGCGCCCTGCATCGCGATAAACCAGTCCGCGCGCGTCTCAGCAAACATCGCCAGCTTCTCCCCGCGCCCATGGCCGCTCCCCATCAGCCCCGCGCCGAACGCCACCACGCGCTCGTGCACGCGCTCGTACGATTCCCACTCGTACTCCCCGAGAGTTACTCTCTCCACCTGCTTGTCTATCTTCGCGTCGAATTCGAACTCGCGGGAGATTAATCTCCGCGTGCCGAGCAGGCGGCGGTTGCGGAATTTCTTAGCGGACATGTTGAAGAGGCCCGGGATGGTGCTCGCGCCCGCGAACGGCGTCTCGAGGAGGCCCTGGAAGCGGCTGTGGCGGTACGTGATTCCCGGGCCGTCCACGTCAGCACGCACCCCGTAGATTCGATCCTCGGGGTCGAAAAAACTCGCGCTGGGAGGGGGAGGAGGGGGAGGAGGGGGTTGGGAGTGTGAGGGGAGGTGGGAGGAACGGAAGATGGCGGAACGATGAACAGTAATAATCAAAGTCGGTAGCTCGAATGCGAACAATGAAACAGAAAAAAAACGGGGAAAACAATAAACTTCTGACAGTTTATTTCCGAATCATTCGATCAGAATAAGGTCAAAGAACATCGAATAGAGGGTCGATTTCGGATAGCTGTTGACTGTGGAGTATCAACAGCTACACGCGCTCGAATTCGGAACCGGCGACGACGCGAGGGGAACTTGAATGGCGCTGACAGAGAGTCGATCTGTCACCGAAATTGGGAAGCCGAACTAGTTAGTAATCGATCTCACTCCACTCGCTCGCATTACGCGACGATCTTTGCGAGCTGCGCGAGGATCCTTGAGGAAGAGCCCAATGAGACTAAAGCCACCACTCTCTACCACTCGCTACCACTCACTTGATGTAATGATACACGAAAATCGCGAGCAGCGCGAGGCATACGGGAGCAGCGTTATCAGGTAACTAAACAGTCGACTAAAGAAACGACCGAATGAGACTAAATCCACCACTCATTACCACTCGCTACCACTCACTTGATGTATTGATATACGAAAATCGCGAGCAGCGCGAGGCACACGGCACCGGCGTTGTCGACTAGAATGACGAGCAACGCCGCCGCTGGCGGTCCAACCACCGGCACGAGCCGTAGGAACCCCGCTGCGAGCGACGCCATGACCGCGGCCTGCGAACCAAGACGCTTCGCGCGAAATCTGCTACAGATTAGGAGAGATCGAATCTCCTAGGAGGAATGCAGCTTAGCCGAGGAACTGCAGCACCTACACACCAACAGAACAGAAATCCGCTGGGTGACGATTCATCAGTGAGCTCTCGCAGCAAAACAAATTTCAAGGCAAGCTTTCTCAGCACCCTGCTGTCCCGGAATATCAGGATAGGTTCAAACGGCTGACAGTCAACTGACACACGACGGAGTGGAGTGGAGGTGTTGCTGCCCCAGATCTTGGCGGCAATGGTTTTCGTTAACGTATGAGCTCACAATGAAAAAAATGAACCATTATTCGCCAGTTAAACCAAAAGCAAGTCAGAAGCATTTTCTTTTGCGCTAGACATTTCTGGGTTGCATAGCAACCCTATACATTTGGTAGCACTTGAAATTATTTACATTTCCTTCAGCACTGCACTCCACTACCTAATCTAATACTCACGCGGATAAGCACGTATCAGTCGTGTTACCCTAAACTTAGAATACGCTTTGAATCGAACCGTATCACTCAAAAACCTTAGCCATTCCCGACCGTGTGGAGTCCGCTTCCTCTCCGTGTGCAATCTTTGGGCCCTTGAACCACCGGCGGGCATCAACAATCCACCATAGGAGGAAGAAGCTCACACAAATGGCAAGCCCGATGGGCGAATAGTTAAAGTTTGATGAAGTTATAGGGTACTCCGTCGGAAGCATAAAGACAGCCATAGTGTAGACCACATATAGCAGCGCTAAGATGTGTACGCACTTGCTGCATGGGGAGAGTTGCGTCGCATGGGAAGTGAGAAGATATATTTGAGTTGAGGAAGAATGGCGGAAGAAGCGCGAGTGTGATGGTGGGAGCAAATGGAGAGCAGGTCGGGAGGAGATTGCACCGTGACACCGTGGCACCATGGCATTAGGAAAGAATTCCTGTGACTCGCTGCAAAACCACCCTCGTGAGAATTTTCAGAAGCGACACAAACATCCCCACCATGGCCATGCCCATGCCCGCTCCACCTCACCTAACCTCACCTCCGGTCTTGACAAAATAGTTTCTCAGGTAAAATGACCCGAGGACAAAATCCCCATCATCCTGCAGAATCCGGAGGATGTGCACGCCGTACGCGCCGAACCAGTTTTGAGACGTCTCAAAACTAATTAGTTTCTCAGGTAAAACCGCCCTGGGACAAAATCCCCATCATCCTGCCAGATCCGGAGGAGGTTGGGCACACCGTACGCGCCGAACCACCCCACGGTGGCCCTGCTGGTGATGGCCCCTTTCCCTGAACCTCCTCATCTTCCCAAAGTTTCCGTTGCGATTCTTTGTGTGGATCATAGAATGGCCCCCGGCAAACAGTCTGCTTCATCCTGCAGGCAGAGACACGCTGACCACTCCCCCACTAAGCCTCACCTTCCGATCTTCCCAAAGTAGTTCCTCAGGTAAAACGGCCCAGGAAAAAATCCCCGTCGTCCTGTAGAATCCGGAAGAGGATCGGCACGCCGTACGCGCCGAACCAACCCATGGTGGCCGTGACCATGCCCATGGCCATGACCATGCCCATGCCCATGCCCATGCCCATGCCCATGACCATGCCCATGCCCATGCCCATGACCATGCCCATGACCATGCCCATGACCATGCCCATGCCCATGCCCATGACCATGCCCATGACCATGCCCATGCCCATGCCCATGCCCATGACCATGCCCATGACCATGCCCATGCCCATGCCCATGACCATGCCCATGCCCATGACCATGCCCATGACCATGACCATGCCCATGCCCATGCCCATGCCCATGCCCATGACCACTCCCCTTGACTACGCCTCACCTTCCAATCGTGCCAAAGTAGTTCTTCAAATAAAACGGCCCGGGCACAAAGTCCCCATCGTCTTGCAGGATGCGAAAGAGGATGGGCACGCCGTACGCGCCGAACCACCCCACCGTGGCCATGCCGGTGACGGCAAAGTACGCAGTGCTGCCACCCAGCAGAGGCAGCAGCGCCACGATGGCGATGCCCACGGTGCACATGAGTGCGTTCATGGGCACCTTGCGCTTGTTGATGCGCCGCCACAGAAAGGAGAAAGGTAGACCTTTGTCGCGTGCTAGTGCGTAGCCCTGTGTGTGGGGGGTGTGGGGGGTGTGGGGGGTGTGGGGGGTGTTGGGGGTAGGGGAGATGTGGAGTATGAGGGGGGTTTGATGGAAGGGTGACTGTGAAGCCTAAGAGTGTGGGGCGTGGTGCAGCGACAATGGGGGTGATGTGACCACCCTAAGACTGGACATTCCTGTGGGTTACCACATGGGTTACTGAAATGGGTTACCGCATGGGTTACCCCATGGGTTACCGCATGGGTGCAAGGGTTACCGCGTGGGTTACCACATGGGTTACTGAAATGGGTGGTAGCATGGGTTAACCCATGGGTTACCACATGGGTGCATGGGTTACCGCATGGGTTCCTGCATGAGTTCCTGCATGAGTTACGGCATGGTTTACCGTATGGGTTATCGCATGGGTTACCACATGGATTGCTGCATGGGTTGCTGCACGGGATGCCGCATGGGTTACATACCTCAAAGACAAGATACAACGTACCACACGACAGGCCGCGAAGACGAGAGTGATGGTGCAGAAGAAAAAGGAGGAGAAGAAGAGGCAGATGAAGACATAGACCCCTGCTGTGCTGCCGTACCTGTTGAATGGATACAAGGGAGGGGAAGGAAAGGAGGGGAGCCTTCAGGGGAAGAGGCAGATGAAGACATAGACCCCTGCTGTGCTGCCGTACCTGTTGAATGGATACAAGGGAGGGGAAGGAAAGGAGGGGAGCCTTCAGGGGAAGAGGCAGATGAAGACATAGACCCCTGCTGTGCTGCCGTACCTGTTGAATGGATACAAGGGAGGGGAAGGAAAGGAGGGGAGCCTTCAGGGGAAGAGGCAGATGAAGACATAGACCCCTGCTGTGCTGCCGTACCTGTTGAATGGATACAAGGGAGGGGAAGGAAAGGAGGGGAGCCTTCAGGGGAAGAGGCAGATGAAGACATAGACCCCTGCTGTGCTGCCGTACCTGTTGAATGGATACAAGGGAGGGGAAGGAAAGGAGGGGAGCCTTCAGGGGAAGAGGCAGATGAAGACATAGACCCCTGCTGTGCTGCCGTATCTGGAAGATCGATCATATGGGATGTGAAGGGAGAGATGGGAATGTGTCGAGAAAAAGAGAGAGAAAGAACAAACAAGGAGGCGATTTCTGAGTCGACTCTAAGGGCCGTACTCCTCTGCACCTACTGAATCGACTCTAAGGGCTGCGGTGCGGTGCGGTGCAGAGAAGTGCGGTGCGTCTCACCTCCCATTGAAGATGGTCCAGAGGATCTGAATCACCGGCTTGCCTCACAATGAATTCTCCTCGGTGCATTACAGCTCACCTCCTGCAAGCTGCAGCGCGCTTGAGTGCGGTGCTGAGCGGTGCTCTGTGTCTCACCTCCCATTGAAGATGGTCCAGAGGATCTGAATCACCGGCTTGCCTCACAATGAGTTCTCCTCAGTGCATTACAGCTCGCCTCCTGCAAGTTGCAGCGCGCTAGAGTGCGGTGCTGAGCGGTGCTCTGTGTCTCACCTCCCATTGAAGATGGTCCAGAGGATCTGAATCACCGGCTTGCCTCACACTGAATTCTCCTCAGTGCATTACAGCTCGCCTCCTGCAAGTTGCAGCGCGCTAGAGTGCGGTGCTGAGCGGTGCTCTGTGTCTCACCTCCCATTGAAGATGGTCCAGAGGATCTGAATCACCGGCTTGCCTCACAATGAATTCTCCTCAGTGCATTACAGCTCGCCTCCTGCAAGTTGCAGCGCGCTAGAGTGCGGTGCTGAGCGGTGCTCTGTGTCTCACCTCCCATTGAAGATGGTCCAGAGGATCTGAATCACCGGCTTGCCTCACAATGAATTCTCCTCAGTGCATTACAGCTCGCCTCCTGCAAGCTGCAGCGCGCTAGAGTGCGGTGCTGAGCGGTGCTCTGTGTCTCACCTCCCATTGAAGATGGTCCAGAGGATCTGAATCACCAGCTTGCCTCACAATGAATTCTCCTCAGTGCATTACAGCTCGCCTCCTGCAAGCTGCAACGCGCTAGAGTGTGGTGCTGAGCGGTGCTCTGTGTCTCACCTCCCATTGAAGATGGTCCAGAGGATCTGAATCACCGGCTTGCCGCCCGCAGCGTTCTGCCCATCCAGCAGAGTGGCTTCGTCCTGAATGCAGAACGTGAGCACCACCACCACCGCCCACTCCAGAAACGACACCAGCGTCAGCGCCCCCACCATCGCAATGGGGGTGGTCAAATCGGACCGCTTGGCCTCCTCTGATGCATGTGCTCCGGTGTCGAAAGAGTAGAGGGCGTATTGAGACATCAAGAGACCCACCAGCACGGCATAGCCCTGGGGAGACCGGGGGAGGGAGGAAAAAAGGGCAGGAGAGGGGGTGTGAGGAGGCAATGGGGGCTGTGACGTCAGACCGCTTGGCATCCTCTGATGCATGGGCGCCGGTGTCGAAGGAATAGAGGACGTATTGAGACATCAAGAGACCCACTAGCACGGCATAGCCCTGGGGAGAGAGGGAGGGGAGCGGGAGGGGGGGGGGGTGTGTAGGAGAGGCAGTGTTGAGACCTAGATGGCCGAGGACGTGTAGAGTGCACACCGCAGCATGAGCACCGGCACACACACCGGCACACACACCGGCACACACACCGGCACACACACCGGCACACACACCGGCACACACACCGGCACACACACCGGCACACACACCGGCACACACACCAGCACACACACCAGCACACACGCCAGCACACACGCCAGCAATCCTCAGCACACACAATCTACATGGCCAAGTAAGCTCAAGGGTGCCGAATCACACAATCTACATGGCCAAGTAAGCTCAAGGGTGCCGAATCACACAATCTACATGGCCAAGTAAGCTCAAGGGTGCCGAATCACACATTCTACATGGCCAAGTAAGCTCAAGGGACAAGAGACTCACGTTGCTGGGCACGTTGGTGTTGGCGGTGCTGAAATCCAAATGGCCGAACACCCGAGGTATAGAGGTAAGGTAAGGGACTCACCTTGTGGCACACTGCACAGCCAGCAGTGCTCTAGGAACTCACGTTGCTGGGAAGATTGGTATTGGCTGTGTTGAAATCCAAATGGCCCAAGGAGTAGAGTGAGGAATGCGGCAAGAGCAGCCGCACCAGCACACACACTCTCTGTACAAGCAGCTCTCCTCAATTGATGAGAGCAGCCGCACCAGCACAACCAGCTCTCCTCAATTGATGAGAGCAGCCGCACCAGCACAACCAGCTCTCCTCAATTGATGAGAGCAGCCGCACCAGCACAACCAGCTCTCCTCAATTGATGAGAGCAGCCGCACCAGCACAACCAGCTCTCCTCAATTGATGAGAGCTGCCGCACCAGCACAACCAGCTCTCCTCAATGGACTCTCATTGACGACTTTTGAGGCGACTTTTGAGGTGCCTAAAAAAACACTCTCTGTACAGCCAGCTCTCCTCAATGGACTCTCATTGACGACTTTTGAGGCGCCTCACAGGGACTCACGTTGCTAGGCATGTTGGTATTTGCTGTGTTGAAATCGAGATGGCCGAAGACCCACCACGCTGGCTGCAGTGTTGGTGCGACGAGAGGGAGCGTGATTATGGTTATCACACCCGCTAGCACCTGGTGTGTGGGGGGTAAAAAGGGAGTAAAGGGAAGGAAAGGGAAGGAGAAGGAAGAAGGAAAGCAATGGCTCACGAGGCTGGTTGCAGTGTTGGCGCGACGAGAGGCAGCGTGATTATGGTTATCACACCTGCTAGCACCTGGTGCGTGGGGGATTGAGGGTTAGGAGGGGGAAGGAGAAGGCGAGGAGAAGAGCAGTTGCCGAAAATCCCACGAGGCTGGTTACAGTGTTGGCGCGACGAGAGGGAGTGTGGTGATTTTTCCTGCTAGTACCTGGTGGGTGGGGGGATGAGAGGGGTAGGGGTAGCAGAGGGATTGCATTGTTGGCGCGACAGACGATAGGGAGCGTGATTATGGTTATCACACCTGCTAGCACCTGGTGCGTGGAGGATTGAGGGGAAGTGTAGGGGAGGGGAGAGCGATAGAGCTGTGAGGCTGGTTGTAGCATCAAGGCCATGCTTGGAAGGCAGAATGAAATGAATTACAATGACAGTCATAGGGGGGTTGGAGGGGTGAGAGCAATGGAAGGGTACATTACAGCACCCAGCAGCACATCCCAGTAGATACAAATGCACCCCAACCCATCCCATCTCATCCCACCCCACCGCACTGGACCACACCCCATCCCACCCCACCGCACCCCACCTGGATGATCATGCCAACGAGCAGCACGCAGCCGATGACGGTTCCAATACACCGCACCCCACCCCACCTCGCCCCACCTCGCCGCATCTCGCCCCACCTCGCCCCAACTCGCCCCACCTCGCCCCACCTCGACCCATTTCGCCCCATCTCGCCCCACCGCACCTGGATGATCATGCCGACCAGCAGCACTCTGCCAACGCCATTCTAATGGGATGGGAAGCAGGTTCACGAGCGCACACACGAGCACAATGAACACACAGCAGGCAGCGATGCTGATGTTGACAGTGCCAAAACACCGCACCCCACCGCACTGCATCGCACCCCACCTGGATAAGTACCCTCAGCACCGCACTGCACCTGGATGATCATGCCGACCAGCAGCACGCGGCCGACCATCTTAATGGGAAGCAGATTGATGAGCGCACACACGAGCACAATGAACACACAGCAGGCGAACTGCACTGGCTCTGACATCATGTATCCACCACCATTGGCACCACCTGTGGTACCAGTGGATACGAGGGGATAGAAGGGGGTACATGGGGGTACAAGGGGATAAAAGCACAAGGAATCACATCGGGCCAAGAGGCAGGCAGAGTAACAAGCACAGACCATACAAGCACGATGAACACACAGCAAGCTCACTGCAGTGGCTCCAGCAACATGTACCCGCCACCGTTGGCGCCGTCTGCAACGCAAGGAGTGGGAGGTGATCCAAAGGGATACACGGGGGTACAAGGCGGTGCAATGGGGTACAAGGCGATGCAATGGGGTACAAGGCGATGCAATGGGGTACACGGGGAGAAAGAGACAGGTTGATGAGAGCACACACTAGCACGATGAACACACAGCAGGCGAGTTGCACCAGCTCTGGCATGGGTGTACCCGCCACCGTTGGCGCCACCTGGAGTAGGAGAGAGATGGGGGATGTTGCAAGGGGATAGAAGGGGATAAAGAGGGGTACATGGGGAAACACGTTGGTATCTGGGGGTACAAAAGGGGAAAGCCCAGCAAGGTGACTTCTGAGTCGACAGGGGCAACCGCAGTAGGCAAGGCATGGCAGGCAAGCTCAGCAGGCTCCCCTGGGGCCAGCCAACCGAGTGATATGGGCTCCACTCTGATACTGTGCTGCACCACATCACACTGCATCACACCACAGTCCACCATTGCACCCTGCAATCCAATGCACCGGACTGCACCGCACTGCACCTGTAGCGAGAAGAATTAGGTCGCTAAGGAGCAGCACCCCTCCCAGCGCCACGCCTCCTGAGCCGATGGACGCCCCGAGAAATTCCAACCAGCCCTGCAACGGGTAAAGGCAAGAGGGCAGAGGAGAAAGGCAACACAGGCCGAACTTTGAGGTCTCCTCCCTCCCAGCACCACGCCTTCCAGCACCACCCCTCCCAGCACCACGCCTCCCAGCGCCACCCCTCCCAGCGCCACTCCCCCCGAGCAAATTGACGCCCTGAGAAACTCCAACCAGCCCTGGGGATAAGCGGGCATTGAGCAAACGACTGGCAAAAACTTAGCAAATACTTAACAGACACTTCCGGATATTGAGCAACACTTAGTGAACATTCAGTGAACACTTAGCAGCCGGCAGTAGTCACACGTTAGGCGAGCGCGTCGCAAAGGGCACTCACTGTGATCCAGGCAGCGAGCAGGCGATCTTTAGTACACATTTTGCACACCCTTTGCGAACACTCAGCAAGCTTTGGCAAACACTAAGCAAAGGAATGGCAGAGCAGCAGTGGAGCGCACTTACTGTGATCCAGGCAGCGAGTGGACGGTACTTGGGCTTGGCTAGTGCTGCCGCCCAGAAATAAAGAGAACCAGCCGTCTGAAGGAGGGATGGGGGAAGAGGAGAAGAGGGGAGATGAGAGGGGAGGGGAAGAGAGGAAGCAGGCAGCGAGTGGGCGGTACTTGGGCTTGGCTGGTGCTGCCGCCCAGAAATTAAGAGAACCAGCCGTCTGAAGGAGGGATGGGGGAAGAGGAGAAGAGGGGAGATGAGAGGGGAGGGGAAGAGAGGAAGCAGGCAGCGAGTGGGCGGTACTTGGGCTTGGCTAGTGCTGCCGCCCAGAAATAAAGAGAACCAGCCGTCTGAAGGAGGGATGGGGGAAGAGGAGAAGAGGGGAGATGAGAGGGGAGGGGAAGAGAGGAAGCAGGCAGCGAGTGGGCGGTACTTGGGCTTGGCTGGTGCTGCCGCCCAGAAATAAAGAGAACCAGCCGTCTGAAGGAGGGATGGGGGAAGAGGAGAAGAGGGGAGATGAGAGGGGAGGGGAAGAGAGGAAGCAAGCAGCGAGTGGGCGGTACTTGGGCTTGGCTAGTGCATGCGAGGACTTTTGAGGCGCCTCAGAAGGAAGAGGCGCGATTTGTGCAAGGGAGAATTGCAATGCAATGGGCGAGCAAGGGAGAATTGCAATGCAATGGGCGAGCAAGGGAGAATTGCAATGCAATGGGCGAGCAAGGGAGGAGCCTTATAGCCCGCCTTGTGCGTGCAACTCACCGGGAAAGAAGAGGCGATTTCAGCGAGAGAGAGGGCGATGCAGTGGGCGAAGAAAGCAGTGATCCACCAGAACCATACCGCCATCACCGGACCACCGCTTGCAAAGGCGTAGCTGGTGGAAGAGAGGAAAGAGAGTGGGAAAAGAGAGGAAAGGGAGTGGGAAAAGAGAGGAAAGAAGGGTTGATGGAAGGGAGGAAGAGAGGGAAGGTGGAAGAGAGGAAGAGAGAGCGGAGCAGCAGGTGGGTACGAATGCAGGTGGGTACGAATGCAGGTGGGTACGAATGCAGTGATTGAGCCGCTCAGCGTGCAGAACCAGACGCCATCATAGGGCCGCCGCTCGCAAAGGCGTAGCTGGGCGGGAAACGGCGGAGGGGAGTCGATTTTTTAGTCGACTCAAAAAAGAGGGCAGAGGGGAGAGCACACGAGATGAGAGCGCATGGGTGCAGCGACCTGTCAGGGCGACGAGCGCAGCTGTCAGGGCCATGGCTGGCCGGGAATTGATCGTGCAGCGAAGAGAAGAGAGAAAAAAAGGGGAATTTTGCGGGAGAAGCGATTCAGGAGGGAAGGGCAGGCCGGGGTGAAAAAAAGGGTGTCCGTTAGTGTCATTCACTCGTAGCAGGCGCCTGGGGCCTCCTAATCGCGAACCGTGGGCTCGGATGACATTTAGAATCTAATTCCGAATTTCAAGGATTGAGATAAATTTGTACGGAAAAATGTTCCACAACTTCGAACGCACCACTCGCTTATAGTACGGAGAACTTCGGGAAAAGACCCTCATCCTCGTTACAAGACATGTTTAGCCGACTCCATAAGACAAAACACCACTCACTCGTAGTACGGGATAACCCCGAGGAAGACCCCCACTCCCGTTAACGACACGGCGAAGAGCTCGAAGGCATTCTGATTGGTGGACGGGAAACAGAGGGGAGGAAGGATGGGAGAGTGCGTACTCGATACGGAGGCCACTCGAACCAGCTCAAACGGTATTAATCGCGGGTGTGAGATCGACGGGGGCGTGGAACGAAGATGCGCGAAACGAACGGAGGATGAGAGAGAGCAAAGGCAACGACAAAACTGTGTGTGTGCTTTTTCTTTCAACTGGTCCGGCTTGATGGATTTCGAGGTGGAGACTGGAAGGCCTCGTTTCCAACATCCAATGAGAAGTGAGAGAATGCAGGAGGCCGTTCAAAGGCCTCGCTTCAGTCCTGCTTCGGTTTCGCTTCAGTCACATCAAAGCGGGACGTCCTCGAGTCGAGTCCAGCGGGTGATAGTCCAGCGAGCAGAGAGATAACGACCCCGTTACAGTCACATGGTCGCACACTATCGCACGTGGTCGCATCTGGTCGCAGGAACGCACCAGATCACGTTGGAGGTCCTGTTTGTACCCTAGCTCGTTGAGCCGCTTCTCCCCGGAGTCGAGCTCCACCGTTAATAGCACACCGTCGTCAAGCATAATCTCCATCGTCTTCGCGCCGCCCTGCCCCCCTCCGCCATCCCCGCCGTCATTCGCGCCGTTGGGTGTGTTTTCCACTAGCGCGACAACCGCGGCGCCTTCGAAGGCGCACGCCTCGCGGAAGAGCTCGTCGTTTTCTGCCACTGGCGGCTCGACTGCCGTGTTCTCCTCGACCGTCCAATCGCCATCGTCCGCCATTCGCGGCGGAAATGCAGGGGAAGCTAGGCGGTAAAACGGAAATGTGGGATGTCGTGACGCGACGGCCTAGAGCCTGGAATAACTACTCTCCGTCTTCTGATTCTCTAACGATCGCTGTGGTAATTAATACCCGTCGTGCCAATTCTCGACGCTTGGACACTAAAGCGCAGCGGACGATGTTTCGATTGCGGTAGGACCATCAAGGAGCTAGCTAATGGCGGGCGCTGAAAGCACGCGCTTTCCCATCATTAGCTCCGCACAGTGGAGGAGAAATTCCTGCCTGAACCATATCTCTACCTCGTGTATCTCATCATCTTCAGGCGAGAAAATAGCTATTTTTGTCTCAACTCCACTGAGGACGAGCACTACTACTACACTGGCAGTGGCTTGGAATGATGAAGGTTGTCTGTGAAGTGATGAGGAGCCACAAAGGGAGTTGGGGGCGGGGGGAGGGAGGGGAGGGGTACCCCTAAATTGAACTCTCAAACGAGAGCGCCTGAACTTGTACTTCTTCCAGATAAACGACGTTACGTGGATATGTTTTTGTGGGTGCTGTTGGGGTCATTTGATTTCCTCAACCCCCTGTGTGACCCGAGGACCAAATTCAACTTGCACCTGCCTACATCCCGACACTTACTATTTTGAGTTCCACAGCGAATAACCTGGCTCTCTGGAGTTTAGTATTGTAACCACCATTTCAGCCTATATTTGGGATCACCATTAGCAAGAGACCCGTTTTCGCTCACTCCCATACACCCGGATACTGTACCGCATTCGCCCTTGCGAGTTTTGTGAACGGGACCCAAGGCGAGAAGGATGTACAGTATATTGTCCATCTCAGCCACGGTGTGCCCCCTCCCCAACACCGGACCGGAGTGCACTTGTCCAAGGCAGCGGTCCGATGGCTTTTGGTTTGGTCTGGTTTGGTTTGGTTTGGTTTGGAGCCAGAGAACTCGTACGGCGCGCCGCTAGGTGTGGTTCGTTTCGGGACAACAAAGATTTGCAAGCCCAGTGGCACTCAATTGGGAAGTGTTGGCGGAAAGAGGCCGACGCGACGGCTGATTTTCGGAATGCATAACTCCGCGCGAAGCCATCGTGGTGACAACTTTGCGCACCTCCCCAGACGTGCTACGTTAGGGGGAGGTCGTGCAGGTGGGGAGGTTAGGGCGGATGCATTTGGCGGGGAGGAGCTCTCCCATACGAAGGATATAGTGCGGTTCGGTTTGGTGCGCAGAGGTTGCATTCGGGAGCATTTTGGGGGATGGGTGAATTTGCGAAGATTGTCGTCTTCAGAAATCAAAAACAAGATTTGTGGAAACATATAGAGACAGCAGCACATCCGTCCGTCCCATTCCCAACCGCCCTTTCCCGCCAAACGTGGGTGGTGTGGGTGCACGCACCTCCTCTTCCGTCCACTGGTTGATAATAAATGCGACCCAGCGAAATGATGCAGTGTGAGGGGGTTTGTTTCCATAGAACCAAGCGCAGGGAATGCGCAATATACGCCACACACTTAGCCCTGGGTCCAACCAAACCCCACCAGTCATGCAATATCGCCAAGGCTTGTCAAACAAAAGTTTTAAGTGGAAGGGAAAGGAGTCTCAGCGTGGCACCATGAAGTCCAACTTCCGAGGGACAAACTCCCTTTGACATAGGCCTTGTTCTGTGGCCCCTTAACTCAGAGTTAACAGGGTTCGTGATGGCTTCATTAACTCAACCCTCACACGTGTGTACGTTACAATCACACCGTGCCAGCTAACTCTGAGTTAGCAAATATGGGTTCCAAATACGCAAAGTTATAACTGAGTACGCTTCGTAGGAAGCATGCGCCGAATCTTCTTTCACGGGCAAACTAACTCAGAGTTCCAGCTTTCCCTTACTCGGGCTTTTGGGTGAAAGCTGGCTGCACTACTCTGAGTACGGCTCGAGAGGGGTTACCTTAACAATGCCCACATTTGGTTCTTTCCAACTAGTGCCTCTTCCCATATTTGGCCCGTAACTGATCTTGCACTGACTCCATCTTTTTCTGTCTGCACCACGCGACCCCGAGATTCCAAGATTACCTTCATGGTCACCCTTTCGCGAATTTTGTTTCGAAGGGGCGGCAGTTCGGGTTGAGTCCAAAAGTTTTGACCGGGACATCTTCGAGAACCTTCCTGACACTCCCATAACTCAGAGTTACGGGCCACAGAACAACAAGGTGAGTTACAACTCATACCTTCACACGAGCGAAATGATTACTCGTCGGTGAACTCACCCAACCCTACAAGGCTCGGTAACTCAGAGTTAGCTAACTCTGAGTTAGCGCCACAGAACAAGGCCATACAGTCCATAAGAATACATACAGTTTGTAACTGTATGAACGACCAGTAGAATGGGGCCATTTCGTTGAGCCAATAGTTGAGCCAGGCACATGAGCCAATAGTTGAGCCAGGCACATGAACGACCAGTAGAATGGGGCCATTTCAGCCTACTCACACCACTCGCGACTGTCCTCGAAACGAACAGAACATCCTAAAGGCACTGCACCAAGTACACCTGAATACACATTCTGACGTTTATTGTAAATCACATGTCAGCAGGTATTATACATTTCCCTGCTGGTGTAATCACATGAGACTGTCTTAAGATGCCTGGAAGATGGGTACGTAATCTTCTAAGGGATATGACGCGCTATGAACAAGTACCGTAGTTGCTGTAATCAGATATTCAGATGGTAAATGCCTACTACTCACTGTTAGTGGAAGCTCTATCACAGATGAGTGCCACTGCTGCATTGGCGGATGAAAAGGGTCCATGAAAGCTCTCCTTGAATGAGAAGCTCTCCAAGTCATAAACCATCTGTTGTCACACACCACAGAAACATGGAAGTGTGTTTTCCTAACCAATAAAGAGAAAACCGCATTGGAATAATAAGCGTGGGAACGTCTAGACTGGCACATCCAATAAGTTCTCATTGAATTTGTGGGAAGCTGCATTACCTGCATAAGAATCTGTGCAATCTCCAGTTCTTGATTCAGCAAACAGCGGTAGTAGACCTGTGAGGATGGGGAATGGAGAGGAGGTAACAAAAAACACTACGAGAGATATGGCTGATGGAAGCAAAGCAAAAGCTGATTCCACTGCTGGGAAAACTCCGTTTTGCCCTCATATGCAAGATCCGTAACAGTCACAGCGATGATAAATTTACGCTGGCCCGTTTTCTGTTTAATCTCCTCATGCGGTTTCTGGGTTGTCGTGGCAATGTTAGCTTACTGGGCAGTTTCCTCCAAAGTACGATTTCTTGCGGACGCGTGAATGCTCTAATTGGTACACCAACCCACACTGTCACGACCAGGTTCCACCTACCTTGGCGCATCGCTCTCTCATTCCGACATTGGCGGGCTTCGGACAGTATTACTCGTTGTCCAGCCACGCCTTTAGGTGACTTTTGAGACGACAAGAAAGTCACCTCTTCGCCTACCTTTGCGCATCGCTCGCTGATACCGACGTTGGCGGGCTCCGGACAATACTCGTTGTCCAGCCACGCCTTTAGGTTCTCCCTCAGCCATTCAGCCTCCTGCACAGCCGGGACCGGGATGAGCAGCGTTTGGGATCTCAGTGGTAGGAGAGGAGATAATACATCAAGAGTGGGGGAATGTGCAGAGGAAATAAAAAGACATCGAGCGAGACAGTTTGCACGACTTGAAAGGAGCGACATTGCGCTTACTTGTTTTGCGATTTCCGGACTCGTCCACGTGGCAGGGACCTGGAGATCATCCACGCCGCTGGCAGCTCGGACAGAACGGCGGCCAGAATTTTTAGGCAAAACAGGCGAAACGGCGGGTCTGCTGGTTCGAATGGCGATTCGCGGCGAAGAAACAGAAGCCTCAACGTTGCGTCGCCGACTGGAATGGCTGAGAAAGGATATGGTCACTCGTGAATTGGAGGAGGGAACCTTGCGGGAAAAGAGGATCGGCGGTTCTGATAGAATCCGAGGAGTTTCGGATTTGAGCTGGCTGCTGGGTCTTGATTGGCGATCGTTGCGGAATGTGCAGAAACCAAGCGTACTTGTTGTGAGTGACAAAGTTAGCGACATGGTGAGGAGCACGAATCGGGCAATTATCAGTCGTATGCGAGCTCAAATCCAGAGAAGTTGGTTGCGCCTGGACGCTTCACGTTTCCTTGAGCGTCTCACAGCGGAGGAGTTCTGTAGACACGCAGTTGTAACGAGTGAGAATAACGGCCATGGCTGAGCAAATGAACACAAACATTCCAGGGGAGTTTGAGGGACATAGGTGTTGCTGATGATTCGCCTTGATACACGAATCCGACGTGGCAGCGGAGCGACCACATCTGGCAGGCGAGAAACGACGAATTACATTGCATGTGTGTAACATTGGGCTGGCGAAGTGTTATAGGATTCGTGTGCTTCATTGATTCGTTTGTACCTTGAACACTGTAACATTCACCGTTCCAAATTCCACAGCACCGTACTCATGAAAGCGAGTACACGAAGAGATTATTTGGAAACCCGTCCTCACCAGCAGCTTTCGGCATTGTCAAGGCTGGCGAGTCGCGACAACGCTCTAGAGCCGATACTACACCCAAATACCTTCTGATAGGACTAGGACCCGATCAGTTCATGCGTCCCTCAAATTCCCAGCTGGAGGATGTACACGAAGACCCTTTCGCGGAACTTTCGCTCGATCCACTAGCAGATGTCTCGCCCGCCGACGCTGACGTGGCGGTTCCGAAAGGAGCAGCGCCGCGTCCAGCAGGAAGGCGGACGCTGTGCGATCGCTGTCAGCGGCCGTCGCGCGCGTGTCTGTGCCCTAGTTTACCGCCGAGTATATTAAAGACACGGACAAGAGTGATAGTGCTACAGCACCCACACGAGGCCAAGAAGCGGCTCGCGACTGCTCCGATCCTCGCGCTCACTCTAGAGTCCACATGCATCATAACGGGACGAAGGTTCCTCGAAGGATCCTCCGCTGAGCTGGACCGGGTGCTGATCCCGCGCTGTGGGAACAGACTTCATGCCACTTGGCAGGATGGAAGAGGGGGAGGGGAAATGGAGGTAGGAAGGGGAGGGGAGGACAACGGACAATGCGCAAAGGAGGATCGAGAGAGGGGAAATGTATGGAATGATGGGAGTGAGCCTCTGAAGAGAGAAACTGCAGGGATCGGGAGAGGAGATGCGGATTCGGGGCCGACAGGGGACGGTGTGTGTGAAGCGAGGATCAGGGGAGCATCGGGCGCAGGGGACGGTGTGTGTGAAGCGAGGATCAGGGGAGCATCGGGCGCAGGGGACGGTGTGTGTGAAGCGAGGATCAGGGGAGCATCGGGCGCAGGGGACGGTGTGTGTGAAGCGAGGATCAGGGGAGCATCGGGCGCAGGGGACGGTGTGTGTGAAGCGAGGATCAGGGGAGCATCGGGCGCAGGGGACGGTGTGTGTGAAGCGAGGATCAGGGGAGCGTCGGGCGCAGGGGACGGCGTGTGTGAAGCGAGGATCAGGGGAGCGTCGGGCGCAGGGGACGGTGTTTGTGAAGCGAGGATCAGGGGAGCGTCGGGCGCAGGGGACGGTGTGTGTGTGTGTGGCCACGTGCGGCTGCTCATGTTCCCGGGGGAGGGCGCGCTGCCAGTGGGCGACTGGTGGAGGTGGTATCTGGCCCGGCGCCAACTGGACGCGCAGCATCCAGGGGAGCATGGGGTGGAGCAGCATGGGGTGGAGCAGCATGGGGTGGAGCAGCATGGGGTGGAGCAGCATGGGGTGGAGCAGCATGGGGTGGAGCAGCATGGGGTGGAGCAGCATGGGGTGGAGCAGCATGGGGTGGAGCAGCATGGGGTGGAGCAGCATGGGGTGGAGCAGCATGGGGTGGAGCAGCATGGGGTGGAGCAGCATGGGGTGGAGCAGCATGGGGTGGAGCAGCATGGGGTGGAGCAGCATGGGGTGGAGCAGCATGGGGTGGAGCAGCATGGGGTGGAGCAGCATGGGGTGGAGCAGCATGGGGTGGAGCAGCATGGGGTGGAGCAGCATGGGGTGGAGCAGCATGGGGTGGAGCAGCATGGGGTGGAGCAGCATGGGGTGGAGCAGCATGGGGTGGAGCAGCATGGGGTGGAGCAGCATGGGGTGGAGCAGCATGGGGTGGAGCAGCATGGGGTGGAGCAGCATGGGGTGGAGCAGCATGGGGTGGAGCAGCATGGGGTGGAGCAGCATGGGGTGGAGCAGCATGGGGTGGAGCAGCATGGGGTGGAGCAGCATGGGGTGGAGCAGCATGGGGTGGAGCAGCATGGGGTGGAGCAGCATGGGGTGGAGCAGCATGGGGTGGAGCAGCATGGGGTGGAGCAGCATGGGGTGGAGCAGCATGGGGTGGAGCAGCATGGGGTGGAGCAGCATGGGGTGGAGCAGCATGGGGTGGAGCAGCATGGGGTGGAGCAGCATGGGGTGGAGCAGCATGGGGTGGAGCAGCATGGGGTGGAGCAGCATGGGGTGGAGCAGCATGGGGTGGAGCAGCATGGGGTGGAGCAGCATGGGGTGGAGCAGCATGGGGTGGAGCAGCATGGGGTGGAGCAGCATGGGGTGGAGCAGCATGGGGTGGAGCAGCATGGGGTGGAGCAGCATGGGGTGGAGCAGCATGGGGTGGAGCAGCATGGGGTGGAGCAGCATGGGGTGGAGCAGCATGGGGTGGAGCAGCATGGGGTGGAGCAGCATGGGGTGGAGCAGCATGGGGTGGAGCAGCATGGGGTAGAGCAGCATGGGGTGGAGCAGCATGGGGTGGAGCAGCATGGGGTGGAGCAGCATGGGGTGGAGCAGCATGGGGTGGAGCAGCATGGGGTGGAGCAGCATGGGGTGGAGCAGCATGGGGTGGAGCAGCATGGGGTGGAGCAGCATGGGGTGGAGCAGCATGGGGAGGAGAGAGGGTGCAGGGAGAGGCGGGGGGAATGCGGGGAGGAAAAGGGTTGTGGAGAGTTGGGCGGGGAGTGTGGGGAGGAGGATAAGGGGCGTGGTGAGTGGGCCCGGAAGTGTAGCGCAGAGGCGCATGGGTGTGAGGAGTGGGGAGCAGAGTGTGGGGAGGGGTATGCTGTAACCCTGGTGGTGATCGATGGTACATGGGAGCATGCCAAGGAGATGATGAAGGCCAGTGGAAGCTTCCTCAGGCGCTACTGTGCTTTGGTACGTGTGAAGGGCAGTGGAGTGTGCACGGGTGTGAAGGGCAGGGAGGCGGGCAGTGCCGGGGAGAAGGGAAGAGAAAGTGGTGGCGCTGGCCTCGTACGGAGAGATAGAGTAGGCTGAAACAGAATGAATGAATACGCTGAAGTGCCACGCTGCAAACTTATAATTAGCCTTAACGCCTTGTGACACTGACTCTTTCCGAATGCCTCAGCAGGCACCTTAGCATGCATGCACCCTATTGCGCCATCGGCTTGTCCCCCTGTTCGTTTCTCATCCCCCTGTTCATTACTCATGCCATGTTGCCGCCGATCACTTCCAGGCTGCTTCTTGTTTCTCTTGCCGTGATGCATGCTACCTGTCACTCAACCCCTCCCTGTCTCAATGCTCTAGCCCGCTGTCGCTTCCCCCCTGCCACACTGTCTCGCACGCACACCACCACAGGTGTGTCTGCCCTTTGACTGCGCATCCCCAGGCCCGCCGCCCGGGCACCAGGGTCTTGTGGTGCGCAAGGAGCTGCGCTCCCATGCATGCCACCTGTCCCTCAATTCTGCCTGTCTCAATGCACCACCCCGCTGTCGCTTCCGCCCTGCCGCACTGTCTTGCACGCACACACCGCCACAGGTGTGTCTACCCTTTGACCGTGCATCCCCAGGCCCGCCGCCCGGCCACCAGGGTCTTGTGGTGCGCAAGGAGCCGCACAAAGGGGCCGTGAGCACAGCGGAAGCAGTCGCACGGGCCTTGGATGTTCTTGAAAGGGATGTGCTTGAATGGGATGGGGATGGGGAGAGTGTGGAGCGGAAAAGAAAGGGTTTGGAAGTACACATGGTGCCAACGATGTGTGAGGGAAGCAGTGAAACGAGGTGGAAAAACGGCGAGAAGTCGGCGTCTTGGTGGTTGCTCTCTGCGCTTCACCATATGGTATCCATACAGTTACGACTAACGATGGCTTACGGTAAGTAGCTGTGAGAGTGTACAAGGAGAGATGTCTTTATTGAATGGAGCCTGGAAGCCTGTTTGGATCCAACATGGCTCATTGCAAACATTAAAGGTTATAGCTTGTCATAGCTATAACAAGAAACTTTCAATGCCAAACACTCCATAGCTTGTTTTAGCCTGCGATCTGCACCGCCACCTAACATGCTGAGGTCGTCCCTTAAGATATGGCCTTATCGAGTGTAGTTTTTTTATAGAAGGGACCAACCGAAATCCCTCTCTCAAGTTCTCAACCCAACCTGCACCACAGGGCAAGATTGTTGTTACATGGGCAGGCCTTTTTCTGGGGTTTCCAGATATGGAGGGACAAGTACTGTAGAAATCCTTCTACAGTTGCTACCTTATCCTTCTTCTGCCGTGGTGCTGGCACAATCCTGTGTTGGAGTTGCAGGAGGTTTGATGGAAATGGCTGAAACATGTGAACTCCTGGATTTCTTGAGGGCCTCATGCCTGGATCTGGTGTACAGCCTCTTTTCCAGCAAGAAATATTCGGGCAGGCGAAAACATGTTTTGCCTCCCCTCAGGCCAGGCTGGCCTGGCGAATGGCCATTGGCCACCCTCAGGATTCAGCTGGTTGGGCGTAGAGCGCGTGGCAAAGGTGCCATGCTGTGCCCTTGTGGGTTGGGGGGAACCTCTTGGGCTCAGGTGACGCGCACGCACAACATTTGTGAATCGCAGAACCACGGTGTGATCTCTCTTACCGTACTAAATAACCAATTCACCGATCTGAAATGTACATTTTTTCCAGCATCCTAAGTCACAACCTTGGGATTGTGCAATCTGTGTGGCAAAGGTGTACCCCTCGAGACGACGTAATTGCTATGCACCGTTTTGCATCACGCAGTTGAGCAACACGATTACAGAAAGATAGGGTAAGTAGCTTTGGCGGGGGTACTACTAGTGACCCTGCGCTTTCCAGGGAACTACAGTGCTAGTTGCGGGCAATTTCCGCCGCTCCTTCCCTCTGACAGGAAAGTTATTGCAACAGCACAGAACTCGGCCCCACATACACCCACGTTTCACAAATTCGCAAGCCACTGGAAAAAAAAATCCTTTACCTGTCCGAAAAAAAAAAAAACTAAAACCTAATCGGAAAGGGATGCTTCTCGGGGAGCCATCAACCCTAAAAAAAAGCGGGTTCCCGTGTTTAGGGTTGATCCCTTCCGAAAATGAGTCCAGGCTCGCTAAGGGTTTTATTTTTCTGCCCTGCGTTCTCAAATTTTCCCGAATTTGTGACACGTGGGTGAATGTGGGACCGAGTTCTGTGCTGTTGCCATAACTTCCGTCTGAGGGTCAGAGGGGCGGAAAGTGCCCGCAACTAGCACTGTAGTTCCCTGGAAAGCGCAGGGTCGCTAGTAGTACCCCCGCCAAAGCTACTTACCCCAGAAAGATATCAGCATTCTGATCAGTGGCGGCCATCTCAATTGCCGCGACTCCCTGTCTGACTTTTGAATGCACTCAAAAGTCACCCTGTCACCGCCATTGCATCATAGACGAAATCTCCTTCCTGGCCCACCCTCCTGCACGCTATCGCTGTGACGATATTCGCGGTTGGCTGCAACCACCAGGTGTTTCATCGTGTGGTGTTGCAAGCACCACAAAACCGTTTCTTTGAAAATTGAAGCTTAGAATTCCTACCAATGTGAAACATTTTGCGGCATGTAGTTACAGACCGGTGGCGCTTGTATTTACTTCCAATGACGAAATCAGTGCTCGCGAATCGTGCCTTATGGCGATTGCGGGAATCGCGGGGCAGTTCCCTAGGAGAAGAAATAGCGACTGTAGACTCGAAACCCCGAAGGAAGAGCTTTTCGGGAGGGGAGAACGCGGCTCGGCCGGATGTAGGTGACAATGGTAGTCCAGCCGAAGACAGCGGGATTGTATTAGTCGCGGGCACGTGGCAAGTCGAAAATGCGGGAAACCCAACGATGGAGCCCAGTGACGGGACTCTGGGAAATGCGGGGAGAAAGAACCCGCAAAATGCGGCGGTAAATACGGCGGAAGTTTCGGAGCAGCGAGAGACGTTGGAGATTATGTTAGAGGATGGGTTGCAGATGACTGTGGAGCTTGACTCCGGCGAACGGCTTCTTAACGAGTTGGGATACAAACAGGAGCTGAAACGGCGCCTGGTACGTGCTTACAACGCGGTTTCGGGATAACAACGCAAGTTGATGGAATGAATGAGGGGAAGAATGGAAGTGTGGGGAAAGGGTCGCGGAGGGGGCCGTCGTTCTTGTCATGCTACCAACCATTTTGTAAAACGCAAAAAATCCAGAATCACGTCTCTGGTTCATGAACATCTACAACCTACCTATCCCATTTCCCTTTTACTGTACTCACGCTCCGTTTCTTTCTCGCACTGCAATTCCACTCCCCCCCCCCCCCCCCATATGATACCCGTTATAGGGCTTCGTCGATGTGTTCTCTATAGGCCTCTCCACCATCATTATCTACGCTGGCGTTGTCCCGTTCTACGCGTGAGTAGCTCCCGCCCTTCCACCACCACCGTCAGACATGCCTTTTGACGCGGTTAGATTTTGTGTTTACAGAATATTCTGAAATGTCACATTCTTGAAGGTAAAAAAAGAAATCAACAGCCAATGCTCCCCCAACCGTCCTCATCTACAGTGCTTTTGAACCGTTTCAGGGTTTCAGGTTTTGTCGTCCTCTGGGCATCCATATTTTCCCCTGCAGCCAATGTAGTCCCTAAGCCCGTAACCCTACAATTGCTTCCGTGGCACTCTTTGTTTTGGCTACACAACGGATTTGTATTCATCACTCACATGACCATGACTCACAGGACCATGACTCGCAGGACCCTTTCTCTCGCCCTGCTTCTATCGCGCCAGTCAGACGTACATGGAGGCTTGGTGGCGCTCTTGTGGTACTGGTGGCTCACTGCTCTCTACACGGGAGCCACCGGGCGTCCACTCATGTACTGGCGTGAAAGCATTGAGACACCTCATTTCTTTCTACCTCCCCTCGCCCTTGCCTTCTTCCTTCCCTTCCATACACTCCTCGCCTCCTCTGCCCTCACGCCAGTCAGACGTACATCAACGGGGGCCGGGTGGCGATCGTGTGGTACTGGTGGCCCACACCTCTCTGCCTTCCATCCACATGCCCTTTCCCTGCCTCCCTTTCCACATTCCTTCCTGCCTTGCTCCTATCGCACCAGTCAGACGTACATCAACGGAGGCCCGGTGGCGCTTGTGTGGTACTGGTGGTGGTTCACAGCTGATTGTGTTCCCCCTCCCTTCTCCTTCCCCTTCTCCCTCCCCTCCCCCTTCCCCTCTCTCCTATCGCGCCAGTCAGACGTACATCAACAGAGGCCCGGTGGCGCTTGTGTGGTACTTGTCGCTCACAGCTCATTGCCCTCCCCCTCCCCTTCCACTTCCCCCTCCCCCACCCCTTGCAGTCAGACGTACATCAACGGAGGCCCGGTGGCGCTCGTGTGGTACTGGTGGCTCACAGCTCTCTTCACTCACTGCGTCGCCCTCACTTTCGCGGAAGTTTCCTCCTCCTTCCCTGTAAGCCACGTCTCTGCCCAATTCGTTGCTGCATTCCCACACCCAGCTCTTATGTGAAAGATTAGAGCACCCAGAGGTTTGTGTGAGAGGGGGACGAAACACAGAGGCTCACCCTCCCCAACCATCTCCCCCCCTCCCCGTTCACCCAAACTTTTCCGTCCTTCCCGTGTTCCCCCAAACATTTCCTTCCGTCCCAAATCCCCCCAATTCCCCCGTTTCAACCTCTACCCACTCCCCGTTCTCCCCCGCCGCCGTCCGCAATCAGATCTCAGGTTCGCTCTACTTTTGGGCGGCAGCTCTTGCTGGCCCAAAGCACGGCCCCTTTGCCGCCTGGATCACCGTGAGTGCCCTTTCCGCTCCAACGCCTTTCATTCATCCGCACGTCATCCCCCCCCTCCCTCTCAAACGCCTTCCCCTTAACCCCTTCTCCCTCCTCACACTTCCTTTTTCTTCATCCCCCCTTCCTCCTCTCCCCCCTCCATTCTCCTCCTCACCCCCTCCCCCCTCCTTCTCAGCCCCCATTCTTCCTCGACCCCCTTTTCCCTGCTTCCCCTGTCTGAGGTACCTCTTACTTCTCTTTCTCCCAACCCTCAAAAGTGACTCACTGTCACTTTCCCCGCCCTTCCAAAAGTGACTCTCAAATTCTCTGGTCTTTCCCTCAATTTCCCCTCCTCCCTGCTCCTTCCTTTCTCCCTCACTCCGTCCTCCCTCCGCTCTCCTCCCCCCTCACCCCCATGCACCCTCAGGGCTGGTTGGAGTTCTTTGGCATATCTGTGGGGCTGGGCGGCGTGGCCTTTGGGGGCGTGCAGCTGCTACAGTACACCATCTATGCTGCTACAGGGGGTGCCAATAACGGGGGCTACTTTCTCAGCAACTACGAGTGCTTTGGGATCACAGCGGGCATGCTTATAATGGGGGGGCTGCTCACCTCACTGCCGATTAAAGTGATTGGACGAATCAACGTCTTCACTGCGGTCTGGCAGGTGTGAGGAACCTTCCTTTCTCCCATTTCTTTCCCCCCATCCCAAACCCCCCATCTCGTTCCTCCCATCCCATTTTTCCCATCCCGTTCCTCTCGTCCCAATCCCCCCTTCGCTTTCCCTTCATCCCTTCCTCCAACCTCTGAACAACCCAAGATTTTCTGCCTTTCCCCCAATCCTGACCCCTTCCGCTCTCCATCTCCCTCTCCCCCTCTCCCCCCCCATGTAGTGCCCTCGCTCGTGATCATCGTGCTGCTGCCACTTGCTGCTGCCCTCTCGCCTCTCACCCTTCCTTTTTTAGAATTCTCAAAAGCAACTCTTCCCTCTCACCCTTCCCCTCCCCCTTTTGTGTCTGCAGATAGTCCTCACACTCGTGATCATCGTGCTGCTGCCGTGTGTGGCTGTCACCACCCAACCTGCCTCGTTTGTCTTCACTCACTATCACGTGCAGCTCAATCAGAGCCAACTGCCTAATGCCGTGAGTACCACCGCTGTTCACCGCTCTACACCACCTGGCACTGCGCTGCATTGCATTGCACCCCTCTGCACTGCACTGTTGCTCTACACCGCACTGCACCACTCTGTCACCACCCAGCCTTGTCGTCATGCGCTACCATCCGCAGCTCGCCAGAGCCACCTGCCCAATGCGGTGAGAACCGCTCTTCACCACTCTGCACAGCCTGGCACTGCTCTGCATTGCAATGCACCCCCCTCTGCATGCACTGTTGCTCTAAACCGCACTACACCGCATTGTCACCACTCAGCCCTCTGTATTCACCATCTACCCCTCTGTAATCCCTCTGTTACCCTCTGTATTTCCCATGTACCCCTCTGTAACCCCCCTTTTTCCTCCCCCCTCCCCCCCCTGTCTCCCGCCACACACACACCAGGGATATACGCCTTTATGGTGGCACAGCAGCTCTCCCTTTTTGGCTGTCAAGACGTCTCAGAGCTTCCATACACCCCCAACCTTCGCTTTCCTCCTCCCCCCCCTCCCCCCCTTAACCCCCCCAAACACTGTAACACACATGGCAATGCATGCAACTCCCCCTCTCTGGCTCTTGACTCACTTAAGAGACCTCTGCACACCCTCGCCCTCTCCTCCGCTCCATTCCACCCCCCCTCTCTCCCTTCTCCACCCTCCCCCCACCAGGCATACGCCTTTGTGGTGGCGCTACAGCTCTCCCTCTTCGGCCCTTGAGATGCCTCACAGCTCACACACACACTTTCGCTTCCCTTTCCTTCCCCCCTCCCCCCACCAGGCATATGCCTTCGTGGTGGCACTACAACTCTCCCTCTCCAACTTTCTAGTCGCCTCAGAGCTCACACACCCCCCTTCCCTTCCCTTCCCTTTCCTTCCCCCCCACCTCCCCCCACCAGGCGTACGCCTTTGTGGTGGTGCTACAGCTCTCCCTCTTCGGCCAGTACAGCTACAAGAATGTAGCACACATGGCTCGAGATGCCTCAGGGCTCACACAAACCCCCTTTCCCTTTCCTTCCCCCTCCCGTTTCCCCCACCAGGCATACGCCTTTGTGGTGGCCCTTCAGCTATCCCTATACGGCCAGCACAGCTACGACACTGTAGCCACGTGATATAAGGCTGGTTTTGAGCCATCTGAAAAGCCTTCCCCCACCCCCCCCCCCACCTTCCCCCACCAGGCATATGCCTTTGTGGTGGCCCTTCAACTCTCCCTGTACGGCCAGTACAGCTACGACACTGTAGCACACATGGCAGAAGAGACAAAGCACGCCGACCGCATGATCCCGCTAGCCATGGTGTCGTCCCTCTCGTGTGTGTGCGTGCTGGGGTGGGGGCTGCTCGTGTCCCTCACCTTCTGCATTCAGAGCGACGACCGGCTGTTGGGGACAGACAACGAGACAGGGGGGGCGTACCCTGTGGTTCAAATCATTTGGGACGTGTTCTTTCGCCGGTGAGTGCATGGGAGAAGGGGAGAGTGATAGGGAGAAAGGGAGAGAGAAAGAGGGAAAAGGAGAAATAGGGGAGGGAAAAAGGCGCCCGTTGTGCGTGTGCGTGCTGGGGTGGGGGCTGCTCGTGTCGCTCACCTTCTGCATCGAGAATGACGATCGGCTGCTGGGAACGGAGAATGAAACCTCTTGTTCCAACAGGTATATCAAAGTCTAATTTTGGCGAGTACCCCGTGGTTCAAATCATATGGAACGTGTTCGCTAGCATACCGGTGAGTGGGAGAGAGAGGGAGAAAGAGAGAGAAAGGAGCGAGCGAAGGGGCACATCATCACAATCGGATGCATATCACTCGATTCCAGATTCCCTACCTTCCTCCTCCCCACTTCCAACCTCCCCACCCCACCTCCTGTCTCCCCACCTCCCCAAATCCTCTGCATTGCATTCCCCACATTCCCTGTTTTCACCTCCCCGTCTCCCAACCTGCCCATGTCCCCACCCCCTGAACCCCCCGCCTCCCGCTACCAGCTACGGCAGCGGCACAGGGGCAGTCATCATCCTCTGCTGCATGTCCCTCGCGTTCTTCCTCGGGGTTGTCGGCGGCCTCACAGGCGCATCCCGAGCGGTGAGTGGGTGGTGCTTCTTGGTAACCTAGTACCCATTTCTCGCTGTGTCTCTCCATGTCACACGCCCTGCCATGACCCTCGCGTTCTTCCTCGGGGTTGTCGGCAGCCTCACGGGCGCATCAAGAGCGGTGAGTGGGTGCTGTACCTAAGCCCTGACCTCTGGCAGACTTAGTCCTTCTCGGGAACGCTGTCCAACCCAGGAACGCTGTCCAACCCAGGAACGCTGTTACGCTCTCACTCACCTGCTCCTTATCACCACACTTCTGCCCTGCATTCTAGGTCTCTCAAGCCCCTCCCATCCCCATCTCCCTGCCACTCTTCCTGCTTTCTTCTCTCGCGTGACTCAGCTCCCCTTTGCCTCTCTCTGGCGCCGGGTCAACCGCAGCCGCACGCCCATCTACGCTGTCTGGCTCTGCTGCTCCATCGCCATCCTCTTTTCTCTTCCACTTCTCTCTTCCTCTCCCTCTGCCCGCTCCCCACCCCCCCTCCCCACACCGCCAGGCCTACTCCCTGTCTCGTGACTCAGGCCTCCCGTTTGCCTCTCTCTGGCGCCGTGTCAACCACAGCCGCACGCCCATCTATGCCGTCTGGCTCTGCTGCAGCATCGCCATCCTCTTCTCTCTCCCCCTCCTCGACGACTCAAGCACCTTCCATTTCATCACCTCGCTCGCCACCGTGGCGTGGGTGGGAAGCTACGCTGTGCCTATCTTCTTCCGGCTCATTCAAAGTGATGAGGACTTTGAGCCTGGGGCGTTTAGTCTTGCCCCCTACGTCGGCCACACGGGAAGGTGAGTGTTTGGGATGGTTTGGGTTCGGGAAGGTTTCGGGAAGAAAACAAATCGCTACAGTATCTCGTTGTCAGCATTGACTAACTGTCGCCAACATGCCTCATACCCTACTTGACTATGTGGCCCCAACCTCTGCCACCCCTCTCCATTCTCAACCTCTAAAATCCAGGCAGCTAATCACCTCGCATCGCTTTTTTGTCATCTACACCATCGCTCCCACTCTCTGTCTCCCCTCCCCACCCAACAACACTCAAAGCGAGGAGAATGATCAACCTCGCAGCGCTCCTCTTTGTCATCTACACCATCGCAACCTTCCTGCCGATTGTATCACAATCACATACCGTATGCCTCCACTCTCTCTCTCTCCCCTCCTCACTCAACTTCCAAAAAAATGCAGGCGTATAATCAACCTCGCATCGCTCCTCTTTGTCATCTACACCATCGCAACCTTCCTCGTTCCCGTCGATTTCCCCGTCACTCCGTCTAACTTCAACTATGCATGTGTGGGAATCGTCTGCCTTGTGATTTTCTTCTGCTCCTGGTGGCTTTTAGACGCCAGGCATTGGTTCGTAGGCCCATACCAAAAACAGCAGAGCTCGGGGGAAAGAATGTCCAAATACACTGCTGGACGCCTGTTTATGTGAAAAGGGTTGCACTCCTATCCTTGTATTTCGTGTTCTTCTGCTCCTGGTGGCTGCTAGACGCCAGGCATTGGTTCGAAGGCCTGTACCAAAAACAGCAGAGCTCCGCACAGAGAATGTCGAAGTACTCTGCTGGACGCTTGTTCATGTGAAAAAGGGATAGCGCACTTACATACCTTGTACCAAAAACAGCAGAGCTCCGGGGAAAGAGTGTCAAAGTACACTGCGGGACGCTTGTTCATGTGAATAAAGTGTGCGTTTCGGAATTTACACCTACAAATAGCAAATCTATGGGCAAAGAATGTCATACCGGTAGTACGGTACTCTGCTGAGAGCTTGTTCATGTGAATAAGGGCTGCATTTCAAGTTTTACGGTACGTCTCAAAACAGCAGAGCTCAGGGGAAAGAATGTCTAAGTACTCTGCTGGACACTTATTTATGTAAAAAGTGCTACCTGTATAGTAGGGTGTGCTTTTATTATTGCGTCCAGTGATCACGCAGTGGAACGCAATGCCACACGGTGCAATGCTAACTTGACCGCTAAGATGGGAAAGGATTCAATTCAAGGTGGTGGAAAATAATTATTATAGTTTAGTGGCAAACCCAGAAACTGCAAATCACGTGGTATATAAATAGACAATGCTGGACAATAATTACTATACATCTACCTACCGTAATAAAATGCATGGTACTTATTATGAGGACTTAGTACCCTTGGTATTGACCACTGAACAAATCATGTCAAGCATGAAAGTAAATCTCAGCTGCCCTAAGGGTCAATGGAACCACTTGGCAGCTCCTGATTGGCTGTGATGCTGGCTCCCTGCCCGGTTATGGAACGGCCCTATGAACCAATGACGCGCGTCCAAAAACCACCAGGAGATAAAGAAGGTTACGGTTACCAGCAGCACGCAGCTGGACCAATTGAAATTGGAGACGGTTACAGGGAAGTACATTGGAACCATGGAAGTGGCCATGGTGTATAACACGAAAAAGAGTGCTCCCCCATTAATGCACCTCCTAATGGGTGGAGAGGGTTGGAGAGGAGTGGAGAGGGGTGGAAAGGGGTGGATATAGGGAAATACATGGCACCATGGAGGTGGCCCTGGTGTAGAGGGCGAAGAAGCGGGCTCCGCCGTTGATGCACCTCCTGATGGGGAGAGACGGGTGGTGAGGGGTGGAGAGGGGTGGAGATGCTATGAGGGAAGTACATGGGAACCATAGAGGTGGCCCTGGTGTAGAGGGCGACGAAGAGAGCACCGTCGTTGATGCACCTCCTGATGGGGAGAGACGGGTGGTGAGGGGTGGAGAGGGGTGGAGGCGGTCAGAGGGAAGTGCATGGGAACCATGGAAGTGGCCATGGTGTAGAGGACAAAGAGGGCTCCACTGTTGATGCACCTCCTGATGGGTTGGATTGGGACAGGGTGGGTTGTGGGGGAGAAACTGAAGAATGAAAGTGAGATGGGGAGCAGCAACACACTCACAGGAGGAGACGGGTGGAGCAGGCACAGCAGCAGTGGAATAGTGTAGGTGCCCTGTCCACATCCAACCCAACCCACACACTCACCTTCCCACACTCCCCACGTACTCGAGGCTGATCGCTTTTGGCTTGAACGCCCCTGGCTTGAACGCCAATCGGGTCGGGGTTGGCATGTAGCAGGCACAGCAGCAGTGGAATAGTGTAGGTGCCCTGTCCACATCCAACCCATACCCTCACACATTCCACTTCACCACCCATAAGCCCACTCACGCTCAGCCCACACAGGAGCTCACCTTCCCACACTCCCCACGTATCGCTCGTGGCTGATCGCCCCTGGCTTGAACGCCGATCGAGGTTGCAGCAGGCGCAGCATGAGAGGCACTGCGAAGCTTCCCACCCATGCGACGGTGGCGAGGGAGGTAGGAGAGAAGCACCAGCACAGCATTTCCCCCTCTCCTCCCCACCACACGTTCCAACACCCATATGCCCGCTCACCTGCCCACACTCCCCACGTATCGCTGGAGGCTGAATGCGCCCGCCTTGAACGCCCCTCTGGGTTGGATCAATCGCAGCACGAGGGGCACTGAGTAGCTGCTCTCATTCAACCCACACACGCTCACCTGCCTATGGCTCCCACGTATCGCTCCAAACTGAACGCGCCCGCCTTGAACGCTCCTCTGGGTTGGATCAATCGCAGCACGAGGGGCACTGAGTAGCTGCTCTCATTCAACCCACACACGCTCACCTGCCTATGGCCCCCACGTATCTCTCCAGGCTGAATGCGCCCGCCTTGAACGCTCCTCTGGGTTGGATCAAGCGCAGCAGCAGCGGCACTGAGTAGCTTCCGACCCATGCAACGGTGGCAAGAGAGGTGATGGCGAAGAAGGTGGAGGTGGAGTGGAGGAGAGGCAGGCAGAAGAGGATAGCGATGGAGCACGTGAGGAGAACCGCGTTGACAGGCGTGCGGTCGCGGTTGATTCGCCGCCACAGGAAGGCGAACGGGAGACCGGAATCGCGCGAGAGGGAGTAGGCCTGGTGTGGGGATGGGGTGCGGGGAGTGGGCAGAGGGAGAGGAAGAGAAACGTGCGGCCTGAGAGGGAGTAGGCCTGGGGAAAGGGGAGTGCGGGGAGAGCGCAGAAGAGGAAGAGAAGAAGGAGTGGTTTTTTTTTTCCTGTTAATGACAGCAGCAAAGACGGTAAGGAGGAAGGGGGTGTTTAGGTGGATTGGGAGTGGCGTGTGACTCACCGCTCTGGAAGCCCCGATAACAACAGCAAAGGTGGGAAAAAAGGAGAGTGGTTATTTAGGTGGGTGGTGCATGGGGAGTATGTATGGGGAGTATGTATGGGGAGTATGTATGGGGAGTATGCATGGGGAGTATGTATGGGGAGTATGCATGGGGAGTATGTATGGGGAGTATGCATGGGGAGTATGTATGGGGAGTATGTATGGGGAGTATGTATGGGGAGTATGTATGGGGAGTATGTATGGGGAGTATGTATGGGTAGTATGTATGGGGAGTATGTATGGGGAGTATGTATGGGGAGTATGTATGGGGAGTATGTATGGGGAGTATGTATGGGGAGTATGTATGGGGAGTATGTATGGGGTGTATGTATGGGGAGTATGTATGGGGAGTATGTATGGGGATTGACTCAGGAGCCAAACGCACTGAGGCTCTTAGCGAAACTCACGGCTCTGGAAGCCCCGATGACGGCCGCAAAGGCAGCAAAGAAGAAGGAGAAGTACATGAGGCACAGCAGCACCACTGCCCCCGTGCCGTTGCCGTACCTGGTGGGGTGGGGGGGGTAGGGGAGGGGTGGGGGGATGAAACGCACAGTGCAAGGAGAGGAGATAGAGAGGAGGAACGCAAGAAGTGGAAGGCGGAACGTGAGGAGGAAAACTGACCTGAAAATTCACCTGAGCACTCACCTAACGTAAAAGACCTCCCAGATGATCTGCACCACAGGCTGCTGCCCCCCCGTCTCATTGTCCGCTTCAAGAAGGGTCGCTTTATCGGTAATGCACGCAGTCAGGACGACGATCACCGCCCACCCCCCCACAGTAGCTGCCGAGAGACACGAGACCATGGCGGCCGGGATGGTGACGTCGGCGCGTTTTGTCTCTTCTGCCATGTGCGCTACAGTGTCGTATGCGTAGAGGCCGAATAGGGAGAGCTGCATTGCCAAGACAAAGGCGTAGGCCTGGTTGAGGGAGGGGAGGGGGGAGGGGGGGGGGGGGGGAGGAAGGAATGTATGTGCGTTTTGAGATGTCTCAAAGGTCGCTACAGTGTCGTAGGCATAGAGGCCGAATAGGGATAGCTGCATTGCCAAGACAAAGGCGTAGGCCTGGTGGTGGTGGTGGTGGTGAGGAGGGGGGAGGAAGGAAGGCACGTGTGTCACGTCTAGCTGCACGTGATAGTGGCCGAAAACGAACCAGGGGGGCTGCAGGGAGGTGTGGTGGGTGGGTGCTGGGTGTCGTGTGCTGTGTGCTGTGCCTCATACCCTGTTCACTCCCACACGATCAGGAGGCCTTTACACCATCACTTGTACTCACATCGATGGGCACGTGTGTGGCGTCTAGCTGCACGTGATAGTGGGCGAAGATGAACGAGGGGTACTGTAGGGTGGTGGTGTGTTGTGGTGGGTGCTGTGCCCCATCCTCTCCCATTTAGACAGTCCCACTCACATCATCAGCACACTCACATCATCAGCGCACTCGCATCATCAGCGCACTCGCATCATCAGCGCACTCGCATCATCAGGCCACTCAAACCACCATCAGCGCACTCGCATCGTTGTGCACACCAAGCTGCACGTGATAATGGCCGAAGATGAACGACGCGGGCTGAAGGGTGGTGTGCTGTGTGCTGTGCCTCATACCCCA